CGTGAGTATCAGACGTATAACATTCCAGATGACTAAGCTCTCCTTCAAGAGACTCCACTACCTACCTCAATCTTATCCGGACCTCCTGTTTATTGCCCAACATGCCGCGTGCAGAAGGTCAGTCAGACTAACATTTATGAGCATGAATCTCGCTAATGTTCAACGTACAGTCGGAACTCCAAAGTATCTCGCCAATAAGATGAAATCCAAGGGCCTACAGCGCCTGCGGTGGTACTGCCAAGTCTGTGAGAAGCAGTGTCGAGATGAGAACGGCTTCAAGTGCCATGCTCAGTCAGAAGCCCATCTTCGCCAGATGCTTGTCGTCGGCGAGAATGCCGGGCGGCATATCGCTGATTTCTCGAGCCAGTTCCAGCATGATTTCGTCCAACTTCTCAGCAGACGGTGCGTAGCTCTCTTTCAAACTGATACCAATTTCTAAACTTTGTTTGTCGCTCGTTAGATATAACACGAAACGGGTGCGCATCAATCAGGTCTACCAAGAATTCATTCAAGACAAGAACCACCTTCACATGAACGCCACCCGTTGGGTGACCCTCACCGAGTTCGCCAAACATCTGGGACGCTCAGGTATTGCACGCGTGGATGAGACCGAAAAAGGATGGTTTATTGCGTGGATCGACAGCAGCCCGAAAGCTCTCGCAAAGCAAGAAGCCTCTATCAAAAAGGATCGAGCTACGCGGGACGATGAACAGCGGGAGCGTACTCTGATTGCAGAGCAGATTGAGAGAGCAAAGTTGGAGAAAGAGGCGAGTGGTGAGGAAAGTGCGAGCCCCCCCGTTGAGGAGGGCCTCAAGAGAGAAGAGGGCGCGGAGAAGGTTGTTCTATCATTATCTGCAAAGCCAGTGGCTACATCGGATACAACGGCCAAAGTTGCTCTGACAGGGCTGAAGCTGACTGCCATAAAGCCCGGGGCGAATCCTCTCAAAGTTAATCCGTTGAAGCGGCCTAACGTGTTCAAGTCTGCCGCGCCTGCCAAGTCTGAGAGCTCAGAGGGTGGCGGTGGAAATGATAGGAAACGACCTGCGCCGATGTCAGCTGCAGAACGGCTTATCATAGAGGAGCAAGAGCGTAAGCGCCGGCGGATGGATAGAGAAAGTGTAGTCTAAGTTTCAGCTGCGTACTGTATCATTTTACTGTATTCTTATTACATTTTTCAGCTATTGCGGAAATATTTCAGCCTCAAGTATTGCTATATGACTGGCACAACACGAAAGGAAGCTAGAATGCACAGCTACTTAGACTGCGACCGCAGTGTGTCGATGGATGCGTGTCACGATTTGTCATGTATACACCCCTGGCAGCTCCCATCAAACGAGGAATGTTACAGATCAACCCTACACATGATCCAATATGACGGTCGTATACGATGGTAATCACCGAATTTGGAACTACTTGGTTGTGGTCTCCTCCACAACTTCATACCACCCATTTGAGAATTCGTACCAATCCTGCCGGCATGTACGACCTGCCAGGCTATACCGTCGCGAGAAATTCTTTCACTGCTTTCAGATCAGCAGGGGATGAATCAGTGTCCACCGATGTCAACATGCAAGGCCTCGGACTGCACGGGATGCGAGGACAACATGGTAAGTGTTTCATCATCAAGCACTAGTAGCTCTGTCACATCTGACGGGTACGCGATAGTTTTAAATAATGCATTGCGAAGGTCACCAGGCTGCCGATATCTATAGTAGTACTGAGCTCTATAATCACGAGGTTTGTCGGTGCGACACCAGTTCTGGCTACGCTGTCGCAAGTCTCTTGCATACTATCTAGTATAATGTGCTGCAGTGGGAGAACATGGAGAAGTCTTCTATGGGAAGAAAGTATGGGTGACTGATTCTCATTGTATTTCAATATCGGCCATCAAGGACCAGGTTGGTTGCTAGTCATTCCGGATAATTTCCCCTTATTAGTAATTACCACTTGATTCAAGCGCAGATACTTGTTCCAGTAGTGATACAACAAGAAATAGGTTTGCCTGGACCTTTTAAATATGCTTCGAAACCCTAAATGCTAAATAAATACCACGATGGATCCTCCATCGAATTTCTTCTCCCTGTAGACCACTCGGCAAGCATTTCCCTACACAGTACTGCTAGTTGATACATGTATATGTTCCTGGAAAACAATAGAATTCATGCTAGTTTCTGCATCGGAGTATGCCACGAGTTTGGCGTGGTATTCTCGAACGCTCAGGATGAGGCGTGGTCCCAGCACAAACATCTGCACAACCGATAAAATTTGGAAAGCACCATCGAGTGTCAGAGCTCCAATATAATTTGAATTCTATAGAACTGATGCGCAGTGGTTACACGCAGATGTTGGCGACAGGTCGGCGCACCGCGATTTCTGGAGAGAGATAAGGATAAGCAAGCTGGAGGCAAGAGACACCAGCAAAGCTAACATGTGCGGAACTTGAGCAGAAAAATATAACCGCGTTCACATTACAAGCTCACCTTGCAAAATAAAGAACGTGAGATTGTATCAGCACTCCGAAACAGTCCCCGATGGTCAATCCTGTCGATAGGCCGAGTCGTCGCAGCTCACGGAAGTGTTTCACAGCCACTCAGACTGAAAGGCACAGTGCGAGGAACTCCCAAACAGTCTTGAGCATCCAAGCCATGGAGTTCAGAAGCTGCGCGTACCCTCTATATACATAATAGCACATATATGTGCCAGAGAGTATCAACTCCTCTGGTGTTTGTCCAATGAGCCGTGTTCTTCAAGTCAACTGGCAAATGCGCTCACCATGTACAAGGTGACCGTTTAGTTCTATCGCTGTGATTACTCCGGATGTGATGTTTACAGCCAGGAAGATAGTAACAAGGAACATAAGCATCTTTTTAGATCCCTGATACATGGCATATAACCGAGCAATCGTGATGACTTGCATCGTGTGTCAATATCACAGAGGTATTGTACCTGGGTAACTCACCGCCCAACATGGCGATCAAGGCCATACTTATTCCTCTTATTGCGTAGTATGCGATAGTGCCTAAAACTTCCAATTAGTGAACGCCCTCGCACCAGTATCAAAGACTCCGACTCACACCTATTGAGTCATTATATTCAGCCAAGTTCAATGATTGGAATCCGACTGACCGGGCCCCCTGCATGAGTGTATTGATTGGATTTGAATGAGATGGTTGCAGAATACTTACTGCAACTGTCAACGATACCGATGGCATAGTTTCTGTGTCTCGCCGGTCAGAAAAATGCAATACAGCGCATATGAGACATGCGCAGAAAATGGACACTAATTGTCAGAGATGAGCTATTAGCACAGTGCAAAGCTGTTGGTCTTGACACATGCAGAAAATACGGTAACCCACTATAGCGTATCTAGAACATTTTGGAGTTAGCACAAGTTGCCTGCCACGCCAAAGCACAACACGAGTACTAACAATCAAATACAGCGCGGTCATGAGAGACCAACGTTGTCTCTGTCGCGAATTCATTGCATGCTCTTGTTTTCTTCTGATACGGAATCTTGTCACTCACCCAGATGAGTTCAATCTATGACACCATTCTTAGCGAGTTGGCTGCTGCGGCAATAACATCGACGTACCTCTTGTCCGAGTGTTGAGGCTAGAAATATCATGATAATATCAGCGATTTTTGAACACTGTCCGGCTCACCCCAATCGTATACCATCACGACGCCCGCTGCAACTGCGAAACTGCATATCAACGTTGTATCTAAACATCCTGATGCGATGAACCCATCCAATAGTCGAAAAAAAAAATCCAGATTGATTGTCGGCCACCAACTATGATCATTCGAGACGTATGTCATGTTCGAGGGATGGGAGTGAGCGAGTGAGGAAGGTTAGTGGTGTATAACTACAGCGTTCGTGCTAGATATACCACCGTTCAGCATTTTTATCGCCAAAATCAGCATAATGGAGATGTATATTTGATCCCGCCTCGAGACCCTTGACTTGGAAGCCCCGGATAATAAAAGTAGAATTTGATTTACAGCTAACATCATATCGACAGAATCCATTCTGTGGCTGGTATAACGAAAATATTTTCTATGTATGATCATATGTCGGCATATATAACAATATTTGCGGCTCACCAGTCCTCTGATGCATAGGATCGCATCTTCACGCGATGAAGCGCACGGTAACCATTCCATTCTCCATCTTTGCATGGAAAGCCTCAGCCCGGGCGATACAATCGCCATAACCTAGAAGACTTGCTATATCCGCCCTTTTTGTGGTTCTCCGAGCGCTTCAAATGCAAAAATATTGTTAGGTGTTTACCATGGAGTTTGATGTTGATATTCTGTCATTCGAGAAGCTCGACTGTGCAGTGGCTGTCTTGACTCCGGAATTCCAGTGTAGATCCATCCTGTGTTGGGGCAGATCAGTGACATCGAGTATTGGATACATGAATCTATGATATACTTACCTGTGGCAACATCAAAGCACGGCAATGAATCAAGGCTCACAATGAATGAATAGTGTTTGCATTCGCGCACCAAACATAATGCACATGAGGCGGGGTTTCCATAGGTTCTTGAAGCTTGTTCAAATCTTAATCAAAGCCCGCGGGCCGCGGCGCTGCCTTTGGCGTTTGCGGAGTCAAAAAATGAGCCAGCCAACTTGGGGCGGTTACCGTGATCGAGGATACTGGAACCAGCCACGACCTAGAACTGGACCTAGAGGCTAGATGGCCGCTTGTCGGGCCAACAATATCAATAGTCCAGATATATTTAAGTATCCCAAAGCACGTCGAGCGCCGAATTGTTCAACGCATGATATGATATCGTGACTGCTGCGCCAAGATCTCGTGCACGAAATGGATTGGACTGATGGGAGCCTTCGGTTTCTGAGAAAAGGGTTCAAGGCTCGAAAATATTCCAAGTAAATCCAGGAAGAAAAAAAGTACGGTTACGGTGCATGACACGATTGTAGAAATACAAGGTGCAAAAATAGGTTTTGCAGTAATTACGCTCAGCGCCCATTCCGTAACGTACTAACGCAGGCACTGACACTGGCCAAATACGTCTCCTCCGGGTCAACTTGGTGGAGTTAAGCTTGAAGTTTGCTAGGCCTCATTTTCATGGTTCTATACCTACGGGCGATCCTGACCTGGCTAGGCTTCCTATTCAACACAACTGCACCACATATTATCCGGTCCATCGCACGCCAATGCATCCTCCGCATCCGCAAGTTAGGTATCCGTCCTGCACAGTCTGGCTTGCAAACGCTTTTGAGCCGTCTCCTTGCATACTATCAGAGGATTTCACCAAAGAACAGTCATGCAGAACAAGAGACAACATATTTTACAGCTGCAAGCACCATCCATCCAGGAGTCCTTGCGCCAGTAAACGATCTGAGTCAGAGCTCACCTATCCAGGCAAATCAGCTTCAAGTTCAGGTCAGTCAACATCCTGCTCAAGGTTCCATCACTTCCATCGATTCCCGGTCACAATCTGCGTCGACAACGGAATGGGATCCCAAAAGGTTCAAACCGTTGGCTCCGCAGCTTTGCCAGAGGTACACAGGAAGGGTGCTTGTGTATGCTTTTCGTTCTATCAGGTTCTCTTGATCTCAACTGTTCGATTGGTCATGATATAGAAGGAGTGACATCGAGACCAAGCCTATCCCAGCCAAAAAGAAGGATTTTTCAGAAACGCCTGTCGACGGTTGGGAGGGTGTCGTACATCCGGAGGGAGCGTTGTACTTCTATGATGCTACTCGGGTACGTTTTGGTGTCTCATTTTGATTATTTGCCTGCGTTTATAATTTTTCTAAAGCACGTTTTCACGGACGCAAATTTGAGAAGCAGAAGGCTTCTCAAGGCCATCAATCATCTGGCTTACCAGCTACGCTTGAAAGCCAGTGATATAATCGATGACTCAACACATCTAGTTTTAGAGTTGCAAGCGAAAGAAGACGCATGTAATTATTACTTCGTGCAGCACGATAAACGACTCTTGTTCTGGCTGCAGGATTTCGATGAGCCCATATGTATCTACGAACATGTCAAGGGTGTTAAATCGGATACTCACATCAGTGGGTGTCTCTTGGCTCTCTTGAGTAAGGTTAACTTATCGGCAAACAACAGAAATCGCCCTCGAGGCACAGTATTGGTTCGTCAATTGCATTGCGTACGTAGCTTATCGTTCATTTTGCCCTATATCTCTAACGATGTATTCAGTTTAAAATTTCTCGTTGGCCGACATCATGACCGTGAAGGATGCACTGTGAACTATACCCGAGCAATGCTCCCATCCAGCCTCAGATTGCCACAGAACTCAAGCATGTTCTTCTTCATGCACACTCAGGTTGGCTATTCCCCGCCAGTTTTTGCGTAACAATGAATTGGGACGTCTTTTGTAGACTTTTTAACATCCGATACCTCTGTTGTTCCCTATGACCTCTCTACGCTACACAGCATGCTGGACCTTTCGAACAATCTCGTGGAATACGTAGGGCTTCTAACACCATCTAGTGATGAGTGTGTGGAATTGCCTGCTCATCTCATGTGTGTACTAGGTGCGCTATATATTCCTTCTGAAGCATTCTTCCACTTACACGCTGGAAGCTCGCCTCATGCGGTTGTTCGGTGAGCATAGATACCGTGCAAGAGACAATGGGCATGGTCACTGAATCGACCCTCCAGCTCGTTCAAAACTCTTGAACTTCTATGGACAAGCTGGCGCGCGTCTCAATGCTAACCAGTCGGTCTATGAAGTTGAAGAAAGTAGACAAAAAGGCACATTCCGGCTTAGGCTTGCGAACGTGTTCCTCTGGGGCGCACCAGCTGCACAGTACAAATTCCTGAGAAACACATGGGTAGACAATATTTTGAACTATCCTAAGTGGTACAGGCACATTAACAGACTCAATGGCGACTGGAGCAACGTTGCGATCTTTGTAAGCGGTTTCTTAAACTTCCACTTGTCATAATCAACTTTTTTGGCCAGTCCACCGTGATGTTAGCAGTTGATGTTAGTTTTCTGTGTGCTCCTGGGGTCATCAGCGCAGTAGCCGTGGTCATTTATCTGTCCACGATGTGCTCTGTCAGTTCCTTGGTGGTATCCATACTTCTCGCTGTCGAGAGCCGCGGATGGGGCACAGACTCCGCTGAAGGCGCCGTGCGTTGCCTGTTGCATACTAAGCTAAAAGGTCTATAATGCTCATTTGTCCTTCAAGGCATCGTTCATGGCCCGAATGATCCACACACAATCAGATGTCGAAGCGCTAGCGATCATGTACAGCCTTCCATATGCATACTTAATCTGGGGGTAAGCAATATTTGTGCATCGCATGATTCAAGGTTTATTCACGTCCACGCAGAATGTTTTGCTTCGTTACCGCTCTGGGTATTTATGTTTTCCACTCGACAAATACAGCAACACTGGTTGTTGTAGGTCTTTGCTGGGTTGCTGCTACTGCCTTGACACTATGGCCCGCGTGGTGGGGTAAATTCGTTATGACACCTTGGTCCGTTCCATCCAGGAAGGGAGGACATGTGAAGGAGACTGTTTGAGCTTGGTCGTCGTGGGGCACGGGGTATGGAGGATAGGTAATCACGTACCCTGGAACACGCAGGCTTGACGCTAACACAGACAGCGCGCGCTCGTCGTAGTCGGCGATGTGCGGAGGCCTGAAACTCGATGCGTAGTTGGCAACTATGCGCGTTTCAAGAGGACGTCCCTTTACACAAGCTCGGTGATACGATCGTCATGGCTGACCGAGCTACATGATGCTTTGGAAGAAGCCGTCAGGCTTGTGGAGGACAGCTCGATCGATATCGACTGAGAGATCTGATGTACACTAGAGCAGATACACGTAGCTTTGTCATGGCCGCCCCGCGGAGAACGTAAGATGATTTTGTATATGTCATTTATTCTGACTCGGAGTTATGACTATTCCACTGTTTCCTCTAGATCTACTTCTTTCTAGATATTACTACGTAAGTTTTGTATGGATATTGATGTACCCTCCTTGTCACGGTTAATCCAAACTCTACCATCTACCCGCTTGAGGATACCTTTGGTGTCCTTCAGTACCTTGGCCTTTTGCATCTGGAAGGAGCACGGCAATGTAACTGTTACTCTGAGCTCGATCCGTAACCTAGCAGGAAGATGATATGTCCAATCTGCCTCCTCCTGGGGATGGAACAACTTGAAGGACTCGGGATACTCAGGTGTAGAGAACAGGTACGAAAAGCTGTGTATATCACAGCAAGCAGTAGGCGGATTGACGAATGGTGGACTATCAGTCGATCATCTGCTATTTCACGCACTGGCTCAAGTAGCTTGATCGCGAGAGCTACGGAAAGCGGTCACATCGCGAACAACTATCAGCCAAAGAGAGTTGCCTCATATTTTACGTAACGAAGTTTCTATTTCGGGTCTGGCAGTGGGGTTCGAACTCGAACAGAACTTAAGTTAGTCCTTATCATTTGGTCCAAATATTGGCGAACCTATAATCATGGCTTGGGTTCGAAGGTAAGGGTGAGGAAGCATACTAGCTAGGTTCGAGTTCGATGAAAATTTACCCGAACCAGACAACCGGAATACAGCAACTCTAGCCCCAGCTAAACGTTGCTGAACCCCAATGCCCGGCCCGCAGTGACTGCGCAACTTAATTGTCATGAACCCCAAAGGGCCGAAAATACTAGTACGCTTGTCAAGTGTGCCAAGACAAAAAAAAAGGTAACATGCAGCCTATCTGATCTCTACATCGACTGGTTCATCGCACAGTACAAATATTAATCGAACAGGCAGTATTACAAGAGTCATGATTGTGAAATGAAAAATGGAGACCACGAGCAGACTTTGAAGGCGAGAGGGCATTTAACAGCACATCTCGCACGGGCAGCCTACATGTCACAAGTCAGCGCCGTTCTAACTGTAAAAGGGACGTAAGACGCACAGATGATGTCTGCGGCGCACTCGCAGCAGTCCTGAAATGATGGTCGCAGTCAGATTAACTCCGAAAGAGTCACTATATCCACCAATCACCTTGCAACACTCTATATGAGGAGTTTTAGTCTACAGCTTCCAAGTATCGTTGGGGACTCACCGAAGCACAGGAAACACTCGAGTGCACCAAGGAAGCAGTCCTAGGTAAAGCGAACAAAGATCAACCACCGTTCTCGACTTTCAACTTTTGAGAAACCGTACTTTAGCAGCTCCTCCTCCACGGATGCGCTTAGCGGGGTGCTCCTGGTGGTTCTGACTGTTCTTGGCAGGAGCAGGGTTCATAGCACCTATTCAAATCGACCCGCAGCCCATGAATGATATATCTTGATAGTCGCAAAAAACATACTCATTTGGACAGCAGCCTGGGGCTGGTTGGTGGTAGCTTTGGCAGTGGACTCCATGTCGTTGTTGAATGTGATTTTGGGGGTAAAGGACGAAATTCGGGAGAGGAATCAAAGGGCTGGTTCAGTTGTAATTGTGAGGGCCTTATATGGTGCCCCTGGTCCCACATTATGCGGCAGAACCGGAAACACGTGCCTAATGATGTCAACTAAAAGCTACGCGATCACCTTGTGTGATCTATTATAGTCGCTTCTAAAAATTGTACCCTAGCGGCTATGTAGCTCCCGTCGTCATCCATGACGACCGACTGTGGAGGCCAGAGCATGCGCAGCGATCAACGATACATCTTTCGGACGAACCATCCACCACTGGGAGTAGAAGTGTTAGCGCACTGGAAATGCGTGTACCAAATTGTCCTGCTGGCAGTTCAAGAAACGTGTATCGGCGATCTAACCTTGTAGGCCCATGACACCCTCATTGCCAACCGCAGGATACCTACTACCGACAGCAGCCGAATGCCCTGCAACCCTTCTTGTGTTTAATCAAATCATAGCCGGAGTATCTTCCGTTCCGACCCCGTGACGGGGCAATAGGTTTACCCGTTGAATCGCCCACTGTGCCAAACACACAAGCCTTAGCTGCAAGTTGGATACAAATTTCAAGCTTCCTTCAGTACTAGTGAGTCGAGTGTTTCTTATTCTCTGCTTCTCCCAAGTTGTTACTTGGCAGCTGTGAAGGCACTCGACATTGAGATTCTTGCCTCATGTGTAGGGTCCTGCATAGGCTTGTCTTCCAATTCAAGATCTGCAACCGATGAGACGCAGGTCTTGTGAGCAGCGATATAACAAGGCTAGTCATCGTAAATCATACACTAGATTGACAGGTATATGTTTCAGCTTGAAGCTATTTTGGTACGGTCTCATGTATGCTGCAGATAGAACACGCGTTCGAGTTTTTTTACAGTTAGTCCCCAGTGTCAAGGAGGGTTTCTTGTTCAAAATCATGTAACTTCGGTGGCCTACTAAATCATCTTGCTGTAAGGATCTCTTTTGTATGACGTCACGCCCCTCTAGGACTCGAGGTTTAAAAATATCCTAACATGTACAGGCCCTCCCACGAATAACATGATAGTGTTTACTTGTGGTGCTGCAGACGATAAGAACCTTAGGAATATCCTTTTTCCCCCGCAGATACTAGAGATGAAGCTCACCTTCAAACCACCTCATGTGCGTAACACCGTGATTACAAATGAACAGGGTCATGTTCTGTACTCGACCTCGACCGCCTTCACGTTCGATACTCGTGTGACCGTCGTCAAGAAGCACGTCCCAAACGAATTCAATATTGGCAAAGTAGAATCGTCAGAAGTCCTCGCAAAGATCGAGTGGCACACATTTGCCTCATCTGTCATCAAGTATGACGGGATAGATTTGTTGGCGTCTCAGTTCATTCCGAATAAGGGGATTCTTGGACGGTGAGAGCGTAACACATATGGGCCGTTTCACTTGTTTCAATACTTTACAGGCGGCGTGTTTTCCGAGGTCCCGATGGACTGTTATACAAGTGGAAGCTCGGCCCGCGCAATTGCATCGTAAGTCAGCTGCGCTTATTTTCAATCACTTCCAACAAAAATGTATAACGTGATGCACAACTGTCAGCTCATGCTCAACGGCAAGGAAGTCGCACGGCATCACCCGTTGGAGATTGGTTTCAACAAGCCAGGACATGAAGCATACCTAGAGGTCTTTTCGCCAGTCGAACATATGTTGGACCTAGTAGTGCTGACGTTCATATATGTGGAGAAGCTGCGACGGGGAACTCAGGAAGCCCCAGGAACGGATCGCATGCATGCACCGACTGAACCGGCTAATTAGCTTCAATATGAAAGACTTATGCGAAGAAGGTGAGATGAACTATCTCCGCATCATGACCGATGCGAAGACTGAACAGTTTGCAGAATATTGTACATCCCTCTACGACCTTTGCATCGCCTTCTTGGAGCGTTTCACACGCAGGGGGACGACTGTTCGTGAGTAGTATTAGAGGCAGACAGGCGCGCGCGCGAGGGAATACCTTAGCACTAATGTGACCCAGCACAGTTGCCTACCAATGTAAAGAGATGTTCTAGTCATTGTGAGGGTTGTGTCCGAGTCATGGACCATACGTAGGGTTATCTACGATTGGTACTCAAACGTTCATGCATACGTCAGGTACAAGCATCGAAGTGCTTGATCATGAGCAAGTTCTGGCAGGATACAGGAACACTTGAATTACGTCGACGTCAAAAAATCAAGTATACACCAACTTTGTCGCGCCAGGAAGTTTGTCGACTACGATGGCTGTAACCTGAGTTCTGCTCAGAAGAGTGTCCGCGGAAGTTTGCATGAACTCAGCGGTATTGTTGCATTGCGGTTACTGGATGATCGGTGCATGCTGATATGCAAGTCATGGTCTTTGGGTTGTCATGCTAGCCTGCTGCATGCAATGCCCTAGGTTCATCCAAACAATATCATAATACCGACCAGCTCGGAAAGGATATGGCTGCATGCGAAGACACCTGAAACCACGAGCTAAGAAATCAGCTGCGGAAGATCTAGCTAGAGTCTTCTTGGGCGTATTGTGATCTGTGACAAGATGTTTCACAAGGCAGGCAAAATAAAATCAAAACGTGTTTACGCATCTTCTTCCATTATGCTTCGTATCCAGATGTACTACGATCTCGTCTGGGAACGGGGGCCGTTGGCAGTATCGCGAGAGTGGTCCGTGTGAAGCGGAGAAAAACTTGAAAGCGCGAAAGTGGCAGCAGGATATGCACATTTTCGAGCAGATTGTTGTAGAAACAACACTCTGCACGAAAATGTGCATAATCGTGAAGTGGCAGCGCCGGCGAGGTCCCGCTAGTCACAAGTGCTATCAGAGTTGCCAGATGCGAAGACGAACGAACGTCCTACATAGAACAACCAATAGCTACAGATACAAATAAATAATTACAAAGCAGCGGCTTTCGGGAAGAACGCTAACCCCGTAGAAATCCATCTGCCAAAGCATAATATCAATGGCTGCATCACCTCAACCTTACTCAGGATACGCTTTTCCGATCACAGCTACTCCGTCCTTAACTTCTCCTGATACCTCGTCCAAGGTCCCGCCGAAACCGAAACCGGTCAACGTATTCTCAAACGATGGATCATTTCTGGAAAGATTCCAGAGGAGCAGGAAGGTGGGCTCCCGTAGATATTCTCCATCCTTTACCTAGATAATTTACTGATGTACTCGATCGTCTGAGTAGGAGGAGGAGGATAAACGCAAAGCTGAGGAGGCACTCGTGAGGCAAGTTTGATCGCTTTTTGTATTGCTTGATACCTCATCATGTTTGTGTCTCTGCAGGAAGAGGCAATTTGATGAAAGATTTGTCAGTACTATGCGTTATCTCATTCCACATCGGCCTAACTCGTACCCCAGAGAAAATGAGGCAAGCGTCAACAACCTGATACTTCTATAGTCACCCAAGGAAAACCTACAAAGAAAGTCAAGTTTGATGGTACCCCATTATGTGAGTGCGCGTTTTCTGTAAATGACTTATAGCTCACTATGCAAAAGGATACATTGTCGATAATAATGCATTCTTCTATTCCCCAATAGTGAGTCCCATTGTTTGATTGTCCGTGCTCCCCCGCGTATCATCTGTACTGATGACACGAACTTGGAGCCAGCCAGGTATCAGTGCGCTCCCATGATATCTCCATAATGTGTGCCTTTACTTTGTAGTATTGAACTTACTAGTACTGGCAAATTTAATGATACACTTCAACACACAGTGCGACCGAAGTTATCAACGGACGTGGTCGTATACCGAGTACTTAGCGGTATAATCGTTGATATCCGCTGAAGGGTGCCCTATGGGAATTGGTAAGTCCCAGCACCCCATTGCGTTGCACCGCCCCTTGCCTGCATAGAAATGCAGGGTATAATCGATTAATCGTTGAGGTCATCTGTGAGGTCAAGATGAAGAGCATGGAAAGCTAGATCATCGTGCTCTGATTCTATGGCTTCTTCTCGGAACGTGTATAGTAAGCCGAGTGCTTCTATCGACCTCTGAACACCCTGTACAGCCATTATTGACTGTCAGCTGTGCGAAGGAGGGGGTCGTGTTGTACATTGAAAGCTGTAGCAAGATACAAGGAAATATATCATATATGTAGGTTACCATAATCTGTTACAGTCTCGACATCATCTTCATCATCGGAGAAACTCCAAACAACTAAACCGTCACAACATTACAGTGCTCCTTCCTGGCATAGAAAATACTTGACTACAGGGTATCCTTGATCGACTTCAAGTTTATTCATATGCTGGAGAGGAGTTATCCCACTGCCATTCCGCACATTGACATCACAGCCAGCTTGTACGAGGCCCTTCGTAATTGCTAGGTAAACATCTTCATCCACGCCATTGTGGTTCGAGTGCATCCGTGAGATCAGGGTATGCAAGGGGTCCATATTCGACACGTATTTTTGAAGAAGGTACTGCCCCGCATGAGTTTGGACGCTGAAAGCAGCAATGACATCGTCGACGTCACATATTGGATCACGTCGAAGAAGATATTCAACAACGAGGAAGAGTTGGCGTTGAATGGCAATACGGAGGGGCGTGTGTCCTGATGAATCTATAGCATTGACCGAAAAGCCCTCGTCGATGAGAATGAGGAGTATCTCCCCACAGTCTCGTTCGCAGAAAGGACCGTGCATCCCGTTGCTTGAAAAACAGAAGTCATGAATGCTAACAGGACCTGTAAATACGTTGCGAATCAAAGCATGGAGTGGGGTGCTGCTCTGAAGTAGTGTCGCAATGACCTCCGCATTGTGTTCTTCTAGTCCATTTCCACAGAAGAAATCAAGCTGTCCACGACCGAGTTTTTTGAGGAGATAATTGACTGCAGATGGGATTCGCTTCTGGATGGCGATGTTAAGCGGTGTTTGTCCCACTGAGTCTCTACTTTTAGCATCATGTCCAGCTTCGATAAGGGCCTGCATAGTCTGGAATCGGCAGTCTGTCTGCCATGCGTGCAGCTGCTCGACCCACTGCTCCTGTCCAGGATTATCAGGCACATGACTATTAAGTGCGACGTGTACCGGATGATTTATGCGGATAGGACTGCCCACTCGAAGGAAGTACTGCGTGACACATGGGAGCGAGTGGGTGATGGCGAGATCTATGAGAGGTGAATATTCAACAACGTCTCGTTCGCATCCAGCATCAACGAGGACCCTGGCGATTTCTAGGCAATTGCTATCATGCATATCATGCAACAACTGGGATGATGAACGATGGCCCAATGATAGCATGAGCAGTTGACTGGACGCATCCGCATCCGCAACGTGCTGGAGAAGGTTTTGAATAATATCGGGGCTCACGTCGTTATCTTTGATGACGATGCCAATGGAATCTGTGTGCAGTAAAGCACCTTTCAGGAGGAGGTATTCAGCCACCGAGGGCATTTCGTGGATTATAGCAAGGCAAAGTGGCGTATACCCAGTCGAATCGCGTCTGTCAAATTCACATCCTGCATCGATAAGAATGCGAACTATTGCAAGACAGTCGCTTCTTTGCGGGCGACGAAGCAATGTATGAAGTGGGTTGGCACCACAGCGTAATGCATTCACATCTGCGCCACGAACAATGAGAGCAGAAGCAACGTCAGGATTCAAGTCGATCCCAGAATTGTGAGGAGGATTAACCGCATCGTGCATGGCATCTGCTGGAATACAAGCCCCTTTGTTGATAAGATACTCGACTAAAGGGAGTGACTGACGTCTGATGGCAAGATGGAGGGGCGTGTTCCCTTTTTGATCTGTGGCGTCCAAGCTGCACCCCGCTTCGACAAGGACTAGAACTGTCTCGAGACAATCACCTCCCCAATCCCAACGAGTGAGGAGAGTGTGGAGAGGGTTGGCACCCAGATGCATGTCATTGATGTGTGCGCCATGCTGAATGAGCACCGAAATGATATCCAGGTCAATTTGAGTGGATTGAATTGCAACATAGATAGCATCCGTAGGAATGCGGGCACCCCTTCCTATTAGATACTGCATAAAAGACGATGATTGCTGTTTAATAGCAAGAAGAAGGGGAGTGTTTCCGGCATTGTCGGTAGCATCCAATGAGCACCCCACGTCAATCAGGAGTACCGCTATCTCGATGCAGTTGTGTTGCATATCTAGACGTCTAGTCAGGGCATGGAGTAAATTGCCACCATCATGCCCGACGTCTACCTCACACTGGACAAGTACAGAAGCCATGGCAGTGTCGATCAAGCCCTTCTCGAAGTTGTCGTAAACAGTGTCCGCATGAACACGAGCACCTTTTCCTGATAAGTATTTCACTAAGGTGGCTGACCCCTGCATTATGGCCAGCTGCATCGGCGTATGACTTGCTTCATCCACAGCTTCCAATGATGCTCCCGCTTCAACGAGTATACGCGCTGCCTTGAGCCATTCTTCTTTCCAGTGCTGATGATGGAGCAGAGAATGAAGGGAATTGCGTTCATTGCGTCGCACATTCACATCAACACCATGCTGAATGAGGGTGGAAATGATGACATCGTCAACCCAATCATTCTCAAGGTAATCGTGGATTGCGTACGCCGATATGCAGGCGCCTTTTCCAGCGAGATTTTTGACCAATGGCAATGATCCGCATCTAATGGCCAGGTGAAGAGGCGTCTGACCTTCTTCGTCTTCGGCATCAATTGAGCATCCTTCTTCAATAAGTAATTGTGCTGTCCTGAGCCAGTCATCTCTCCAATTCTCGTGGGCCACCAGGGCATGGAGGACATAAGTTCCATTGCGCACCGCATTCACATCCGCTCCATGTTGGATAAGGGTATGGATAACTGAACGGTCAACCCAATAGGCCTCCAAGTGATCATGGATTGCGTCCAGAGGGATATGAGCACCATATGCAATAAGATGCGTCAATAATGTGGACGACCCGTATCTGATAGCCAGGCACAGTGGCGTATATCCTTCATCATCTTCAACATCGATTGGGCAGCCTGCTTTGAGCAATGGGTCTGCTAACTCGAGCCAGTCGTCGGTCCATTCTTTGTAACCAAAGAGAATATGGAGGGGGTTAGCTCCGCTACTTTGCACATTCACATCCACGCCATGCTGTAAGAGCGTAGACATGAGGGTAAAGTCAAAACTCTCGTTCTCAAGGTATTTGCAAATAGTATCCGCCGAGACGATAGCACCCTTTTGGAGGAGGTATTGCGCGACTGCGTGGAATGATTTGATGATGGCAATGTCAAGAGGTTTCCGTCCCTCTTGGTCCTGAGTATCGAATTCGCACCCTGCATCAACAAGGACGCGTGAAGCCTCCAGGTACACTTCCTGGCTCCGAGCATCTATGCGAAGGAGTGTGTGAAGAGGACTGTCTTTAAAATGGACGTGTGTTACATGAACATTCGCCCCGTGTTGAATGAGCAATGAAAGGATGTCAGAGTTAATATCCTGCCGTTCCTCGAGCGCAGTATGGATAACGTCAACCGGGAGATGAGCGCCTCTACGAAGGAAACATTCAACGAGTTCCTGTGGACTGTGTTGGATAGCAAACATCGTAGGGCTTGTAGTCTTGAAGCCAATTGTGATGGGTAAATTAGGGTCTCTTCCGACATCCAAGACAATATTGGCGAGTTGTGTATATCCCTCCAAGATTGCGAATTGCAGCACGTTATTCCAATGCTCCCGATGCTTTCGCAGATATCGTTGAATCATCCACTCAGGCCCAAAACGGACCAGAATGTCACAGATACTTTTGGGATCGGCAAGCCAAATCTGCCAGGGGTTGACAAGAGCTACTTGGTCATTCCAAGGATGTCGAATGCATATCTGTCTTGGGAGATTCTCCAGACAAGAAAGTATAGAGTCTTCCTCGCTGATGATAGAGGATATATGCGCCCCGAGCCCGAGATCAAGGGCATACCGCAGCATAGAACTGTTGCTGGAATTGAGGACATCATCGCTGACCAAATATTGCGCGCAATATTGGACAATATGTCGGTGGGCATCTTCGAGTAAATGGCGGTACTTCTGTGCATTTTCGCCTGCCATCAAGTATTCCTGGAATGATGTGCATGAGAAACTATCTTGTAGGGGAAGGAATATACTTTACCCGCACACTGTAATGCGACAAAGTCACAACACAGGTTTTCTCATCAAAGCTCACCAGAAAGCTACATATTTCCAAGAGATCGGTCGGGGACATAACGCTGAGGTTTTGGTTCAGTGTTGTACTTCCGATCTCTATACTCAAAGCCTCAACAAGCTGATACAGGTTGAGCGGCTCTAGAGAAGCGACTAGCCACATCAACGTCCGCTCAACGATAGACCTGCGATCGGGCCCAGCTTCTTCGATTGCCTGTAGAATTCTGTCATATGTCTCATAAAGGCCTTTCGGGAGACTCTTGAGCGAGTCCGATATCCCCTTAACGGATCGGCAAGCGCTGATAGCATCCAGCTGGCACTCGACCCAACGGAACCTGACAAATAGAGTATTAGTCATGACATATAAATGTAGGCGTTCACTAACATCCCGTCAGCTTGCTGCAAGAGCGAGCTTCGTATCTCATCTTTCAGATCCGGTGGGAGAGATGCAAGCCTCGAACGAGCCTCCAGCGCTCTGTCGATGTGAAGTTCCATGTCGTCATTGATTGAGCAGGTATAGTCGCTTAACGACAACGATGGTAAGCCGGATAGAGCACTGGAAATGGCCGGCTCCGTCCTACTGGTGATTAGAAGTCGCAAATCGCCCTCGTTCACTGTGCGAACCAGCCGTGTGAGGATTGTACTAACGCCCTTGCATTCATCGAGGGCGTCAATTATTGCGACGGGTCGTTCAAGAAATTTCAAAGAGCGACAGATGAGGTCACACAAGACCGCAATGTCAACCGGAGCTTCAGCCCCTTCTGATTTCCTACGAAAGAGGTCGTTAAATTCTGAGTTCCAATCAACAGGTGTTTGTCTCAGTAACTGAGCAAGAAGGGAGCGTAGAACGATAGCTCCGTCTGTGGTTCTTTCATGACGAAAGTCACAGTAGAAATACACCGGTGTCTCGCCACAAGCCACGAGCTCGTTGATGATGGCAGAACTGTATATGTCAGCATTCATGTGCTGCATCAGAGATGAGCACTCACACAATGACAGTTTTCCCTGCTCCAGCTGAAGTATAATAAATCAGAGAGTCATGATCAAAGTTCGTAGAAGTACTAACGTTTGCCATTGATCCATAGTAATTTACCACGTTGCACTGTTGGCGGTGTCTTCCATTGACGGAAAACTTTCATTCCGAACACCCAGGTGCACGTGTTTGCTTCCCGTTGAGCGGAAACCTCTTCATGCCTGATCGTGCAGTTGAACCCATCCAACCACTGTAGCAAGTCCTTTCGTTCTTGGCCTGAGTGATTGTGCTTATAAACAATGGGAAGTGATCGGCTAGTGGCTGGATGGACGTACTCTGTGCTTGTATAGTCAACTTTTCCATCTTCTGTTCTTCATGCCTTTTCATGGCCATTACCTGTGCGGACGTGATGTAGGCGATGCCGTAATCGAACCTGTTCTAATCATCGTTCGGAGTCAGCGCGCATTGAGATTCAGTGAGATATACGCACAGTGATTGCCAGTTTCGCAGCTGTAACGTCCTCTCTGATCGCCAATGCATCATCTCCGATCTTTTGCTTGACCTCGCTGGTTTTCCTGCTAATTTCCTGCTTGATATTTTCTGCCTCATCCTTTATATCCAGCTGGATCTCTTTGGTTGTAGCCGTTATCTCTGCAACATGTGACCTAGAATGATGATTGGCATTAATCATGTATCAAGGCCTAGAGCGCCAAATACAAAGCACGTACAAGATACCACTAGCGATCGTCAGCGAAAGGGTATTTTTGCAACGTTCCAATGTATCCACAGCCTTCATTATATCGACTTGCTGAAATGGCCACGCTAGTCTTGAACCGATCCATGTTTGACGCTTGTTCTCTGGTATACGCTCACGAAGGCCTTGCAAGACCTTCTCGCACTCCTTTAATGCGCTCTCCAAAGGGGACAAGTCGTTTGCTTGTGTTGATAGTGCAGTATTCGACTGCTGAAGGAGGATATATATTTCGCTGAGAGTTGTATTGAGGGAGAGGAGTTCGTTATGAAGGCTCATACGTGCAGCTTCTGCCCCTGCAACGGAAGAAGCATAACTATTGACCGCAAAGATAACTTGCAGAGATAGTTGAACTATTGAAGCAAGACCGCCGACATTCGCAATGTCGCCCACAACGTTCCACGTCGCCATGGTTGAGGGTAGCTAAAGGGAGGGCGCTTTTCTTCAAGGATTATTCATGCAAGCGCTTCGCTCCCATTCCGGGGTGTTCCTCGGTTCTTGAAAGGGTCGAGTCTGTGCCTAGTAGGAATTTGAGAATACACACGAAGTAAATGACCATTTGTCCAAGTTGTGACATACGGCGTATCTAACATGATGTCTCCAAAGGACTCATTCTGATGAAAAAAAACGAAGTCCCAGTGTGACTTCTGACTCGGAATCTGTGAAAAAGGCCGGTAGCTGGTGGAGAAAAAACGACTGTGGATTGTATGGGCGTGATCATCGATTGCTAGGCTTCAAATTCAAAGCTTCATCATGATAGTAAGTACATTTCAAGATGTCGCCGATTGAGTCATGGTATGTGGTTACTAATCAAGCCAGAAGAGTACCGACTGAGTCCGACTCCACATGGATACTGGTGAGAGTTAACAAAATTATACATGAAGGTTCCGAATATAAATGAAAACCAAAGTATTATACGATCCAATCCACCTACAACATCCGTACATACAAAGCTGCTCATACTTGGGCCATGACACGAAACACCTAAGCATCGCAACACAGAAAAAAACTGGATCAGCAAAGCCCTCAATCAAACAAAAGAAGATAACGCACCTTAACAACCCCACTCTTCAGATCCTCCAACCTATAACTCACATTCTCCACAGTCTGCGTAGCCTTCGGTGTCAGCGCGTTGTTCGGTTTCCACGCCCATCTTCGTAGTAAACTCACCTGCTGACCGACATGCTGATTCGCTTGCCATATGCGAACTTTGCTCTTTTTACTCTCCACCTCGCTCACCACACCTACAAGCGGGCCGTTCTCCCCTACGCCAACAGTTTGGCTATACGTGTGAAGCCCCTTGTGGCCCTTGAGCTTCGCGTCCCAAAAGGCGATCACGTCGCCCGGCAGGATATCAGCAACGCGGCGCTGCACCGAGCCGGCACTTTGCACGTAGATAGAGTACCCCCAATCCTCACCCTCCCCTGAGACGCGTTGCGCATCGGGAACTTGAGCTAAAACAGCCTTTACAAATCCCGCGTACGAACCGTCGCCAACAAGCGAGCGTTTAGATTTCTCGAACAACCCCGTCGCAGACTCCACCACCTGCACTCCAATTTTTCCCCAAAGCACCATGAGATCGTCTGCGCTGAGCTGCTGATCAACGGGACGAGCAGTCTGCCCTGAGGTGCGGCGAGAGTCGGATTGACGCATTGGTGAAGTGGATCCATGGAACGTCGAGTCTTCTGAGAATCTGGATGAAGCTAGGTCCGTTTCATCGCCAAATTCAGATGTAGCCTGGGGGATCGACGGGAGCTCCCACTGAGTAGTGCTAGTAATCTGTTCAGGAGGGTCGATGGCGGAGGGAGGCGGAGGCGGAGGGAACGAGCGAGGAGGGGCACGACTGGAGCGGCGACGTGGAGGCACAACAGGCTCTTCCTCAGTCTCTGGTTCAGGTTCCACCATCACATACTCTGATGGAGTACCAGGATCTGATGAGTCCCTTTCCAAGGGTAAGGCTGTGTATGTTTGCTGCTTCTGTACGGGAGTTTCAGTCGCACTGGAGTAGTCAACCGAGGACTTTCTAGAAGACGATCCCGTCGCAACACTAGAGCGACGATTAAGCAGAGCAGCAGGGATGGATGGAATTGGAGGTCTTCCAACAGGAGGGGGCGAACGCGGAGGAGGGGTCGGGAGTACCTCTGCAGATTTCAACGTCAAAGACGACCGTCGGGGCGGAGGCAAGGGCGGACCCTCTTCCTCAACCGGCTCTCTGACATCCGCATCTGAATAATACGCCTCCTCGACCTCGCTATCCTCCATTTCAGCACGCACGTCGTCTTCCGACCATGTCTGGCGGGATTCCTGCTCCGGATCGATCTCAACAGGTGGCAGTCGCCGACGTGCGGGTGCGGGTACAGGAAGCGCGGCGTCCTCATTCTCACTGTCATCCTGCTTTGGTGCAAGTCGTCGACCAGTGGCAGGTGCTACACCCGCACCGGGCGGCAACATCCCAAATCGCATGCCACCCATACCTGCAAGTTTTGCGGCGATCCGCTGCTTCCTCGCAGCCTCATCTTCTACTGTCTTGTCTCTTTCCTCAGATTCCTTGACATCAACCTCAGGTTCATCAGGAGGGATAGATGTCGGGGGAGGTGCACGAGGAAAAGTAGGTCGAGTAAGTGGCATGGGGACTGGTGGTGCACCAAACCGGATCCCGCCCAAACGCGCCATGCGCTCTGCAATGGTCCGTTTGCGCACGGAATCATCATCCTCTTCTTCAGGCTCCTGAACTCGCTGAGGCTGAGAGGGTGTCTCACCATCTGAGAACTCTGCCAAAGGATACTTCTATCAGAAGTTGCCACGATACTAGCCCGACAACAACACACCTTGCTCAGGATCCTCCTCATTCGTCGTCACAGGAACAACAATTGGAAGTGCGGTGATTATTGGTGGAGAAGTCGGTCTGCGCACCAAAGGGCGAGGAGAGGTCGGCACAGGCGGCGGCGTAGGTGGAGCCTCTATATCCACAGACTTCACGCTTGCACTGGTACGCCGAGCGATGCGGGGGGGTGGAGAAGGTGGCTCATCCATATTTGCAGACCTGACACTTGCACTCGTACGCCGAGCGATGCGGGAGGGTGGGGAAGGCGGCTCCTCCTCCATATCCGCAGACCTGACACTTGCGCTGGTACGCCGAGTGACACGAGGGGGTGGGGAAGGCGGCTCCTCTTCCATATCTGCAGACCTGACGCTTGCACTCGTACGCCGAGCGACACGAGGGGATGGGGAAGGCGGCTCCTCTTCCATATCAGCAGACCTGACACCTGCACTCGTACGCCGAGCGACACGAGGGGGTGGGGAAGGCGGCTCCTCTTCCATATCCGCAGACCTGACACTTGCACTCGTACGCCGAGCGACGCGAGGGGGTGTGGCAGGTGGCCCCACAGCGGCTTTAACTAACAAACTATGATCTCAGCGCCAGGTCAACTTTATGCACGTACAATGATCACGTACCACTCTTCACAGGGGGAGGCACAGGTCGCGGTGCAGGCGACTCGGGCCTTTCTTCATCAGCCTGGAGCGCATACGGCAGTTTGGGAGGTGGCGGTGGGGATGATGGTGTAATCGAAGGCTTCGATGAAAAATTGACAGGTGGGGGTGGAACTGAACGTGTGATACGAGCGGGGGGCATCTCGTCGTCGTCCTGGTGCTGGTCTGGAATTATTTCAGGTGCAACTTGAAGGAACTCGGGTGCATTATCTGGTGCTGAGTCAACAGCATCTGTAAATACGGTCTCCTCGTCCTCGGTACTTGTACCTAGTTCATTCGGATCACCCTGGCCGGGCTGATATTCTTGTGAGATAGAATTTGCCGGTGGTGGAGGAGTATCTAGAGTGTGCGATTGTGATGCAGGCTCCCAAGCTTCGGGTTCATTCAAAAGCTGTTCCGAACCATCATATCGTTCTTGTTCGTCCATCTCATCGTGATATAGCACGCGACGAGTTGTCCCCAAGTCAGGCTGAGATCCATGGTCGAACTCGGCTGGTACAAAAAAGCAACCAAAGATCGATTAATACACTACAACATGAGTACAGGTGGTAAAATTAGGATTCACCAGCACGAGAAGCGGGCTCGTCTACTTCTCCTGCTTCTTCGGCTTGTTCTAGTTCTTCCTCGACGTGGGACTGGGGCGAAACATGGGTAGCAGGGGGAGAGGGAGTTGCTTCATCAACGTCGAGAGGTTCTTCTACCGAGACAGGCTGAATGGTGATCGAGTCACGTCTAGCAGTAGTTGAGGGTATGGAATCCTGGTAGGATACAGGAGGAGGTCCCGAAAATGGGTTAAACGCGCCCATCTGGGCGAGTTTAGCAGCTACGCGTTGCCTACGCGCTTCTTCTTCTTCTGCTTCGTCTTCTTCCTTCTGCTCACGCTCTTCATATTCCTGCTCTTCCTGTTCCTGCTCTTCTTCCTCCTGGTCTTGTTGAGCAGGCTCATCGGCATCGACACGGCAATGTTCCTGCTCGAGCTTGTCTGTGGGGTCCACCTCGGCTGTGTCAAGCTCGACACTCACGCCTACTTCACCAATTTCCTTCTGTACGTCACCGATGACGAGGATCTGCTCTGCGGATGGGACTGGGACTTGTTCTGGACTTTCGACTATTTCTCGTGATGTCACCGTTACAACAGATGGTCTGGTCTCTGGCTCTAGTTCAGGTTCCGGTTCAGTAGTAGCCGTGGGTTCTTCTGTGGGTTCAAAGTCCGGGGCCTCTTCAGATACTTCTACTGCCGCAGCAGGCACAGGAACCTCTGGGAGCTGGGATGCCGGAGGAGACTTGTACGCCTTCTTGCGCGGGGGAGCTGCGCGACGTGGACCGGCGGGTACTGGCATTGAGCGAGTAGTTGCTGCATTGGATGGGGAATCTGAAAAAGAGAGCGAGGAAGAGTCGGAGTCCTTGTGCGTAGGGGCAGGGATGAAATCTGTAGATTCATTAATACTGACTTAAGAGCAGTGATCATAACAATGACCTGGATCAGTCTGCGCCTCTTCCTTGACATCAGCGGGAGGGCTTATAGCCTCCGCAGGAGGTGGAGTCACTAAGATACGCGTTATTTCATACAATAAACTAGAGATGGCATAACATACCCTCTGAGTCTTCGAGGATCACTTCCTCGTCCTGCCTAGGCTGAGGTGGAGGGGTTACTGGCTTCTTGGGAGCTGGCTTCTTGGAAAACAGAGGCGGGCCCATGCCAACACGTGCACCACCCAGACGAGCCATGCGAGCAGCGATCGCAGCACGGCGCTGCCTCTCTTCTTCCTCCGGATCTTGTTCAATCTCAGCGGCATCCTGCTGAGCCTCGTGTTCGCCTTTTAGGTCGGTAGGATCAGGATCGCCCGTAGCAGGGGGAGAGGACCCTTGGGCATCAATCGCCTCGTCTTGTGAAAGAACCTGATCTTCAGGAGCTGATACTGGCGGCGGTGGTTTCCACCTTGGTTTGTCTGCAGGTTTGGGGAGGATCGGGGGCGGGGTGCCGCCGCCAAACGCACCCTTGCCCTGGAGAGCAGCCATGCGCTCTTTGAGACTTCCGCCTCTGCCGATGCTCTCCATCGCGTCTGATGCAGACATCCCCGCAGTCTTACGCTCAGATTCTGGCGACTGAGGTGGTGAAGGTACCTTTGGTTTCCACGATTGGAGGGTCGAGGGCTTTGGGCGTGGTGCAGGCCCACCAGGGGCAGGCGCTGCACTCTTGTTAGCATTCTCGAATGCGGCGATCCTGTCGCGCAGTGAGCCTGGTTTTGGTTTTGGCGGTGTTTCACTCATTGTTGGTTCGTAGATTAGTAGATGGAGATGGTGGCAGCGGACTGCAACAGCGTAGCATGTTTGGCCGCGTTCAATTGACACGAGGCACTCGATGCCTTGTGTTTCTCACGCTCGCGTATTTTAAGTACATGTACGACAGAGTGAAAACGCAACGATCAATATTATTGGAGTCCATGGAAGAGGAAGGGACGAGAGATGCCTGCGAGCATACTTAATCAAGGTAATGGAACACCCCTGGAACGCTTCTTCCAAAGTCTGACTAAGTTAAGCCCTATGATTGCGTTATCCAAGGGTTCTTCAGTGACTGCGAGATCTGGGCCTGTTTTCAGAGGCTGTGATTCGCTAGCTGCGGCTGGACGAATTGGACCTAGGCTACTTCATAGGGAACCCATCGAGTAATCGTTTACGAGGTCGACGTCGTGACCGCCGTATACTGGCGGTGATAGCTTTCTGGAACCAGCCGAGGCAAAGAAGAGTGCACCGATATGGTCGCATTCCGTCATCCACACCAACTCAAAAAATAACTCGTTCTCGCTACCCTCTACGAACGGCCCTGTTTCGATCTTCTCTCTTGAAGATTGATCTTGTCCCTTTCCCCGACACGTCGATCTCCTACTCTTACTTCACCTTAACAAAGGACTGGTTTCAATCGACTCAATTATCTAAGACAAATGGCTGAGGATAACGCGAATATGGAGCTCGAGTTTGGGCACATAAGTGAAGGTAAAACTTGCCAGAATTTGCTGACACTCAGGGGGTGGTTCATAATGAGGTCATGATAGGTCCACTGTCAGATGTCAAACCCTCCACACGACATAGCCAATGGACCATATATCATTGACTTCTCCTAGCAGTTCCCGGCATCAAAGCCCATAAGACGATCATTAACACCATCATCGAAATGAGACTTTCGTGCCACCGATCATCAATTTCTCAAGCACAGGCATAACTATAAGGAACACCCACAATGGCTGTAAACTCTTGATTCTCATCTTCGTTGCAATGGCACCGTTTAAGAATGGCAAGAACGCAGAACCTGCCTGCCCGAAGCCTGCTATCCAGCTAATTGCCCCTACATTCAGGTTTCAGCTGACCATATTCGTGCTACTAAACATGAGATTACCTGTGACGAGCCACTCAGGGAGAATTCGTACTGCGTGCATCATAGCGATGGGATACATCGGCCCAAAAATTATGCCAATTATGGAGATCGCAACGCCTCCACCAATGATCGAAGGCACCAGCCATACTATTAGCTCCAGCCCAATTGCCAAGATGGCGTAAATGAACAAGACACGACGTTCCCCAACCTGTGACCTTGGGGATCTATGTTGTGTGCTATAAATAGGATAGAGACTTGCCTTTTTGTTCACCCACAAAAGACCGACACGTCCTATCATGATACCTATTTACAAATCAACGGTCGAACCCCTAGCATGTCTGGAAAGGCTTACCTCCGAAAAACCCTGATGATATATATCCCGAACTTGGACCTCCGCCGCGCACGTCGATTATGTATGTCACCATCCAGCCTGGAGTAATATTCTGGGTGAATATCTTTTTCACTTAAGATGTATACTTACCGCCCACAGTGACCTCCACTCCTACATATATCAGAATGAAGAAGGCGAGGAGGTGCACTTCTCTGAGCCGCAATATCTGGCTGAACTGGCTTTGTTCACTCGTTCCCTTTTCGCCTGCTGGCTGTCCAATCTGAGCGAGGCACTCTGTGAGATGCTTAGCAATCTTCTCAATAATATAAGTACTTGTCATACCATCCTGTGCTTTCAATCCAAAGACTGCAATCAAAAATACAGTGTTCATGAACGCAATACCAAGGCTGCACAGGTAGTGAAATGACCAATGCGGAAGCTGAGCAAATTGTGTTGCTGCCAAAGGGGACGACAAAGCACCAGCACCTGAAAAGTGAAGATAGGAACATCCGTCACGTTATGAAGGAGGTACAGCATACCATATACCTTTCAATAGCAAGATAAATCGAGAGTTCACGGACAAGACGACACTTACCGCATGGAGGATCCCCATTTTCACCTCGGGTTTATCCTTGAGACTGGCCACAAAACCATTTGATTGTGTGAACTAGTTTCAAGGTCTATCCGGGCAGTATAATCCATCGCACTTGTATAACTTACCTGAAGAGCCAATCCAAAGCCATTCATGGCATAACCTAGTACGAATGCAGGAAATGGCAAAGCACCCGCCTCTATGGCGTATGCTATAACCTGACACGCAGTTCCTGAGCAACGATAAGGCGACTGTGACCCCTGCTTGCAATCATCTGCCCTCACCCAACACAATCACCTAGAGCACGGAGCGCGACTCAGAGATCGTAAAAATCATCGAAGATGAACTTGCCTTTCCAAAACCGAATCTGCCGTCTAGATATAGATTTGCGAATGCTCCAGATAGGAAACCCTATCGAGTAATTCAGACTGATCGGTGAATCTTGCACGCTGCAGTGAAATCTTACAACACATGCGAACACGAATATCAGGGATACGACAATGAAATTCAACTGTTAAGACGATAGGAAGGTAAACTTAAAAGAGAACTGCAGGTGTTTGAAACCACCTACGCCATACACTTTCTGTATCCGAGGGAGCAATGGACCAGTTGTCCCATCATTCCATCCGGCCAGGTACATTGACCCACAGATTGTCGCAAATTGCACTCGTGCGCGCAGCCGCTGACGTTTCGTTTGGGATTTCAGGTCAGAGATAGATACTGCTCTTGAATCACTTGCAGACGACCCCACTCGCACTTCAATTCGTTCGTTGTGTTTGTCGCTCTCTTTGAGATTGTGATGGGGGTCAAATGTCGAATGATGCAAGTCCGTATGGCCCTCGCTGATCGTCGTCGTCTGCATAATGGGTTCTGAATCCGTATACGTGAACTGCAACCTAAGGATGTTCCTGGATCCGATGTTATGACTCAGAAACGGAACTTAAAGGTTGAATGCGTTGGAGTAAACGACAGAGGAGGCACCGATAAAGCACATTTTGATCCTCCTCCAAAAGATAACACATTGCCTAAGAAGAACTGCGAGTAAAATATTCAAGCCACGGGGCCCGCAAAGACTCTGGAGACTTGATCATGCGGGTGAATGTTATGATTGTTGATGACCATTTTATAAGCCAGGACGTAAATAAGTGTAGAACTTACTACTAATATTAGTGCAATGCTAGAAGCACGCAAAGCCCAGGCTCTTTCCCATCGCTGCTTCGAGTGTAGAGGTAGACTGCCACTGGTCTGCGAGGGGTAGTATATGGTCGTCCGGAGCCCAAGTTGCGTGACTCACGACTCGGGTGTAGATCTTGATCCAGCATGGTCATGACCATGTGCCGGACTATGATTCAATAACTTACAAAGTCTGATAAATGTCGCCGGGGCCTCTGTAAAAGCAGGAACACAATGAAATTACTGACAATGTGAAAGGTGCCGGTTCCAGAGTGCCCGGAAGGAACCGGCACCACACGTCCAGCTGAGCGAGAGTTTTTCGGCTCCTCTCTCTTCGTTGTTTCTTCTCCGTATCACACATCCCACTCGCTCGTACCTACAGCTTCCTCGCTCGTTTCTCGTATTTTCGCCCTCCCTCCACTCCCATTATCGTCGCAACTATAATCACATTCATGTCATATTGGATTATATCTCGAATATCCGTACATACATACCTATCATCGTATCTAGCAGCCTATCTTATCACATATAATGGTCATCCGACAATCCGCTGTCGAGTTTGTTTCCCGCCCACCCGGCGGCAATCTCGCCAGCGTCCAAACCGAGCTAACGCTCGGACCCAGCCCAACCGCTGTTGGATTGACCTCTGTGCCGCCCGATAGACGAAGCTGGACACTCAGAACACATGCATGCAATTGTAGCATGCCGATCAGTTGTCTGAACGCGAATGACATGTGCGCGAACGATAGTGGCCTGATTGTCACGAGTCTTGTAAGAAAGATTCTCTGTGGCGTGCTGTAAAGTAGGAGTAGTGATGGGGAACAAACATCCAACCGGAGACTGATCACGAGCTGCTCGTTGAACTCGAAGAACACAAAGAACGACGGTCACAGACTCCGGGGTCCTTGTTTGGCCGCTCGGCTCAATTTGGTCGGAGTTTTGTTACGTCAGCTATTCCTTTCTCTCCTCGTGCCTGTCACCCGCTGGCCTCATGATACATCATGGTCATTTTGAGTACTTAGTTGTGGCCGCATGCGCGATGTCTCAGCCATGAATGAAAACTCCGACCGAAGCCAATATTGAATACCCCCGATTATCTCGAGTCACAGTAGCGGTAGTACTAGCTTGTAGTAGTAGAAGTTCTTGAGTATACCGTATACGGGGCAACTTGAACGGAGGTACTTGCTTTTACGTTTGTAATTCCGAGCCTAACACTTTGAGCTTGTTCACATATAGACTGATCACGACGAGCTAGCAGCGACCGCCGAAAAGTCATCGAACCATTGGTCACATTCATCGCCTGCGGATAATAAATAAGTACACGCGCGATAGGCATGGATACCGCAGCCATCTGTAGCTAGACGTATTAAGTTAATGCATCATCACAAGCAGTGCACTACCGCCATGCTGTAGCACCGTTGTAAGTAATGTCCTCACTTGAAACCGTTCAATGTCGTTGATTCTGCTCTATCTAATCTCACCTCGCATGGACACAACCGTGCACGTGAGGGTTACCAAGCCAATGAGATTAGGCAGCCGCGTGGGATCTTTTAAAATTAATGATCGTGTTTCAGCTAGTCCTAAGTCAACATGCCACAGCATGCCACCCGGTGATCGCGCCTTGCTGCATTGCATTGGAACAAGTTTACATTCTAAAATGAGCTACATCTTCCATCCGAGTTATTCCATCGTACCACCATGATTGCACGGCAGGATGAGGAGACACCTCTTCTCCAACGACCAGAGCAGCCAACGACTAAGACACCTCTACCCTGGGATCAATTTTCGATCGTACTGTTCTTGGAGACGTTAGATCCTCTTTCTTCTCAGACCCTTTCCCCGTTCACTCCCCAAGTGAGTGCATTCCCTTTGCTTACACTTATATCTCACCACAATTGGAACTTTGTTAAGCTCATTAGAGACATTGGAGTGACTCACGGAGAGGAGTCTCAAGTTGGTCGTTATGTCGGCATCCTTGTAAGCATGTCTTCGTCGTTCCTTCCCCTTCATTCGTTCCTAATATTCCCCGAGCAATCGTCATACTATGTAGCTCATGCACTGACTATTTTTCATTGGAGTCAACTGTCCGACCACGTCGGGCGCAAACCTGTGATACTGATAGCTCTATTAGCAATTTCTGTCTCGATGTTTTCGTTTGGGTTGTCGAAGACTTTCCTTGATCTGGTGATTAGGTCAGCGTGTTCAACTTAATACTTGTGATCATCGATCACTGATATTCTTGACCAGTCGTGTTGTCTGCGGAGCATTTGATGCGAGCAATGCTATCCTCAAGACCATGGTGATGGACATCACTGACATGACCAATATGCCTGAGGCATACGGTTATGTACCAATTCCGTGGATGATCGCAAACTCAGCCGGGTAGGCATACATCGATACGTATTGCATTTTCTTTTTCACTGAAGTTCACGACATCTAGACCACTCATTGGCGGCTCGCTCTCCCGACCAGCAGATGTATTCCCTAGCATCTTTGGGCGGTCAAAACTCCTGAAAGCCTACCCATATCTCCTACCATGCTCTATTCCGGCATTGTTTGCATCAACAGCTTGGCTAGTCACGTATTTCCGTCTTAAAGAGGTGAGTGTGGCGCTGAAACTCCATATCTGGACCACATTAAAGGTGGTTACAAGAGCACTTCTACCAGGACATCACTTTGGGAGCTGATTAAGGGAGGATTCTTCGGACAGCCACACAAACCTCGCCAGCCATCGAGCAATGCTATAGTTGATTCTGGTGCAGCGGATCCTGACGCAGTCCAATCAAAGCCGCTTTCGTTGCGTGCTTTGCTTACCCCGAAAGTGTTGAACGTAACAGCAAATTATATCACCATGGCCCTGTATCATATGGCGTTTAATTCGATCCTACCTGTTTTCTGTGCGACACCGATCGAACTTGGTGGTCTTTCCCTTGACCCCCCTCGCATCGGCGCTTTGCTTGCAGCACAAGGCGTCGCACATGGCATATTTCAGCTACTTTTCTTCGCTCGTTTGCATGATCACTTCGGTGCAAGAGCTATCCATATCGCCGGCGTTACCTCCGGCATACCCATCGCCATTTTATTTCCAGTGATCAACGCTCTGGCCCGAGCCCATGGCATAGGTATGGCGGTGTGGTTGGGTGTTGCCGTTCAGCTTGCGCTGTCGATTAGCTTTATCATGTGCTACCGTATGTCAATCCAACACTTCCGACGTTTTACTTTACTGAGAAGTCGTAGCTTCCATGGCATTGTTTATCAGAGCCGCCTCTCCTAATCATGCTTCGCTCGGAGCAACCAATGGAATCGCGCAGATGGCTGCCTCGGTAGCGAGGATCGTCGGCCCGGCGTCTGCAGCTTCGGTCTTCTCTTATTCAATACAGGAAGGGCATCATGCGTGGCTGGTATACTATTTCATGATCACAATTGCACTTTTCGCAGTATGTACTGCTCTATTCCTTCCCCGTAGTCCTAGTGTGTGGGAAGATGATCAATAATATTATTGCGAATGGCATGGCTCAACATCGTTGTATACATTACGGTTACGTAGAATATTGAGAAGCTCTCCTAAACTCCAGTAATTTAACACTAAACAGATGCTATGCATCACGAGCGTTCTGCATGTGGTGGAATAGGAACCCAAGGGGGACATGCGGTGTTTTCCTTCTGGTGGTGGGAATAAACAGATAAACAATGATTTGGAGCAAATGATAAACGAGTGTCAATTGACAGTTGATGGTCATGCATAGTATCTGCTGGGAGTATATGTGATTCACCACACCATTTGTGTAAAAGTAGCTGTAGACTTTAGAGTAGAATGTGAATATTATATTGACTGAATTCAATGTAAATGATGTTACAGTTTATATACTACATTTCACTAATACTATGTTACCGGTCCTTGAATGGACTCATGTCTATCTCATGCTACAATTACAAATACTGTCTGTTTCAGATATTACTGGTCATTCAGTAATCACAAATGCTCTTCCCCACCTGTGATTCCCACCGTTGTTGTCCTAGAAGTAAGGCCTAGTAAGGCTCCAACTGTTTAGTTTATGTCTATGATTTTTTGAGTAAATAGACGTAAACAGTAAGTAGATGTATACTACCCAGTTTAAACAGTTTATAGACAGTGAAAAGTTTCCAGAATATTTCGATCCTGGAATGTCCGGCCCATCCGAACATCCAACCCATGGCTGACTTAGCATCACGTGTAGTTCCCATGTACCTGATACGACAGTGACATGTAAATGATAACCAAAATAGGTAAGCACGCTTGCGTGCATTGCCAAAACCTTTGTGCTCACTGTTGCACACAGCGAGCTCAATTATTTTACCATTTTCACACATTTTTTTATAATTCTTTTGTATGTCATTACATATTATATATTTCACATACTCATAATTGAATGAATACTACAATGGGTCCTGATATTCCAGGATTGAGATGTCCTCTCCACCTCATCCTTTGGGCCTCAACCTATTCTAAAAAGGCTCTTGAGAGTTGGTCACGGTGTCAGCCACAACATGCGTGGTGGCGCTGTGAGTCACATGGTAAGTTGTGACTGTGATATTTATTATACATGCAAGTGGGTTGGATGGGTTGGATGGGCCGGATGTTCAGATGGGCCGGATATTCCAGGATCGAGATGTCCTCAAAGTTTCAGTGCATCAGGAAAATGTCAACTTACTTAATCCACCTTTTTTGGACATTTCATGTCTTTTCAAAAATGAATGGCCTTGAAATCAGTTATTTTTCTTAATTCACTGCCTGATCCAAACTTATGTGTTCCAATATGTTTTATTAACCTAAGAGACATGTTCAAAAACATAAAAACATAAATTTATTACCAGTAAGTGACACAGAGTGCTGATTATTTTGATTTATTTGTATTTTCAAACCTTCTCCTGAAGTGGTGATCTTTACAAATTGTGAACTCCAATCATTGTAACAGTATGAAATAATAATAAACTATTCCTGATACTCAAGTTGGGACCAGGCAGTGAATTAAGAAAAATAACTGATTTTAAGGCCACTCATTTTTGAAAAGACATGAAAAGTCCAAAAAAGGCAGATTAAGTGGGTTGGCATTTTCCTGATGCTGTCCACTTATTAAAACCAAAGAGGCCTTCATAGTTTCACACACATTGATTATGTCACAGTAGCTGCTGCATTCCTATACTCCCTCTCCTTGCCATTTTTCTTCACCATATCAACTTCTGGTACATTCATGTCACCCAAGGATCAGTCTTTCCAGAACAACTTGCCTGTGTGCTCAATGAAACCTTTTCACAGAATAGCTTCTTTTTTTGTGAAGTTAACCAGTCACCTCAGCCATCTGGCTTGTCTGCATCCCCATACCTGCCAATACCAGCACCTACTCCTTCTATCTAAGATGATGGCCAATCTTCCACTATGAATCAAAATCCTTTCTCTCCTTCACAATCTCATAGCTTCTCCTTTGCCTTATGATTTGAATGACCCCATCAGGCTCAAGATTGTTAAAAAGTTGTTGCAAGGCAAAGGAGAAGCTATGAGATTGTGAAGGAGAGGAAGGATTTTGATTCATAGTGGAAGATTGGCCATCATCTTGGATAGGAGGAGTAGGTGCTGGTATTGGCAGGTGTGGGGATGCAGACAAGCCAGATGGCTGAGGTGACTGGTTAACTTCACAAAAAAAGAAGCTATTCTGTGAAAAGGTTTCATTGAGCACACAGGCAAGTTGTTCTGAGAAAGACTGATCCTTGGGTGACATGAATGTACCAGAAGTTGAAATGAGTGAATTAGAAGTATGGGTGTGAGGCTAGGGGTAGGTACAACATCCATAGTGCTGAATGTTATTTGCACATTTCAAACTCAGCTGGAAATTTCCAGACCCCTATCTTTCCAGACCCCTATCCAGCCTACCAGGGCCAAAGAATTATTGGAAGATGTAGTCATATGACCAATAGTATTAGGTAATATAGCAAATATTGTAAGGGTATTTTGTAAGTAGGTTAGGTTCAGGTACCAGTTGGGAACCCATTTTCAAAGTTATATACCATATGTAACTATCTGTTTTTAAAATTCAAAGGCCATATAATAAGATATCAGTAGCCATGAAGGATTCTGAGGAAGCTCATGAAGGTCAGCTGCTGGTATAATTCTGTTGTACTTGTCTATACATGTATGTTTCTGTCTGCAAAGTAATATATCTAGCATTTGTTGTAAAATATAATGTTGTTGGGTAAAATTGTTCCAGCTCTCTTATCTCCTCACCATGCCATATAGATAGACCTGGAGTCCCACAGAATAACATTGTTTTCCTGGCGAACTGGGCTTTCCCACACATTCAGCCCGCCAATGTCATGACCCGTGCTCGCCGCGTACATGCAATGTGCGCATTGCCAATATGGTCCAGGCACACGGGTCCTGCCCACCAGAGAGCTATTGCAAGAATGTCTGCAAATTGTTTTCACCAGTTCTGGCGGGCTCCATGGCATAAGGTCGCCAAGCGTCTCGCCAGGCTTGTCATCCAGATTTCCATCCCATGCTTGAGCTTTTTGTCGCCGGTAAATCATAGGAATGGTGTCTGCGGCAGCTACATGGGCCTGCTACTATATGGTGCTTATCGAAAGTGGGCCCATCCCGCTTGCCTGATTGTATTTGGGCCCACACTCATTGCCTGGTTACACATCCTAGGCCCATCGTATGCACGGCAGCAGGCTCCAGGCCTGCCAGTGCTTTACGCAATCACGGTAGTGCCCATGCTCGACATTGGACATCACATAGGCCCATCCTGATGGGGAATGTCACTACCCGGGCCCACCCATGGCCATTTCAGCCATGTCCAAGGCCCACCACTGTGTTCGGAACTCACGGATGGGCCCATGCTATTCAGCGGACATTACACGGGCCCATGCAGAAGGAGGAAGTCATTGGCCGGGCCCGCTTGTGGCCGTTGTGACATCTGCCGTGGCCTGCCCGTACCGTGCGCTAACTGGGGCAGGGCCTAACACATGCGTCAAATTTCCGGTGGGCCCACCTGTAGTCACCGAGATGCATGTGGATGGCCGCACTATCTCACCGATGTTACTGTAGTAGGCCCACCTTCCCACATACCTCAGAAGGATGGGCCCATCCAAGCCATTGGCTGTCGTGAGGGCCGACTGCCTACAGACATACATCACCTGGGCCCACCCACACCGAAGGTACAGGAGCATGGGCCTGCCCGTCCACTCGGATACCGGAGCCAAGCCCATCCGTGAAACCAATGTGGGCCCACCAATGGACGAAATGGCCGTTTATTTGCTGGTGTTCGGTCACAGCTGTATGGACGTGCCGATGGCATTGCCAACCTGATCAAATTCAATATCATCCCGCCGACAATATTATTTATCCCGCCGACAGTATTATTTATCCCACCAATATATCTGAATTATTCTGCCGATATACCTCTTTGAGTGCGCCGCATTGAATTACACCGCCGACAATGATGTACCCAAAACCCCGAAAACCATGGGCAGAATGTTATCTGCATTGCCTGGATTCAATGATAATCGCGCCGCCGGCTGAGGTTTCAATTTGCATTTACTGGCCGTCATTTAGCGGGATATTTATTTGTTTTCGCCGCTTGCAAATCATTGGCGACAGTAGGAATATCTTTTCTGCTATAGTATGGGCCCACCTGTAGATACAATGTTCCTCTATCCAAATCCCTGTGGGCCCACTCCAATGTCTCGAAGAATGTGACCCATGGGCCCACCCATAGTCACTGGGTACACGATACCAGTGGGGCCCACACAGAGGCATAGACATACCCATATAATGTGGGCCCATGGTGGGCTGGCCCATATCACTTGGAAGAAATGTCAAGGTGGGCTGGCCAGTAACTAAGGAGGTATGTCACTGAATGGGCTCACACTTCGCGTACAACGAATGCATGGCTGCTTGTATGGTATTGAAAAGCAGGGTCCATCTGCCTTCTGCTGTTGCCGATGTCTTGACTCGCTTGTTGTTCGGATTCTTGTCATTGTATTCTTGAGCGTTGAAGCTCTTGTTGGTGTCAGGTGCTGTCAGGGAAGAATCCAACCCCTCCACTTCTGTGTCGGTCAGCGCGGACACCGCCGTGCTTGTCTGCGAACGCAGCTTCGTCTTCTTATGCGGCATCTTCTTCCTGCTAGCCGAAGTCCTCACCAAACTCCTTGGTTGGATGTTCTTCCTATCCAATTGCCACGTGCCGCCCGCGCCCCTGGCAGCAGGTATGAACACAGGCACTCCGGTACTTTTCCTCCCTGAGCTAGACTTAATTGGTTGATACATAATGGTACCGATACTCTCTGGCGTGAAATCTGATTGAGCGAAGATGGCGTCCATGACGGACTCAACATTTCGGGGGAGCACTTTTTCCTCCCACATAACGTTACCGTCAAGTTCTTCGTCCAGGACCTGGTTCATCTTGTTTTGGTTGTGAGGTGCAGGGACTACATTGGTCGTAGTGATTGATGCGAGGAGGCATCGGCAATACGATGTTGTGCTTACTACCTGTTGCATGGTGGTTAGTTCTGAAAAGTAAGCAATTGATTAGTTTTGCAATTGATTAGTTTGCAGATTGATTCTAATCTACTGATCTGTGAAATTTTGTGTTTCGGTCAGAAACTCACGGTGGCAGGCATCGACCTTCCTGAAAGGGAATAAACAGGCGTGTGCTGTCACCTCAGGCATCACTTTTCGGTACCAATAAAGGGTCTAAGAGACCCACTTTCTATGTCACGGAAAAGTGGTCCAAGAGACCCAACCTCTCTACCATCTATTAATACCATGCCCCTTAATATTCTTTTGCACCTCTTGCGTGGCCTTGGCGCCACCACTGGTAGGCACAATAGCCACTTGCGAAATGCTCCAGGGCCACTGGCACCACCACTGGTGGGCACAATGATCCATGATCATAGCCTCGTGCGAAATGTTCTAGGGCTACTGAGCTTTGTATGAGGAAGGATGGGAGATCGAGCACATATAGTTGCTCCTAGTGTATTGTCAAAAAGTATAGATCAGTGGGAGGCAAATTATGATCTACATCGATGTATTAACCCTTACACACCAATCATGGGTGCACCATCAACTACCAGATCAATTTAACCTCTAGGATGTTGCTCTCGCCTACAAATACTCAAAGAGCTTTGCAGCTGAACGCGAAATGTCCGGGTGCACCCCGGTATCAGCAATTGTGAAGGTGCCTTCAGCAGTCGCGAACATGGTCATGTCTGGTAGGTAGACAACTGCCTCTACTCCGTGCCCAGTCTCGATTGGACACCATTTTCCGACGCAGTCTTCATTGTAATTGTATGCCCCGTCCGTCTCGCGATGAATTTGCATGTCCCAACCTCATTCCACTATCATCACTTCCGCTAACCACTTTCTTCCTGGATATAACACTATGGTCCATACTCCGCTATTCCCATCCCGCAAGTCGTCTCCTATCTTTTCCCCACTCTTCAAGTTTCATATCCAGAGCGAGCCATCTCTTGAACAAGTTATCATTCGTTATCCACATGGTAAATGTATAGCGTCCTGGACCCATTCGGTGTGTCCTTCAAATTGCCTCTCACCAGCCAACTGCTCCACGAGCTCGTCATCTCCGAGTTGCTAATGCTCGTGCGTATGATGTACATTCTACTGTATGAGGAGATATGCCGAACCCTATTTAGCTACATGCTACTTCGCGGATTTAGTCCTTGTTGGTATCTCCTGTAACGGATCATGGCACAATGGTCAAACCGATAAAGTGTTCGCACTCCGCATCAAGCCTTCAACGTTGTCAACTCGAAATAACCTGCAGAATCCTGAACTAGCTGCAACCAGAATGGGCCTCTGAGAATCTCGCTCATGCGCATCTGACCTCCTTCTATTGGGCACACCCGACAACACCCAATGGGTAGCTGGCTCCGTTCAATGTCTATCAAACCTTATAATCCTTGATCACCACTACCAACTGTCAGTTCAATTGACATTGTTCCGCTCAAACACCCTATCATTGATGCATCCATACATAGACTCGGACAACAGACCCATACACACAGATCCGCAGTACCCACACATAAGTTATGTTTACTTCAGAGGAACTTCTCACTAATTGACATCGACATGTAAAATGGAAGATGTGAAAGATATATTACGCCTGTGGTTGTTTGATAGGCTATGTACATAACTGACATGGGCGTTGGCTGATATGACTGGCTGTCACGGGTGCAGGCGAGGACGACGCTCAAAGTTCATTGAGGTCAATGAACTGATGAGTTCTCGCTATCAATCATGCTGATTATGGTGCTTTCACATGGTCATATGTTGCTTTACATTCATTACTTGTCTTCGGCTGATAATGGAGCAGTACTCAAGCAGTGACCGGGTCAGTCTCTAAGCTGTCTTTGGTCGGTCGAACTTGAGTGGGATCAAGGTTTTCGTTATAAAGTCATATAAAGTCATGTATAATGTCGGAAAACCACCGCAATCAACGTAAAGCACCCTGAGGATACTCGGTGTGTTTGAAGCTGTTCAGAAGCCTACGAAATTCGAAACTGATTCAAATGAATTTTCACAGGCTACTTTTGAACCGCCAAAGACTGAAATTCACCAATTAGAATTAACTATCTAGGTCCAATTTCTACAGTATGCCCTCGTCACTGTCATCTGGACCTCATCCTAGTTGTCGCAGTCAGTTTGGACTTGGACGTCAGTCCATCAGTCCACAGAAGCCCCGAAACAAGATGACAACGCAAACATTGGTAGAGCTACCTGGTGCAGAGGCCAAACGACCCTGAACTAATGAATCCAGATAGCAACACCTCGAAACCATCTCTCCCACCTCCACTCAGTGCTACAGATGCGGTACCTGATCCCGTTGATAATTTTGTCACAGATGATGTGGAAATGTTAGTGCCAGAACAAGAATCGGACTTCAGCCCAGGGGAAGCGCTGTTGAAAGACCTGAAACGTCGTATTTGGCCCGACAGGTCGACTCAAACATTATACAGCTCGTGGTCAACACTCATTCCTACTCTCATCAGAGCCCAACTCCAATACTCCGCGCGAACGCATGGTAAACCCTTAGAGAAAATCCAGAAAGTCATCTCAGCATGTGGGACTCTGCAGTGCGCATCAAAACAGACAAGTCTTCTATGTTTGTTTTTAGACCATGAGCGCTGGAAAATATACCAGAGAAGATGTTTATATTGACGGTTTACTAGGATTTGAAACTATTGAAGCATTGAGCTGCCAGTGTTCTTCCCTTCCCCAAGTTCTTATCCACCACGGCTTGTTCCCAACAGCACCTTTGCAGCCTCGAATGGCAGTTTCCCTTGAATTACTGTCCTTCTACCGGGCGTTGTTTGAGCGTTCCTGCGATGCAATTAATGCACTCACATGCGCTCTCAAGACATATTACTTCCGTAGAGGCTTCCAATTGACAGATTCTAAAGTGAGTTTATTTAGTACACTACGTGAATACTAATGATGTGTTTCTAAAGGGCAACGAAATACGAGAACCTTTTCGTCGCGGCCTTGGCCACGCGGTGCAATGGTACGACATTCTCCAAATTGAAGTCGAGCACCAAATCGAAGACCTTCTCAAACGATGCCGGGATCAGGTTACACGATTCGAAGAAGCATCACCTGAAGTTAATTCTGACGCTACTAGCACTTCCTCGCCATCTTGCAACCCCACCATCTCTCATGACAGAGACCTACCATCTAGTCATCAATCACACGATCCCAGCGATACCGTCTTCTTCCCACCAGTGCTACACCGAGGCCGGTGTTCATCAGTTCTTGCGCAGCGATGTCCTGCGTGTTTTGGTGGAATATTCCACGGGAGACTAACTGAAAAAGGTGCTGACATACACGTTGCGACTGATGAAAACTTTCATCACCAGCATCAGTGCTCAGCGGGTGATTGCCCGCATTTTTATGAACCTACTTACTTTCTACCCAAAGGGTTTGTTGATGAGGTGGGCCACCGAATTCATGCCCAGCGTAAACGAACCCCCAAGGCATGCAACCCCCTTGTACTGGATGAAGCTATCAACCTGTGTGAGGGTGCTTACGAAGCAGCTGATGGGAAGAAACAGAAAGCTGCTATGGATAGTTTTGATGATACGGGGGTTATGGCCCTCATTTGTCGCCATGATATTCCATTGTTTTTTGCTAACATAGATTCTCCTGGCAAGCAGCAAAAATATTCCATCGCGCTCCTCCAACATTTGTTTTCATTGCTGCCTCCCCAGGCTACTGTTACTCTGCTGTATGACATCGGTTGTGTCCTTGCGCGATCACTTTCTAAGGTAAACTCAACATTTATTTCAATATTTATTACTTAATTGGCTTATTGATAGTATGAGATTCTGCCGGAAGATGTGACCAACTGTCTCCGTTTCGCCACCACGGCCATGCATGCCTATGGTCACGAGTGGGCTTGCCAGTTGGTATACAATCCGAGGATGTGCATTGGTCTTGGCTTGTCTGACAGAGAAGGTACAGAAAGACTGTGGTCGCGGTTTGTTCGGCTGATCAGCATCGAAAGGTCGTCTTCTGTGTGTCGTCATTTCTGTATCTCTCTATCTATTATTAAATTCACTCTAGCGCCAACGTCGAATATGGCTGTTTGATCGTCAGGCAACTGCAATTGGACAAGAGATGCGCATGGACCTTGGTGATTGGATCAAGCGCCGTCTAAGACGCGGCATCAAGGACCAAGGAGCTGTAGCGCAAGAAACCCTCACTCAATGTCAAATTCCTATTGAAGAACTGCGGTCACAATGGCACCATCAACAGAAGTCACAATTGTCCATATGCACTCGTAAGTGTCTTCGCGTCTGATGTTGGGACTTGTTAATTCCTTGTCCCAGATGCACCTGCTCGACTCAAGAAAGAGCTAGACACTGTCCTCTCCCTACAGGCCGACCTCGACACCTCACACAGGGCACTACAGGCCGCTAAATCTATTTTGGGCCAAGAATCGGCATCCAACGACACAATACAAGCTCTTGAGAGTCTTGCGAGGGGACATGACCGCTTGATAGACAAAGTGGAAACCCTCTATGCATCTCTTAACATTCATGAGAAATTTCCCGAGCTCCAGAGCATTGATCTGGAGTTTGTGCGAATATTGCTTACAGCTCACGACCTCAAAATGAACATACACAAGCGGGCGATTGCCAGTTTCTTCGAATGGGATAAGCTCGACCGAGCAGTGGGTGGCGCTCAACAAGCCTTAGGTAATTGTTTGCTCTTCGCATCGCATGTAATGTAACAGAATTTTCTCAGGAACTAAGCTTCACCAGCAGACGAGGAAGGCCATAGCCAAACGGCAACCCGCGCTCATGACTGCCATCAGAAAGTTTAACTCATATTGCGAGCAGTTGGAATCTCATTATGATGTATCTTCTGGCATTCCGCTACCGTCACCTCTTCCAACGAAGCTTGCAGACTTGCGTGCTGATCCCACACTCATGGAAGATGTGTGGATCACCCCTTCAGTTGGTGAGGTACCCCGGTGGTTGGAGGATTGTGAGGCGAGGGATGGCATACGCGCGCTTCTTAAGCATGATCACTGCCAAGAAGAACAGCTGCGACTTCGCACTGAGGCAGATAATCTGTGCCGTTTTTTTGGAAAAGAGTTGGCCGCACTCGAACTCGCTGTTCGCTATTCTGGAAGTACGTATTAATATATGGAACACAGTTTGTTGCCCAGGTGAACAAAGCACAACGAATTGTTCTTGGCATTTCTGGCAACTCTCTACATACTACCATCACCTCGACCCATACTACCATGTTAGAATCGCCGGACTTAGAGGGTGACGATGATCCAACTTTTGTTGAAGATATACCACACGTCAACTCAGACCAAGCTGCCCTCGCAGACCTTCTGGAGGGTGATATGGGGCCCTTAGATCATGACGACGCCAATGACACCACAAATTTCGGCAACATTGTCGATGTGAACATTCTCCAGTGGGATGTCTCTGAGGTAAAGTCGCTTGCTTAAATTAAATCTGGCTTTTGTAACCCATTCTGTTCTTCCAGAATCTTCTGATCGATGACTACATTCCACCTTGTGAATCGAACATTGTCATGCCTGGCACCCTTACAGCGCGAGTCCGACCTCCTTGTGACGGGTTTCCCCATCAGATTTTTGAACCAAAAGACATTGACATTCTCCGTTCACCCACAGCATATCTTAACGACGTCTGCATTAACAGTTGCGCTGCTCTACTCTACTCCGAACTCAAAGTTCCTAATGTCTCTTGCGTGATACTCTCCACTCACGATCTTCCACGCATCCGATACAATGCGCCTGACGAAGTCATCTGGCATCAATGTTCATGGACGCATTATTGGGAGAAGAACATATGGGTGCTTCCTATACATCGACCCTCCTGCGTTGGGCATTGGGTATTTTGTGCCATTTACCTGCCCTCCAAAGAGTTGCACCTCTTCAATAGCCTTGGGAATCAAAAGCCTTGGAAACACGATGTAAAGGTGTGTTATTATTATTAACATCTGAATAACAAAATGAATTACAAAAAGGAGATAATGAAATCAATTGGTCGGCTCGTTCTACTGGCATGCAAACATCAGTATCACCTTCCTGTTGACCTCAAAGGATGGGTGACTCGACAACTCAATGTAAGTCTCTTCACCTGATGAGTCCAACTAGTCTCATGTCATGTAGATCCAACCTCTTCAAACCAACAACCACAATTGTGGCATCTGGGTTTTAGCTGCAATCATTGCTGTGCTTCGTGGGCGGCATGTCACAGGAGTACGTGAGGCTGACATTGGTAATCTATGGTATTATCTTAGCACCCTCGTACTTTCACTACCATCAGATGTCCAATAAATGTTTTAAATTTGTTGTATGATCAATTACCCCCACCCAGTGTAAGCAGTGTGGTGTCAGATTTTTGGATGATACACTAGGAAAGAAAGAGATGGAGGATCATCTTTACATGCACTTCAGACAAAATTGTAAAGCAAATCAGAGCCTTGGCCATGGACATAGTCGCAGTTGGTTTGTCGACCTTGATGTACAATTTCCCTTCTTGTTGGACCCCAAACATACTAACCGTCTTTCGTAAGATCATCATATTGGGTTAATGAGGGTCGTGTGGATGTGAAAGGTAAAGGCCATGCTGACAGTCAGAGCTCAACCTACAGCCAATAAGGCTGCGCTTGCGGTAGATGCAGCACAACATGATGCTGAGCTGCCCACGCTGTTTGTTGTTGTGCCATCGGGCGACAAAGCAAAGCCCTTGTATATATTATACTCGCTGACATACATATGGATTCTCGCCAGTAGCTAAGCAATCTGCCCTCTTGTCGGTAATCTAAATTGTTCTTGCTAACCCCTACAGGTAACACTTGACCACGAGCTCATGTCTCGAGCATCCCTGCAAGTTAGCGACACAAGCACAAAGCCCTTCCCAACCTGCAACCAACCTCTTCTCTGCCTCTCGAATCTCCATAAGAATCTTGGAGGTGTCTGCCGCCTTATGCATGTCAGTGCGATGGCTGCAAGCCTCTCTTTGGATGCGCAAGTACTATGGTGGGGACTGGAAGGGTCCGCGTGACCATGGCTCACACATGTTCCCGGCCTCCACCAGTGGCAGGCTGAGCTAGGACGTGGCTCTAACCCCACTCTGAACAATATGATGCACTTCAAGTCCTTTCCTGGTAAATCGATGTGAAGAAGGAATAGTGACTGGCCAGCAAGCAAGCTAGAGCACTAATAAAATCCTACTGAGTGCGGGTGTGCTATATCGACCCAAGAGGATTGCTATGAAGCACTTCCTTCAAGTAAAATGCGAAGGGAGTAGATGTGGAACGCAGAAGAACGAATGCGATGAACAGAAAGTGAAGCCGACGGTAAGAGCGAAGGCGAGAGCCCGAGCCCGGTGAAGGCACGATAGGAAATGAGCGAGAGCGAGAGGTTACTAGGTAATGTGCGGTTCCACGGGTAGCGGCTAGGTATGGACGAGGGTTATAGCCGAGGTATAACTAGGTATGGAATGCTTAGTCTGAACCCGTGTACGGTACAGATTCGCACAGAGCCTAGGTGAGGAACTTAGATGCGCGTTCTCGGAGCGGTCGAGAAATGCGCGGGTTCAAGTAAAAGAGAGTCAAAGATTGTCAATTGGTCAAAAATACTAAGAACATCTAAGTGACTTTGCGAAACAAGGGATAGCATCCGAGGGAAGGGAAGTACTTGACTGTATGTAACGCGCGAGATTTTATCCTACTGCGTGAGTCTCTGGAACCTGTAGGCGAGACTTGTAGCGATGGAACGAGGCAGATAAGTAATATGTAATGTGAACACGCACGGAACGAAACACGCGGATACATGTAATAAGCCATACCACATTATTAGTCAACCCGAATAGAAATAAACACGCACCAGCAAAACTCGACGGACATGGAAGGACATGGACGGATGGAACGGAAAATCGGACCCGAGAACAGAAGACCATCGGATTAAGCTCAACCGAGGAGGGCTTTGTTGTTAGAGGCATAAGGAATGGTGTTAGCGGGTAACTTCCTATATCTCCTGACACAAGTATGAAAAGACACTCGTTCCCGCCCAGCGCAGGTCCGAGCGTCACATCGAACTGTGTCATAGTCATCGAGGGATATGGATGCTGATCACAAAGTCGATGTCATTTGTACACCTGCAACATATGAATTCCAGTCTCATCTGAATTCTTTAAGCTCCTCCAGGTAAGTAGCCTTGGTAGATAGGCTCGACAACCAGTGCTACTAGTATCAAAGGTTGCAGCATCAACCGCGGGACTCCCGTGCACCTTCGATACTCAATGTAATGCCCTGTATCTCCCATCCGTTGAAATTCAAACATAAATGTTTGTACCGTTCACCTTCCTGTCTCCATTGCTGCTGCATCCTACATGTGGCTTTCATTCAGCGTCGTCTCAGCATGAGGATGCCAAAATTCCAGTTGGCCGATTAGGGTTCCTTGGTGAGAGAGTTTAGGGTCTGGATGTGCTAAAGGCCACCAGATCCAGGATCTGGAGCTTCCTATCCCCCACTAGCCTTTCCCTGACCGTAAACTACCCTCCCGGTAGGTCATAGTTCCCAGCTGGCCGGTCACTGAACGCGGTCGCAGTGAACTTTTACTCCCATCAGGTATATAGTATAATTCACACCCGAGACAAGAATGATTGCGATAAGAGAATACAATGAGGGAATCAGTTAATCTGGGATGCGAAGACAGGCTACCCACGATCAAATAAAATATGACCCGTGGCATTTGGAGCTTGGCCTAGACTCATATGGCTCGATTAGGATATTACCCAAACAACTGTGATGGCAGCCTCTTTTTGAAGGGTCACGATCCCAAGTCCACTTTATTTCCAAATGACTGCCTCCTTGCGAGTACATCATGGAGAACAGTACGTTCGTGCTAATGACAGGGGTTGTATTACCTTTTGATGTCCTTAGTTACAAAACACGGTGAGGGGCCATTCCTTGGTAACCATTGAGTTGCATCGATATTTAACCTTTTTGCCGTCAGTCACATAAAATGTCCGGCTGCCGGCAGTTAAGAGCACTTCAAGAGCTCGTCTTTGACTGTCTTCTTTCTCGTCTGCGTAAACTCCCCTCCCTATGACGAGCAAGGAGTATCTGACATAAGCATGGGACTTTCCTAGCCACCGGCATCTATGAATAGACCGGGAACATCGGCACTATGTCAGGATGTGTCAGGTTGTCGCCAGGTAAGCTTAAAGACCCACAATTATTCACAATTATTCATACTGGCAGGGAACACTCAAAGCCCCTCGACTTAGATCAGGTACACCGACACAGTGGTACGTCTAACGGGCCTGACAACATGGGAGCCTGGAAGACAACCATGAATTATAGAAGCATCTCAACCGCTATCGAGTTCTCCCCCATCAGTACTGGCTGCGGAAAGGGTTTCATAAAGGGTATCAGACTATAACTTTATAGATACGCTCACTGAATATATAACCAAGCTTACAAAGGCCCTTGGCACTTCGTCGGAATGCTGTTTACAAGGAAAGCCACAGTCATCTGGCTTTGAGGCTCTTGCCTTTGAATGGGTTCTCACTGCACAGACACCTCTGTCAAGTCATACGCCTTCATCCTTTTACCGGGGGGGGGGCCAAAAGTGATCTTGGACAATGGAACCTTGATGAAGGACCTGCGGTGAACGCGACAGGACATCTGGTGTTTGAAACGGCCAATTCCTTGCTTCAACACTGGGCAAATACCTGTCACCGTATTGGTATGTCTGAAACTCCAATCAGATGGGTTGCGACTCATCATTTACGTCCTGCAGGTCATACAGTAGTCCCAGGAACTATTCCCGTGGGCACTTTCCTCTACCATGGAGCTATCACCGGTCCCCATTTACCGACTGCCTTGGATTGGATGGCTATAGAGCCAGACCACTCCACAATTTTTTGTCAAGGGCCAATCGAAACAGGGTGCTGGCACCTCACCCTTGAAGTCACTTGGCCAATGAGAGTGCTCCATTTTGACAGAAACAGCGCTGCAAAAATTCTTGAGGGCACTATGGACACCCAAGATCTACTGGCATGGTCGGAAATGAAATCCGAGTGGGTGCGGAGTGGAGAGCGGCGCATAAAGGATCTGTGTAAATGGGGTCAGAAGCATGGCATGAATGGCTTTGTGAGGTTCGTTGGATGTTGAGGTGCGTGCTCGCAAGTGCCTGATGCTGATTTGTGACTCATAGGATGGAAATGAATTTGTGCGAACCCAGATGTAGTTCCTTGGTGATTTTTTATTGACGACGGTCATAGTGAAATTATGATCTGCAACTTCACTTCTCACATGGAGGTTGTTTCATTATTAAATCTCGAGAGCACTCGTATCGGCAGCGACCGGCCATATTTGCCAGAGGACCCCGATAGTAGTGAGTGACTGTCCATGTTTTGACATAGGTCTCATTTATTCTCGGACATCAGTGCGTCACATTTTTGGATTAGTGCATTCTGCTTCATGGTGCGAAAATTATCCAGGAGAAACCCGAATCATGCTTGATTTTTCTGGGCTTGTCTCTTTCTACGACACCGCTCTTGTTCCCTCCTTAGTGCCACACTGTGTGGGCTCGGACCAGTGGGATCACCGAGTGGCAGGAATATCACCGGAGGATATAGAGCGCGTCCAAGACAGGCTAGCTCAATGGGACAGGGATTCCTTATGGCCAGACACCCAAACGAAGGGGAATGGAAGAGACCACAGCCCAAGTGCACCAGACGACGGGAGCCATATAGTTTTTAGGATACATGCATTATTGCTGACATATACACACTTTTTGTATATAGTTTTTGTACAATTATCGCAGGGGAGTTTATAAGCGCGCGTGACATATGTACTTTGAAGAAAATTATGGTTCGACGGTTTTGACGTGTTGGCTCTTTGTGATCTGCCGAATCCGCCGCACTTTGGGCCGTACTTTTTTGGGCCGTACAGTTGGTTTTCGGGATGTTCTCGGTAAGAGCGTCCTCTTTAATATTACGTAATCTGATGTGACTCACAAGCAAAGACTGTGGGAAATTGTTCAAAGTGCGGTTGGTCTGGGTCAAGGTAGACACGGCCCATCAGCAGGTGTTGTCTGAATCACCGTCTCTCACGCTTGCTCAATGTTTGCAACAGCACCAAGGACTAGCTTGCTGCTATGTCATATTGATCTTGCCCAGTTCTTACAATGTACTAGCCTCCTCAAGAACAACATCATGGTCGCCCCTGATATACTGCCCCCTTCTGTAACTGATTTAGAGGGTGTCTCTAAAATGGCTGGTTTGGTGCCAGATCACGAGGTGAGACGCTGGCCCATACACTGACTTACTGTACTGAACTTATTCACACTAGAAGGCGGCTACTCTATTGGTGCATGACTTTTGTGTTGGTTAGTCGACACTGTTCTGGGGATTCCCCAGCTCTTCCACTGGGCCTGCCTACGTACATCAAGCCATTTCTTTAACGTAATTTGATTTCAAACTCAGTACAGTTGTATTTCTTAGAAGCCTTATTGGTCCTCCATTGGAGCTTACAGCATTTTAGGGGGTTTCAATTCCCCAATACCTCCTGAGCCTCCGTCTCATATCTTTATTCTACGTTTCTAATAATTCACCAGATCTCAATATATGTCTTGTGCTCTCTTCTGGAAATCATGCGTCGAAAGGCGTTACTTGTGGGGGATCAAATTTTGAATAAATACGAGGATTCTGGTGTGTTTCCTAGCTAGTTCTCAGTGTTTACATCCTCATTTCTCTCTCCGAACATTTCTGTAGCAAACTCTGGTCTGTGTGTGCTGCAGGCCCCCCTGCCTCTTGCAACCAAACCTAGACATCAGTGAGTTTTTTGTACAGTCCATTGCCGACTCAAACATCATTCAAGGTCTTTCGCTCGTGTCATGCTCGGCCGTAAGTTTCACCCTCATTTATCTTTGTATCCTTGACGCCAAGATCTTGCTTACAACCAGCCTACCCAGACCGCTTGCTCTTTGAAATCATTTATATTTTGTACCGCGAGTGAGTTTATTTCCCTTAGAATTTTTTTCCTGGCTCATATCAAATGCAAAGTACCCATGACACAATTTAAGGCAGACCACTTCGCTGGATCTGAAAAGCAGGCATCTCTGCCTCCCATCTGCATGGACTCATCGCTTGCTGTACCCCTCTCTAGCCTGGAATATGTCTATGAGCAATTGGGAGGAGGGCGCCGCCAAGCAACGCCTCCTGAGTTGACCCCAACAAGGCTCAGGAGTAGAATCAGAGCTACTTTGCGGGATGCTGGCGTTGTGAAGCAGGCATCTATTCGCCGAGCCCATCAGCAACCTTCAGGACACTCTCCTGCCCCCTCAGTAACCGCAGCCTCTAGCTCTTTTCTTGACGATGCTCTCATGAGCAACGATACATCGTCTCGACCGATGCCACCTCTACACAGTTGCCATGGTTCGCCCTATCTTGGCGAACCTATTTTGCAACTTCCTTCTCATCCAGCCAGTGACCGCGACGTGAGCAATGATACATCGTCTCTACCGATGCCACCTCTACACAGTCGCCATGGTTTGCCCTATCTTGGTGAACCTATTTTGCGACTTCCTTCTCATCCGGCCAGTAACCGCAACACAGCATCACTCACCTTCCCTGCTCCAAATGAGCAGCGTTCCTCTCCCTCTGGGGGTGATCTAAGTTCACAAGAAACTCCACAGATTCAAGATGTTTTTTACGGTCATAGCGTGAATGTACAGCCCGCCTGGATGGGCCAAAATATAGCCCGCCCCTTTGATTCCACCTATGATGTCCCAAATGTGCCATCTCGCTCTCATGATCCGACTTCGTGTGACACATCCCGGCTCGTACCTCCCCTGAATATAATCCCTCCGACACCATCCAAAGATATTCACAGCAATGTTAATCAGTCTGCCAAAGCAGCCAGTCCCCAGCTAGACCTCAGCTACTACCCTGATGGTCGGCTCAGTCATTCGCATTTCCCAGAAGAAAGCACATCTGATGACTGTGTGAATTCGCAGAAACCATCCATGATGGGATGGAGGTCATGGGAGATGAACATACTTTTAGAAGAAGGTTTCACAGGAATCGAACGTGCTTTCGATGACTTATCTCTGTTGACTGCATATCCGCTGTGGTAACAACAGTCCTGCTGAGTGGCAAGGACTAAGTTGGGTCTAGCTAATACCTAGCTGCTATGTCTATACAGACGTGTTCGACCCTAAAGGGATTTGCTATTAGAGAGATGTTGGATATGCGCGAACCCGAGAGCACGTGCTAAGCGCGGGAAAATAGCGGACAGGTATGCGCGAGGTATAGGAATGTATCCGAGGTTATCCGAGGCGCGGGAACGCGTGGGTGAAGGTGCGGAAAGCGCGGGAGAGTGTGGACAAGGTATAAGGAAGTCAAGGAACGAGGTTTCAGAGAGCGAGGGCAAAGGTATATTGTGAGGTAAGGGATCCTAGGTATAGAGAGGTATAAGGAACCTAATAGGGGCTAAAAAGCGCGCACTACAAGGGACTACTTCGAAGGTAAACCTATAGGACGAGGCATACAGTACGAGGGAAGTGTAGTAAGGTAGTCCTAAGTAATAGGCAACTTATAGTGTCTAAAATCCCACTCGGAGTAGGAAGGGATAGGAAATATAGTAAATATGTAAGGACATGTAATAAGGCTGCAGCACATTTTACAAGCCTCGAGGTAAGGAAATTCACATACCAATGGGGTTTGGATGGACTATGGATGGACAAGGGACCTTCCTAATGCGTTTCCGAGGTATCCGAAGCGCGGGAACGCGCGTCCGATGCGGCCGATGCGCGGGAAAGTGCGGATAAGCGGGCGCGCTAAGCGCGGGAAAAGCGGGTTCGGTTTAGGACAAAGGTGGACAATGATAATGAAACTGATAGTGTCCTATACTCTTTGACACATATATGAAAATACCCTGTTTCCTGCCCAGCACGGGTCTGAGCGTCACACCGCTTCCACAACTCACTAACATGTTTCTCAAGAGTCGTGGGCGAGTAGTCCATGGTGTCAACTACTGGAACATATATGCGAATTACTTCAAGGAGAACATGGAGAAAGAAGTGGCACGCCTAACGGAAGATGAAACGCACGACGCCGAAGGTAAAGGAAAAGGAAAAGAGGTTTGTAGGCCAGATATGCAGGGCACGCCGAGTGAGTATCTGATACAGTCGATTATACTCATTTTATTCTGACTGACTTTACAGGCACCCGGCTGCGAACACATTGCTATGAAAAATTCAAGGACACCTTCCCAGATGCATACCAGGATATCCTTGACATGTTTGATGAAGCTGCTGTGCTAGGTGCTACTACTCAAACCATCTCTCAGTGTGGACAGTCGTTTCAGAGGCTCTGTAAAAAAGTGGCGGGCATGGTAAGGTGTTTCATTGCAGCTGTCTTACTCGCTTAACTTTTTTTCAGTTAGATTCCTCGGCCGCCAGATTCGGGTTTGAGGCCGCTGTCGTGCTATGTGGGAAAATAGTGAACCAAGACGCATCACTTGGTCACGTACACACGACACCCGGTGCTGGAGGGGTAAGGCGATCTACATTACGATATTCATCAGGCACTTACTTATTCAATAGTTTTTTGAGACACAATGTCATGCCAACGACGACACAATCATTGCTCACATCAAAGCACATGTGTTGTAGGTTTTTGCGATCAATCTATGGCCTTATACATCTTGACCTTGTTTTTCAGTAACACCACATCGTTATCAGCAGTTGAAGAGTCTTTCAATGTTGACGACAGCAACGGTGTAGAATCATCGTTGAGTGATGATACCTCGGACATTCAAATCCTGGAAGGGCGAGACGTTGCACTAAAGTGGTTGAAACGTGAGCTCACGAGACAAGTTGGTACACTCTTGGTTTATCTTTTTCTTCGAACTGGGGTTTATAAAATCACATTAGAGCACTGTGGCGGCAAGTTCGTGTCTGACAAAAATTTTCCTTGGAAGCTCATGCCGAATGCCCTTGCTGATGACTGGCTGTGCATTACCAGCTATCCTGCACACAAGTGCTTGTTGCCAGGTGAATACCATAGCAATACATCAAAGAGCAAGGCCATTGGAGGGCTAATGCAGAAGGAGATCTCTGCACTCGTAGATGCTCTGAAGGCAGGAACGATGGTTGTCGTTAAGGTGTCAGCAAAGTTTCAAGGTGAGTCTGAAGGGTGGCGGGAACTCTGAATTATCTGCTGATTCTTGTCCAAGTCGCTATTATTGCCTCTGAAGTGCCTGTTATCATTGGCGAAGCGCCTCCGTCTGACTATCTGCACCCTGGTGCCCGCCGCATGTTCACAGATGGTCACACGGACTTTAACGGACCCTCCCGGGCTAAGCCTACTACTGCAGCGACCAAGGTCAAGAAGGCTCAGAAAGGTCATAACGCCAGACCGATATCTCAGCAAGATGAACCTCACGATGAGGTCAGATCTCTCCCACAGATGACAGGGCCCCCTCCCTCACGTCCATTTGTCATGGTCATGAAGCCTCTACCACGCCCAGCACCTCCTCCCTCGCGCCCATTTGTTATGGCCACCAAGCCCACCATGCTTGACGTAATCTCCATTCTGACCTCTGACTCTGAAGAAGAGCTGCTAGAGAAACCTGATGATGGTAAGGGCAAAAAGAGGAAGTTAAAATTTGCAGCAGTAGCTCGAACATTAAAGAAGCATGCACCATCTGCAGAGGCAGTGAAGGATATGAAAGGAGAGATGAAGGGTGGGCCAACATCGCCTCTGACTGTTGGATCTTCAAGTGATGAGCCACTTGCACCGGCAGGTTAGTATTTCTAATTAACTTCGGACCCGCCCATCTGACTATTACAAATGAATAGCTCTGGCTTCCAAGAGGCTCCGGAACGTCAATGGTTCTCACTATGTGGAGGGCCGTGCACTTCGGAAGGTGTACCACAAGGTGGACTCAGAGGATGCGGTCAAGCTTGCTGCAAACGACCCTGCATGCCCTGTAATGGTTGCTGATGGCATGGAAACTTCCATGGGAGGAGAATCTCGGGAGGCAAGAGAGTTTGTGGGGCCAAATTCAGATGATCCATCTGTGCTTGTTCATACCTCGCAGACAGAGCCTCTGAACACCATGGCTGACCAGGTTGGTCCAGCTAGTCCACATGCTGTAGGGCACCTGTCACCTCACCAGCCCACGGTGTCTCGGAACCATCTGCGGAACGACCCTCGTAATCCTTTGGACTCACGCGAGCTTCACCGTCTTCGTGACCACCCTCATTGTCATTACTCCCGTGAAGTTCATCACCATCGTGATGCTTATCCCCCATTGTTGGAACGTGATGGTCTGCAGCTGCGGAATGCACCCTATAATCGAAGGGAGGCTCCAGGCCTCACACCCCTGGAAGTTTATGGACCATACGTTACTCAGTGGAATGACATTGATGACCATCAAGGTTTCACTCCTTATGCTGATGATCCCTCATGCTCGTGGGGCTACCGTGATCAGTATGGTCAATGGAGGAGGTATGAAGACACGCAGAAAATGGTTCATGATGGTGAATTTAGCAACTACCCACGCGAGGCTCCAGCACCACGAATCTATCCGTTCGAAGACCATCGTGCAACCCATACTGACAATCGTGATGGCAACTCAATGATTAGTGCTGCCACAGTCTGGTCCAGAACCATGGTTTGAACCAGACTTTTGGTCCAGTTCTCCATGGTCCAGTCCATGGTTCTTACAGAAGCCTGAACCGGACCGGAAAATGGTTCTGGGTTCTAGGTCTTCCCGGACCATCCCAATTTGGTTTGGTCTTCCCGAACCATTCCGAACCCTTATCGACTTCGACTTCGTCTCATTACTTTCTTTGGTTCCCAGCTAACATTTTTGATTAGTTACACTCACTGCAATACTCAACCTTAGCTCGTGTTGCGCATGATTACCTTCCCATTCAAGGCAGTGCTGTCCCATCTGAATGCGCTTTCTCCAGCGGGGGGATCACATCGACTTTGCGCCGCAATGCACTCGCGTCATCCACCTTCTCTGCACTGCAAGTGTTGAAGGCAGCCTATCATAATGGACACTTGTCAGCAGCAGTTGAGGCAGAGGGGCATGCAGCTAGTATTATGTAGTTAGGCTAGGTAGCTGATGTCTTGTAGATGTAATACCAATGTTTTTTTTCATGCACCCAAAACTTATGGTTCGGTTCGAGTTCGAACTGGAAAAAAACCAAACCGGACCGCAAAGAACGGTTCTTGAAGGTCTGGTTCTGGGTTCAACGATTTTGCAGAACTGGACCATAGTTCGGTTCTCGGTTCTCGTCAAGGACCCCCTGAACCGGACTGAACCGGACCACAGCAGCACTAATGCAGACTCAGTAGAGTTCGGGAGGATGGCTGAGGCGCCCTCTTTGTCACCGGATTGCTGAATATGAGCTCGGCGTGATGTTTCACCAGTACGAGAAGCAGGTCCAATCTTGCGAGCAGGATTCTGCTTCGCCCGTTGATTCTCCAGCACCCGTGGTTTCTTCGCCGGAGGTTTCACCTCTTTAGGTTCGTCAACTTCCAAATCTTCCGATGAGTCTTCATGCTGGTGTTTCTTGCGAGCTGCTGAGACATGATGCATCGGCCGTGTTTCCTTGGGCTTCACTTTGGCAGGCAACCTGTGAGGCTCATCATCATTAGAGTCTGCCTCCGAATCTTCCCAGGATTCTTCAACAACATCAGGCATCTTTCTGACTTGCACCCGGCACTGCGATACTTTCTGGACAGGTCTGTCAGCATCTGCGCTACTGGTGGAATTGTCATCCATTTGATGTGATCGATTCTTCTCCTGGGAAGATTTCTTTGTTGACTTTTTGGTCTTCTTCGCCGTTGATGATCTAACAGTTGATTTCTCTTCAGTGTCTGACTCTACCACTCTGACAGGAGGCTCGACCTGATCCTTGCACCACCACCTGCTGAATTTCAGAGTGGGACCATCCGATGACTCCTGTCGGTTATACCAGAATTCGAGCAAGGCTGTGGCTTCCTCCTGGTTCATCCTCGAAGGCTCCCAAATTTTTGCGCCATCAGGTAGGTACTTTCTTGGTAGCATCTTGTCTTGTCGGGATGATAGTTCTTTCCACGGAACCAAATCTTTCGGTCTCCCGGAGCACGCCGCTGTGTTGAATTTCAGATGTCAGATTTATAAGGGCATGCAAGTCACCTACCATAATGCCAATTTAAAAATGCTCGGACCACCGCCTTTCTGGTTCCAGAGTCCATTTCATCATAGTTCGGGAGGACAGGGACACCGCTGTCTCCTATGTCCAGCATGTATGTGTTATCCTTCCTCCCGGCCTTATGCAGCACACAATCATCCTCGCCATCACCATCTACTGGCAGCACGTAAGTCAGAAGTCAATCATCTACCGAGATTGGTGAACATTTCTTACCAAACAATTTCGTCATGTATGGCTCCCACTCGGGCAATATGACCTGCCAGTCGCAGGTCTTTGTGAAACTTTCTGCCCCCCTGAACTCATCATTATAGTCATGGCTTTCAGGACATGAGACGTGTCTTGTTTGGGCGATGAAACTCCACTCACCCGGTCACCAACAGCTTGCCCTCTTCTGTCTTCCTTGCAGCCAATACAAACACCCTCATTCCAGCCCATTTTTACATCTCACTGGCGAAGTGGTGGACCATGCCCTCGCTTTTCTTTTTGGCGATGTCTATCTGCACCTTGGGAGGAACGCCCTGACTGTTCCACTCCTCTGCTGTCTTGACGGCCTCCTGAATTTCTTCCTCTGTCAAAGACTCTATCAATGCACTCAAATACTTCGAATAATGCTGGATCATTTCCGTTGATCCCGGTTTTACCCCCGTGTCATCCTGTATCTTTTTCAACAGCTCCCGTTTCCAAAGTGTGTCAATGACCCAACAATAGGTCCACCTCCTCCCCATATTGATGGGAGGTTTGTGGTCCTGCTTCCTGCTTCCTGCCTCCGTGATTGCGAAACCAATTTCGGTACACCTGAAAGATGAGTCCGAAAGCATTCCTTATGAGCTGCTCTACACTCACCTTCTTTCGTTTCTCAAGTAGTTGTTTGTCCTTGGTCGGGGCCTTTAGGCGAGCCTCTAGTGTCGCATCCTTCCATACCTGATTCCGGTCTTCACCCGAAGCAGCCTCCCATTGTTCAATGTAGGACTGCAGGATGACAAGCTCCTCTGGAGTCAATGGCGGCTGCGTATGTGCATCCTTGGCTGGATTAGAGTTGCTGTCTGGCATATATGTATTGATAGAATAGACTATGTGGGCGTGGAAGGGTGGAGAAGGAAGGATGTGAGGGATGAAATTGTCGTGTTGAGTCTGATGAAGGTGGGTTAAGTGAATGAAGGAAATTGGAATATGCAACAGAATGGTCTTTCATGACATTATGGTATCCGAAATTATTTGGTCATAATGACATAATAGGCTAATAGAATCTATAGGTAATGGTAATGCTGTGATTACACTAAGAACAACTTTGGTTGGACCTCCGATTTGACGTTTCAGCCTGATGGCCAGGACAATCATAAAGGAATGCACTCCTAGGGGCACAGCTCAGTTGGTGGAACGGAAGCCTAAGAAAACCACCCGAGGTCTCAAACCCAGGTGGGTACCGGTTAAACGGACTCAACCAAGCAAGTCTGTTTCGTCCTCGCCAACGAAATCTCCAACCAAGCGAGGTTCAGACATCATGCATCATCGATTATTCCCAGACTTGGATGTCCATTTCGAGCATGGGGGGCAAGGGCCCATTCCATTCCCAAATATGAGGAGGCAGAGGAAGAAAACAAAGGCAAGTCTGTTCCCACATCTCCATCCCCATCAACTGGTTTCAAGCTGATGCCATCATCCCAGGGTCCAAACAACTACCTCAGGGAGTGGAAACAAAGGACCGAGGATTATCTGGATATGTTCATGGCAAGAAAGGCTCCTCATTCAGACAGGGTGTGTTCATTGTGCGACTGAGATGGAGCTTATAGGTGTCATGACTGTTTTTCCAAGCCGATCTTCTGCAGTGAGTGCTGCCGAACACAGCATGTCCGACTGCCGTTTCATAAGATTAGTCGATGGAATGGAGACTTCTTCGAGGAGAGCTCATTGACGAGATTGGGCATGGAGTACCACCTCGGCCACAGCGGACTCCCATGCCCGATGAATGCTGGAGGACCTGAAGAGATCCGTCGGGAGGAAAAGGATGTCTTTGACAACAATTCGGTGGATATGCCAGTAGTCGAGGAATTTACTGATGATGAGGACGCCTCTCCCATCGACGGTACGTCAGGACACAAGGGAATGCCCGTCGTCGGGTGCATCGTGCGGGTAACAGTGGTTGACATCACAGGCATACATTATCTCATAATCTGTTTCTGCCAATGCACCGATGCTCCTGATGCGGAGAAACAGTTGTTTCAAATGGGTTTGTTCCCGGCCTCTTTCACCTGGCCTAGGACCACATTCACATTTGCCTTGCTGGATGATTTTGCACTTGACAATGTAGAGTCCGGCACTTCTGCCATGAACTATTACAATAAATTGCGGCGGAGAACGTCAAGCATATTCCCTCACCTAGTACCGGTAGGACAAATCTTGCAGATGGCTGCATATTGATGCTGATCCAACAGCTTGGCAGGATAGATACAGGGAATTGATGAGAGTGGCAAGGCAATGGTGGCAGCTGAAGCTTCTCAGATGGAATGGTTTTGCTCACAGCACAACACATCCTAAACCAGGCGAGTTGGGTCTCTTCTGCCCGACATGCCCACAACCCGGGATCAATGTCATGCTGCCAACAGAATACAATGAAAGGAAGCCGAGATGGCTGTACGGCCACTCATTGGTCATGGACGGAAATTTCAAAGCCGAGCATCTCCACCTGACAAATCCAGATGATGAAGTATGGCTCATGGACGGCCTCGGGTTCATGGTCGGTAGAAAACGGTACAAGGCTCACTTGGCCGTAGCAACAGATTCAATGCAAAGGTCCGAGTGCAACAACCACCGGGCGGTAAATCAGGCCAATGCATCTCGGCACAAACTAGAAGCTACAGGCATCGGTGGATGTGCGTGTGTCAGACACGGATGCTTTGTCCCTCATTCCATGGTAGATTTTCAAAAGGGCGAGAGGTGAGACCTCCTGAGAATGACTTTGTTCACAATGGCTGACCTTTGAGACCAGGCAAATGAACATGGACTACGCGCTTTGCAATGCTCTTGGGTACAACACTGAAGGATTGGAAACTGCTTTGACATTTTACGACGTGAATTGCCAGTACAACAAATATCTATTGCGTCGGGTCGAGGAGAGCCCGTATCTGGCAATCCCATTTGGAATGGAGATCATCCTGGGAATAGGTCTTTGGCATGTGCACGGTCACCAGGACCAGTGCTACGTGAGATACGCTTCGAATTTTATTATGGGAGCAGCAAGAATCGATGGGGAGATCATGGAGACGCTGTGGGCACCTCTCAACATCATATCTCCATCCTGCCGAGGGATGTCCACTCCTCATTGGCAGGAATGTCTTGACTACCAGATGAACGACTGCAATTTCATGAAGATGATCAGAATGAGTAAGACATGTGATGGCCGCATATAGCCCCACTGATCATCCTGCAGGCATATTTCTTTGTCGGAAATACAAAGAAGCCAAGCGAGGTGCTGCCGAGAGCAGCGAAGCCTTCAACAAATTGAATGAGACCGCGGATCCTGACATGGTGACAGAATGGCATGAGCAAGAAACAGCTGCTAATGCATCTCGGGCAGAAGACCCATTGTCCATGGATATATATGAGGTTCAGTTGGAAAAAGGTATGTATCGCGGCAGGCGTGGTTAGCTGCGCAACAATCAGTTGACTTGATCGTAGCGCCGAGTCGGAAACAAGTGGAGCTCGATATCCTCCAATCTCAAGGGCTTCGACCCGAAGCTCATCGCAGGCTTGGCGCTGCCACCTGGATAGCATCTGGCATCACCATTGAGGAGTCACAGATAGCTTTGGCCATGGACATACAAAAGCTCGGCAGACATCCTACCGAGACTCAGGAACTGTCTATCGCCTGTCGCAGGGTCGCTTTGCAACACACCATCGACGAGTTCAACCTGGCTGCTGAATGATTTCTTGGTCAAGATTTTGATGCGGATGAAGATGTGCTGGACATGAATTTAGCATTTGTTGACGATGATACAGATGCTCCTGAAGACGATTGGGAGGAACTTGACATAGAGCCCTCGGAATATCGTCCCGCAGAAGTCTTTTGCCCCGAGATTACTGTCATTCCTCTTCCATCAAACATTGGCTTGGCATGGCGCAATGAACTGTCGGTGACAGACCTCGTTGCACAGGAGATTACCCTGAGAGAAGGACAGGCCAACGATCTTTTGCACCTACTCCGGGTTCATCTCGCAGATAAAGCTGTTCTCTTTCGCACCACAGTCCGTCCAGCCAAATTGCAGGCCCGGTCAACCAGGGCCTGGGCGCAAGTGCATTCAGTAGAGCAGGTGATCAGGCTCAACAGCCACATATATATCAAATGTCGGCAGCAGCTAGTCAAATTAGAGGCCTTCGGCCTATTGGAAAAATATCGGCAGTTGGATAAGAAAGACTTGAAGACCAGTGCAAGGGTAGCTGACCCTAATTCTCGGGGGCAAAGAAACTCTACTCTTTCATGGTTTTGGTCATTCGAGGTGCAGGCTGATTCCACCAGCAGCGATTGGATGACCGAATGCAAGTGTTTTATATATGTGATATCATCCTCCTTAATGTGGCAATAGTTTACAGGGTGCATTGGCTCTGCACGAAATCGTTGCGCGACCATTGGGCCGAGGAGTTATTATTAGTGGAGCATGAAATGCGATGGACCATTGATTTTTTCATATTCAAAAGCCGAGCATGGTTGGCCAGAGCTGAAGCAGATGCAGGCAACAGAGATTGGGATGGGCATAAATGCTATGCAGTTAGACAGGCGCAGGTGTATCAGGAGCTGGCTGATGCGGCTGATACCAGCTTCTCCAAAGTCAACCCAGAATTCAAATGGAATCACTGAGAATTACATTCCCGCATCCGGAGGAACATTTGAAGTAATTACTGCAAGATTGCTTCTAATACATACTTATATCCAGCAGGTCATATCAGATGATACAAGCGGGCATTGATTCTATATAGTTAACTCCGGATGGTATGTATACTCTCCGCTCGGTAGTTCTTGGGTAAACAATATATCATTCGGGTGATCCCGAATGGACTTGTCACATACTTTGCAGTGTTTATCAGGTAATCGCATCTGGTCCACTCGACAAGAACAATGTCGGACTTTCATTCTCCACATGTCAATGTGGCACAATAGCCACATTTAAACAATAAGGTTTGCTGTGGCCATTTCCAGCTCCGTCTATTTATACGCCGCACTCCCTCCTTACTGTTATATACAAACACTATCCCCACAATATCATTCAGTCTTCGACATGTCGAACGACCTTTACACATCAGAGGACTCCACATTGTCGCTCTGGGATTCCGCAAACATCTTGGAGTATGCCACCTCCCGATTTACCAGCATTCGGCTCTCTCTCCAGTGAAGTCATGTGACCCGGACCAATGCTTATCGTGAGCAGTTTGTGCGTTATCTGGTATGGGAAGCCGAGGTGCGTTTATATATTTTAGTCCCGAGATTTCAGCTCCTGAGATGTTTCACAGTGGTTCGTGTTCCCGTTCATCAACATATGTGCGGCCAGTCGTATCAGTCCCTCCATGCCGATGTGTTAAGGTCGTACTCTCGTAAGATCGGATCCGAAGGACTTCGGCCTCAGCTCGTACGCTGTGCCCCTTTCCCAAGTACTGTCCCTTATTTCAAAGTACTAACGATAACGCGTCCGAAGGTCCGGACGGGTCTCGTAGTATATCCGGAAGTCTTCCGGATATCGGAAACGCGTATAAGGCTAATCCGGACGTATCCGAACTAGAAACTAACAGAGTAAAGACTACCCGAAGGCAGAGCCGAGGATATAGACTATCGGAATCTATCCGAAGTCTCGGAGAGTGACAAGAGTAAGGAGAACTCAAGTCCGGAGGACAGAAAGAGGACAAACTAAGATGATATTCGAACTGAGGTACTACAGGACATATACACGAGTTTATATACTATGAGGATAACGGAAGTATCAGTAAGCAAGGGTCCGAGGCTATGTACGAAGCATGTGCAAAGGTTATCAAACGCGAGTCGGAAATGAGACATAGGTTAACGGATCAGTAATCATACCGGTAATAAGCATAACCGAAACACCGGGAAGAGGAAATACCGAATAGGCTGTGTTTAACGTTATATGAAACAGGAAATGAATTAGAAAGCTTATCGTAAATCGGATCGGAAGCGGATCTATACATCGGACCGGACCGGATCTCAGGGTCCGAAGTCCGGAAGAGAAGCGTGAATATATGGGATATGACAGTATCCCCCCCTTAGGGCCGATCCCTAGAGGCACAAGAACCATCGGTCCGGACCGGACGAGATTATCGCGAGATGATGGAGAAGCGTCTGAGTTCGGAATCGGACAGGTATACTCAAGGGCGGACGTCCCAGGATGATTCTTCCTTTCCCACTTTTTACTCTCTATAACGCTCTATCGAAAATGTCTGGCAACACCTCCGGATCTCAGAAGACTGCTAAGCAGAAACTGCTGGAGCTTCAACAGCAACTAGCGGACGCTGAAGCTGCGGCTCGGAAGGAGGAGGAGGAGATTCGGAAGCGTCAGGAGGCGGAGCGGAAGCGTGAAGAGGAACGGAAGATTCAGGAGGATCTTAAGAGGATTCGAGAGTCCGAAATTCGGGTGGAGGCAGAAAACAAACGGCGCAGGGAGATAGTAGAGGAAATGGTGAGTTTCGGATGGTTATGATGGCTTTGCCTGACGGATGAAAAGTCTCGTGCCATTTCCGCTGACAAGGACGGATCCTGCAAGCGTTGCAGCGACAGAGGCCGGACTTGCCTTTGGACGGATGCGGAGAGCAATGCTCTGGTGAGTTAATCCGTGTTTTTTTTTTCGGATCCGAGTGTTTTGACGTCCGGATAGGTCAAGTCTTGCGATATCTGCCGGAAGGACAAGGCTACGTGCCCCGGACGACCCGGAACTGTCAAGGTGCCCAAGGGCAAGAAGAGGAAGCATGCTGCCGGATCTCCATCTCCGAAAGGTAAAGGTAAGAAACGTCAGAAGAGTCCGACTCCTGAAGATCCGGAGGAGATGGAGACGGAATACGATGATCAGGCTTGGGTGGCCGCAGCCAACAGTATAGTGGCGGAGCTGGCTAGGACTAACACCCTTTTGGAGAGAAGTATTCAGGCGGCGGAAGGCAGCAGGGCTGCAGCGGACCGGATGAGCTCCGGAATTGAGCTGTTCCTTCAGCAACAGAGGGAATTTCAAGCCATGTTGTTCGGACATATTCGGAAGGGATTTCGGACGTCTCCGGGTCCGGAGGAGGAAGATGAGGTGATGGAAAGGGCGTCCGGAAGTGATGCAGGCGGATCCGGAGAGGCGGATGGGTCTATGGAGATGTAGGAATTTCTGGTCCGTTTATGCTTCTTCTCTAAATGTACTTGTATTTCGTATGCACACTATGTACTTCAAAGTTGAATAGGACCGGGTTTGTTCGGATATGCAGCGTGGAAGTCCGAAACTAGTTCGGATGCGTTACCGAGCTCCGTAGCAAGTAACCATGAAGTCTCCTCGTCCATTCCTTCATATCCGGACCATCGGACGAGGTATAGGAGTTGACATTGTCTTCTCCGACGGTCTAATTTTGAGTCCAAAACTTCGGATATCTCATATTCGGGTTCTCCGTCGACTTCGACCGGAGGCGGAGGCGATTGGATACGATTAGGAATGGTATTGAGTGTGGCTGGTTCTAATTGCGAGACATGGAAAACTGGGTGTACGGAGCGCATGGAATCCGGAAGTCGGATGGTGAAAGAATGCGTACCCGGACGAGCTATGATTTCGAACGGACCTAAGTTCTTTTCCGAGAGTTTCTTGGACGGACGGGTGGATCGGAAGTATTTTGCTTTGACGAAGACCGGATCTCCGATTTTCATATCCGGAGCAGGTTTCCGTTTGGCGTCCGCAGGTCCTTGATATCTTTCTTGTGCGTGGGCCATTTCTTCTCGGAGGAACTGATGGAGTTCGTCAAGGTCTACTGCATAGTCTCGTGCGCGGGCGGATGAGAGGTCACGTTCCGGATGAACGGATAGGTTCGGATGATATCCCTTATTGGCGAAGAAGGGTGATACTCCGGTAGTAGCACTCGGAGCGTTGTTATAAGCGAATTCTGCCAAGGGAAGTAGTTCCGACCAGTTATCCTGCTGATAGTTGCAGTATATCCGGAGGTATTGTTCAAGGGTTTGGTTCGCTCGTTCGGTTTGTCCGTCTCCTTCCGGATGATATCCGGACGTGAAGTGGAGGACCATATCTAATGCTTTTCCTAAGGACCGGAAGAAATGCGATACGAATTCTGTTCCTCGGTCCGAAGTGACATGGGATGGAACTCCGTGCTTGGAAAACACGTGGAGGACGAATAGACGAGCGAGATCCGGAGAGGTAATGGTGTCGTGGGTAGGGATGAATATAGCTTGTTTGGATAGACGGTCGATTACGACGAGGATGGCTGTAAAGCCGGATGAGTCCGGAAGGTGCTCGATGAAATCCATGGATATAGAATTCCAAGGCTTTTCCGGTATGGGTAACTGCTTGAGCAATCCGTAAGGTTTGTGTCTCAGAACCTTAGCTCGGCCGCAGGAAGTACAAGACTTGACGTAGTCTTTGACATAGGTACGGATTCCTGGCCAAGTGTACTCGCGTCGGATGATATCTAGCGTCCGGTTCTGTCCGAAGTGTCCGGACAACGGATGATCATGAGTATTCTGGAGGACGCGAAGACGGAGATTATTAGATTCCGGAACATATATACGGTTGTCGCAGCGGAGGAAACCACTATCGTCCACCGTCCATCTCGGATCCGAAGGTTCCGGAAGATGTTCGGATGCGATAGGGTCATTAGGAAGTGCGGTCAGGATGTCTTTCCGGAGCTGGTCGATATCAATCAGAACGGCTGCCCTAAGAACCGGAGTTACTAGAGTTGAGGCTCGGAGGGACGAAGCTAACTGTTCCGAAGTGAATACCGGACGGAAATTGTGAGGGTTAACTCGAGCGTAGTCCTTATCCCCCTCTTTGGGATAGACGTCCCAGCGTCTAGTAAGGGAATCCGGTTTAGCTCCGAGTTTTCCGGGACGGAAACGGATGACTAGGTTAAACTGATGGAGGAATTCCGACCAGCGGGCCTGACGGCGAGAGAGGAGTTTTGTGGTAGAGAAATACTCAAGGTTCTTATGGTCCGTGACAACGTCTATCGGCTCGGCAGAGCCTTCAAGGTAATGTCGCCACGTCCGAAAAGCTTCATGGATGGCTAGAAGTTCCTTATCGTGAGTGTCGTAGTTGAGTTCCGGAGCGGTAAGCGTCCGAGAATAAAATGCCACCGGACGAAGCTCTGAGTCCGGACATACTATGGAAAGTATTCCGGCTATAGCGTAGTCAGAGGCGTCGGTTTCTACGACTATCGGAACATTCGGAATCCAGTGCGTAAGCACCGGAGCGGACGTGAAAGCTTTCTTGAGTGTTTCAAAAGACTTCCGACAATCATCGGAAAAATCCCAAGTAACCCCCTTGCGGGTAAGACGGGTGAGCGGAACTACGATGTCCGAGTAATTGAAAATGAATCGACGATAGAAATTTGCGAATCCGAGGAAGGATTGAATATCCTTAACTTTCCGAGGTTCCGGCCAGTCAACGATGGACTGGATCTTCTCGGACGACATGGTCAAGCCGTCCGGAGATAGGATGTAACCAAGGTATTCAACGGATGTGGTATGGAACGCGCATTTTTCGGGTTTAGCATAGAGTCGATGTTTTCGGAGACGGAGAAGGACTTCCCGGACATGTTCCTTATGGGATGCAAGGTCTTGGGAATAGATGAGGATGTCGTCCAGATATACGATAACGCATACATCCAGCATATCAGCAAACACGCTATTGACAAAGCGTTGGAATGCAGCCGGAGCGTTAGTGAGACCTTCCGGCATTACCAACCATTCATATGAGCCATAACGCGTTCGGAACGCGGTCTTCCATTCGTCTCCGTCCGCTATCCGGACGAGATGATAAGCGGATCGGAGGTCGATTTTGGTATAGACTTTAGCGCGGCTCGGAGAGTCTAGGAGGTCGGTAATGAGAGGTAACGGATATCGGTCTTTCTTGGTAATCTGGTTAAGTCCACGGAAATCTACACAGAGGCGAAGGGAGCCATCCTTTTTCTTGACAAACAGGACAGGAGCTCCGTGAGAAGAGGATGAGGAACGGAGGAGTCCGGAGGAAATATTTTCATCAAGAAACTTCCGGAGGGCTGCAAGCTCAACTGCAGATAGAGAATAAATGGTTCCGAGGGGCGGACTAGTTCCTTCCTCTAACTCGATTTTGAGATCATAGGGACGATGAGGAGGAAGTTGGCTAGCTTTGCCCTTATCGAACACATCCGAGAATTCGTGATATTCCGGAGGAATTCCGGACAGGTCCGGAGGATCGGATGAAAGGGAAGCGGACCGGAGGTCTACACCGGTCGGACGAAGGTAGATGCTGAACTGTTCCGATCCTTCCAATTTGCAGGCCCGGCAAAAGGCAACCGCATTGATCAAGGAAATGTTGGGGATGGTTTTATCAGCGGAGGTTCCGGATGTAGTCGGAGGAGGTAAATCTTCCATCGGAGGATGCGGATCCGGAGACGGAAGCGACGTCGGAGGTGTCGAAGGCATTCCATGAGAAGTCGTTCGGAAATCGATGCTGCCCGAAACCCAGTCAATCAACGGATTGTGTAGGGTGAGCCAGCTATATCCAAGAACGATAAAACAAGAAGAATCCAACGGAGTAACGTAAAACGTATCGGAGGTAACTACACCGGACGGAAAACAGATAGGCAAATCTATAGCTTCGGAAATCATATTATTACAAGTACCATCAAACAAACGGAGAGAAAGCGGAGATATCGGATATGTAGGAATTTTATTTTTTCGGACGAAATCAGAGTCTATAAAACAGTGAGAGGAACCACAATCAATTAGTGAAGGAAAATCAGAAATATCAGGAAAAGTAGGAATAGAAACGTATGGACAAAGAGAGTTCGGATCGGAAAGAGAAACAGCATTGAGACGTAGCTCCGTTGCACGGGTAGAGTCAACGCAACCCTCATCCCGTGCGGAGTCGGGAGGGTTGCGGACTATTTTTTTGCTTCATCCGAAGCCTCCGGTTTGTCTTCCGGAGTTACTACTGCAGCGCGGCCTTTGGCAGCGCGCGAAGTAGACTTGGTGCATTCCCGAGCCGAATGGCCGGGTCCACCGCAGAATAGACAGAGTTTGTTATCCATCCGTCTCTTACGTTCTTCGGACGTGAGCTTCCCGTCCTTTCCTAACTTGGAGGTAAGGTCCGGAGGTTTAGAAACGGAGGATGATGCGGAAGTAGCGGGTTTGTCGGATTTGTACCTCGAAGGTCCGGACGAGTTGGAATTCGTCCGATCGGACGTGGTTTGCTTAGGAGGAATGGAGGTGGTGGGTTTAGTTTCGCGGGCGACTTCTCCCTTCCGTTCCCAGTATCGAGCGTCGATAGTCTGGGCAAGGATCTTGTATTCGGAAAGGGTGGAAGGTTTACCCATGCGACTGATTTCGTCTTTGATACGAGCCGGAAGTCCGTTATAGAATTGGCGTCTTAGGGCACCGTCACCCCAGCCACGGACTTGTGAAGCAAGACGCTGAAATTCAACAACATATTTATTAATGCGTTGTCCGTCACGCATATGAAGTTGCTCCAATTGCATTTCCGCATCTCCGGACGGATCGTGCGGTCCGAAATTGGTTTGGAGTTCAAGCATGAACGCGGAGTAATCATCCATCCAATCCGGACGATCATCGTCCTCGTCGGCTAGGAGATCCGGTTCGAACCACTCGAGTGCCATACCCTTAAGGTAGGATTGGGCGAAGTTGACTTTTGCCCGTCCGGAACGGAAGGCTTTGGGTTTGCTTTGGAAGTGGAGCTCGCATTGGACGAAGAATGCACGAAGCTTCCGAGGCTCAGTGCCATCGAAAGTATCGGGCTCACGGATCTTGACTTTAGAATCTTCGGACGAGGTCGGACGACGATTGTTGCGTGCGAGATTGTCGATGGCTTGAGAAAGCCGAAGCATGACACGGTCTTGTGGGTTTAACCCGTCAAATTCATCATCGTTGTCATCCGGTTCATCATCCGGATCACCTCCGAAGTCATCCGGAGGGTTTCCACCAGGAGTATCTTCATCGTCCGGAGGTCCTTCGTCATCCGGATCACCTCCGGCAGGAGTGCGCGTAGGGGTTTCCGGATGCAGACGATTCATGAGTTGCGAAATACTTTGAGCAGGACCGCGTGATACACGGCGCTGAGAGAAACTGGTGAAGGCGTTAACTACGGATGTCGGATCGCGTCGGGTGGACGAAAGTCCGACAGCGTGCAAAGCGGCTTGGTTTACTTTAGTAGGAGCCATGATATGAGTAAGTGTACTTGGAAAGGTGTGAGTTCGAATATACTGTTAAGGTCGTACTCTCGTAAGATCGGATCCGAAGGACTTCGGCCTCAGCTCGTACGCTGTGCCCCTTTCCCAAGTACTGTCCCTTATTTCAAAGTACTAACGATAACGCGTCCGAAGGTCCGGACGGGTCTCGTAGTATATCCGGAAGTCTTCCGGATATCGGAAACGCGTATAAGGCTAATCCGGACGTATCCGAACTAGAAACTAACAGAGTAAAGACTACCCGAAGGCAGAGCCGAGGATATAGACTATCGGAATCTATCCGAAGTCTCGGAGAGTGACAAGAGTAAGGAGAACTCAAGTCCGGAGGACAGAAAGAGGACAAACTAAGATGATATTCGAACTGAGGTACTACAGGACATATACACGAGTTTATATACTATGAGGATAACGGAAGTATCAGTAAGCAAGGGTCCGAGGCTATGTACGAAGCATGTGCAAAGGTTATCAAACGCGAGTCGGAAATGAGACATAGGTTAACGGATCAGTAATCATACCGGTAATAAGCATAACCGAAACACCGGGAAGAGGAAATACCGAATAGGCTGTGTTTAACGTTATATGAAACAGGAAATGAATTAGAAAGCTTATCGTAAATCGGATCGGAAGCGGATCTATACATCGGACCGGACCGGATCTCAGGGTCCGAAGTCTGGAAGAGAAGCGTGAATATATGGGATATGACACGATGTATCTGTGCGATGTCGTCCGGATCTTGGCAGGTTGGCAGATCGGAGCCCTGGATGACAACAAACTCTATGATGCATTCGAGAACTTCGACTGTATGGTGGACGGAGACATCTCGGCCCGCTGCTGAATTGTCAACCAATATGCTTATTGCTGGTGGAAGGATCGTTTCGACCTAGGTCCTTTTGAAATGCCGAACCGCATCTCCCTCCTTGAGGTCAAGGAGTTGGTTGAGGAGCATTTCGAACAGCTGGTGAGTACTTCTCTTCGAATTCAACATAATTTCTCTGATCTTCGTGTACGCCCAGCCTGCGGGTCATCTCCTGATCCCAAAGCTGCCCCAGATGCCCACCGGCCGTGATCCCTTGCTGCAACAAGTGTGCTGCATCAGGGAAAACATGCAACAGCTGGGAGAAGGTTTGCAGAGCATGCTGTTCACAAAGGTAGAGGAGGGAGATCTTGCCGTGGATGCTTTGACACGGCTGGAAGGACCAGTGGATGAGGTAATGGATGTCATGCGAGCATCGCACAAATTAATAGACACACTCGGCATCAAACAGGAGTAGAGCCCGGATTCATACCTCTCAGTTCATATCTGTACATAGATTCATTTCTCCGATTTCTATATGTTGGTACTGATTGTAATAAAAACGCGCTGGTGAAACACTTCGGTAGGAACCGAAAGCCATGATAACATGTATTAATTATGAAATTAATTAGTGTGCCTGTATTTAAGCGGTTGCATGCGCTTCCCTCCAGTTCGCTTACATCCACCACAGGTAATAGTCCATGCGCCTTAATTATGTCCCGGATGTGCTTGCTGCACGAGGCTCGGCAAATGGTGCAATAAATGAGGGCTGATTGACGGATGTCCTTTGATCTCATTCCCGTCATGTCTCATATCCCCCCAGAGTGGTCGTCCTACTGGGATCACGTGTTCCACCGGTTGAATAAATTCCATCCTCTTCCCGAGATCCCGGGGGACTGGGCCTTGCACACCATTAATTTGGCGAGCGAGTGGGTGGAGCAGCAGTATATGGCCCATCTTGCTGGTAGACCTCTCATTCCCCCACCTCCCGAGCTTGATGTTCCCACCATCCTTGCATGCGGCCAGCTCGCATTTCTCCTGGCCGAGGCCTACCGGAATCCAAGTCAGTCCCTTCATTATTATGTTGATCCTTCCTGACCTTTGGGATCAAGTCCAACTGGATATCAGCATGGTTCGTTACAATGAAGCTCTCACCAAACGGGAAACGGGTATGAATGACGTGCACGAAGAGTCGCTCTTGGCTAGATTCCCTCCTGCCGAGAAAATGCTCTTGACCCGTCCTTTGGTTGTACTGGATTCTGGCTACAGGATCATTATCTGGTACGTCCTGGAGGCACTGAATGGCTACATCCAGGTCAGTACATTATTGAATTCTATGCTGCCGATTTATCATGCCGATGTCAACAGAGTGATATGTACACAGCCACTCTTGGAATGAGTCACCACCTGAGAAAGAGTGTCACCCACGGAGCCAGTCAGTGGAGAACCAATGGTGCCAACTTCCATGCCACCGATGGCGCTGATGTTACCCCCAGGTGCATCAATATAGCTCCGTGCTGGTTCCAACAAGGCCGAGAGGTAAGAGGCTGTTTTTCTATCAGCTACCAACTTATCTGACATTCAATAGTGCCAGGGTACACCTCCCGAGAATACTTGGGGCAGTTTCATGCCGGAGGTCTCGGCTACCCTGAAGGGTGAAAGGGGCATGTCGATGATTTTGCAAATGCAGAGACCCGGACTGTTGGCTTCTGCTGTCATGTGTGTCATGCACCCGCAGCAATACTGGGCGTCCATCCGAACTCACATCGAACTCGGTCATTGGGCCGCTTCTCATGGGTTCGAAGACATGTACCAAAACCTCAAGCATTGGGCATCCATCTACACCGGAGTCACGGTCATGTGCAACAGATTGTCTCCATACCACAAAGACCCGAAATGTCCACCTGAAGGATTCAATATCCTTACAAGCATCAGGAGTTATAGGCAAGCCATGATGCATTTGATCAACCTCGGAATTGACATAGCATATGATCCTGGCGTCATGGTGGGCTACTCGGGACGACTCGTTAGACACGGGGTTCGGGTGGATGAGGGTGACAGGATTATTTGGGCCTGGTTTGTCCGTGACAGCATCCACAACTACACCCGAACACCACGCCCAGAATATGCCAAGTACAGCCCACTTGACCTCGACATGTATGAGCATGTTAAGTACAACCAAGCTGACTTTGTTAGGTATGGCACCCTCGGACTGACATGTCCGGCCTGACCGATCATAGCAAATGCCTCTTCCCCTTTCTTACATTACACCCCCAGTATTTTATTAATACACTATCTCTACCTTGATCATTTGCTTGCTGCTTATATCTTAAAGACATTTCACACACGTCCCTCCTTTTTTACATCACAACACACCTTATTCATTCATTTACATGTCATTCCTTGCCATGCGCTCATTAATACCATTTCATTTGTAGTTCTGCTACCGGTGTTTTCTAGTTCGGGTGCAGGACTTGTTGAAGAACTTCTTCGGTTTTTGTAACTGCAGATACCCTTCAACAGGTCCTGCATAGCCGGCTGCACCGTGATCTCGGTAGTACATATGTGTATGGTTTGATAGTTTTTATCCAAATTTGACCGTGGGCTATGACACAACCTCGGTGGTATCAGCATCCGGGACAATGTACCCCGGTCTACGTAATGAAGGTTATTTGTACATGCAGATGAGCTCCAGGTAGCTGTGGAGTACACTGACTGCATTCTTCCGTATTGGCTGATTATGTATCTCGGTAGGAAACAATCCCAGGTCTACATGCGTTTAGATGGCATGGGTCAGGTTGTACATACATTCCGGAGGAAAGATATTCTAAGCTCTTGGATCACGGTGGTATTATTGCTGACCCAACAGTCTAACTCAGCAGCACTGGCAGTTGGCCCCATCCCTATATCTCGGTCTGTCATCTCGGCCCTACTATTAATTAATATAAGTTGTACGGTTGTATGGGCCCAGTCTTTCACCTCAGCAGCACATTTGTCTGGGCCCATCCCTATATATCGGCTTGTCATATCAGCCCTACTATTAATTACTATAGGTTGCATGGGCCCAGTCGTTCACCTCGGCAGCAAATCTGTCTGGGCCCATCCCTATATATCGCTTACTCATATCGGCCCTGCATATCCATATAGGTGGTGCTATTGTATGGGCCCATCCATACATCTTGGAAGCACAGGCACCTGGGCCCATCCCTATATCTTGCCCACTCATATTGGCACTACTATCATATAGGTGGTAATATTGTATGGGCCCATCTGTCCATCTCGTCAGCACAGGCACCTGGGCCCATCCCTATATCTTGCCTACTCATATCGGCCCTGCCATCAGTATGGTATTCTATTGTATGGGCCCAACCATCCATATCGGTAGCACAATACTTATATCACATACTGGGCCCACCCTGAATTATGAACCACTAGACCATACCTTGGGCCCACCCCTCTCCATCAGTACACCTTCATTTGGGCCCACCTCGGGTGACCCATCTCATTGGGCGGATTATCAATTTCGGGTGACCCTATATATCAGAAAAAAGTTACTGTAGTATGTGGAGGTTGATGATACTGACAAGGATCCTGAAGATGAGCTGAGTGAGTCCAGCAACCTATACATCAATATCAGATTAATTGATTATACAGAGCAGCTAATGAAAGAATGGAACTCACCTGTTTACATGTTTTTCGATCCCACACCGCACATCGTTGAGATCGCTGACCGCCGTGCGCATGAGTTCAAGTGCCAAGCAAGGGGTTGCAAGGTCAAAGTACAACAGTTCCTCAATAAGGGCGATGCATGATCCACAGGTAACATATGGAAGCATGTGTGCTTGTGCTGGGGAGACAAAGTCTTGAAAGCTGCAGATAGTGCGAAGGATTCAGATGAAGTGCGCCTCAAGATTGTCGGTAGCATTCTGTGAAATGGATCCATCACTGCATCCTTTGAACGCAAGGGCAAAGATAAAATCATGTACTTGCACCGTCAACATACCCATGCAGAAACGAGGTATGAACCAAATCCAGTGATAGTCCTGGGGGTCTAACAATGCCTTCAGGGCTGAAGTTGTGTGTTGGGTATCCAAGAGCCTGCGACCATTTTATATCATCAAGGATCGTGCTTTTCAGTCGCTGATGAAGACAGGGAGGCCCAAATATTACTTACCTTTCCCGTCCACTGTGTCTCGTGATGTGTGACTCATCTTTGCACGGACTTGAAAATGGGTTGCTAAAATGTTGCAGGTTAGTGTTTTTTTTTGGTTAGAGAAAAATTTGATATTAAACACATACCAGGAATACAATGGCAAGATTGATTTTACTACTGATGGTTGGACATCACCCAACCATCGCGCATTGGTCGCATTTTCGGCCCACTTTGAGCACAAAGGGGAGCCACTGAGTATACCATTAGATGTTATTGAAGTTGGGAAGGTACAACTCACAATTCTAGTACACATAGATGAGCTAATGAGACCACAGTCCCACACTGGTGAGGAGCTCATGGAGACGTTTGCCAAAATGCTAGAGGAATTCAACATATCAGAAAAGGTATTGTTCAAATGGAAAAAAAAAACATATGTGTGGCTAAATGCACGATGCACAGATCCTGAGTGTTACTTGCGATAACACGTCCAACAATGACACAATGATTGTTGAACTGAGTGGTAAGGTGCTTGAGTTCGGTGGAGCAACAACTCATATGTGATGTTTCCTGCACACCATTAATCTTATGGCAAAATCGCTGATCCGAGAGTTTGATGTGAAGAAACAGGATGCTGACCTTGAGCTGGATGACTTTTTTTTTTTTGAATCCAATTTATGTCCTTTGCAGAGTGCTACTCTATGTAGGACAGTACTTTCTATTCTAAGGACCCCAATGTCCTGTGTGCATCTTAGGAGTCACGAATGCCCTGGTGTGGGACTTGCCCCACCAGTCCGCCGTTCCCACTGGCCGTTTTAGACGTGCATTCCTTTAGAGAGTGAGATGATTTTGGGGTGTGATGTACAAGAAGGGTGTCTATCATATACAAATTGTTAACATGTACTTGGTCCCAGGTTGCGAGTGTGTACAGGAATTGGTTGATATGAGTATGAGTGGAATGTGATGAGCCTGCTTTGAACTTTGGCTGGCTGCGGTGGCATCTGGATGACCATATTGGCAGGTGATTCCATATAGGCAAGTGAAGAGTGTACAGATTGTGATGGGAGTGGAGGCTTGGTGGTACAGACATTAGTACAGTCATTATGTATGGTTGGAATATTTGAACGGTATGTGCTAGATGAGGGGAGCTATGTCAATCTGGTGGCTTACAGGGCATAGGGACTTCACCGAAGGTCTGATGGATTCTTCCTGTTGTGTTGATGAAACGGGTGAGGTGTGTGGCTGCATTTGTATCTGATAATAGGTAGGAGAGGGAGGTGGTGTTGCACCCTAGTGCAACTGTTAGGATGTGTCTTTCGCGGTGGTAGTGTCAGCAGTCGAGAAGGAAGTGAGGGACCATTTTTTCAGTGTTAGGGCAGTGTGTGCAGAAGGGGGATTGCTCTTTTCCTATGCGATGGAGATGATGACGAAGGGGGGCATGTCCTGTGTGTAATGCCATATACATACCTGTGAGACATTTGGGAAAGTTAGCAGTGAGCTTGACAAAGGAGCATTGCAAGATTTTAGGGTCTATTCTGTTGATATGGTTGGGCGATTTGTGCCATAGTTTTTTCCAGTGTGCGTGCGATGATTGGTGATGTGCCGCCTTGAGGGCAGATATACTGAGAGGGAGGGAGTTGTAATGGAGGAATTCAGGAAGGGACTCAATGGGACTGTTATTTTGACGACTTTCTGTGGCTTTCTTAGCATGCTTGTCCGCTTCCTCGTTTCCGTGTACCTCTGAATGTCCAGGTATCCAGTAGACAGTGAGAATCCTTCACCTGATTGGATGGCAGCTTGATTGTCAGTGAAAATGGGGATCAGGAATATTGGGTCTTCTTCCATTGCAATCAGTTCTGCAGCCAGGAATAAGCCTACTACCTCAGCCTCAAATACCGTGTGTTCATCGTCTATACCAAGGTAGTAACACAGAACTCGGGGTCTCTTTTCTGCTCTGAAGAGAATTGCAGCCACTCCTATGTTGCCCTCATGACCCGATCTGCCACAGTACACCCGCATGCTATCCGTGTTCCAAGCATGTTCTTCAATGGCTTGATCTTTGGATTGCGCTATGTGGGTCTTGTAGGCATTGGTGTTTGTCGGAGCTCGGCATGAGGGGATAAGTGTCTCCAGTTCTTCCGGGTCTATAGTGTACTGACGTGTGAGGCGGTGTAGTGATGTGCAGTGGGATCCCACAAATCTTTGGGCAGCCCATCATACTGGTATATAGAGTGGGTGCATTTTGGGATGAGTGGCCAGGCAAACGATGGCTCTGTGGCAGGTGTTCTGGAGGAGAAGGGACGTGGGTAGCAAGTTGGTGTGGACTTCAAGTAGATTGGTGGCCATAGTCTTCATGGCGCCCATAATGGACAGGGCAGCAATCTGTTGGATTGAGGTCAGTCATTTAGCTACACCAATGGATCCACATTGGAGGATGTCAGAGCCATCATGATATGATGGCGTAAACCAGAGGTCGGCTGTGTAAGTCATTTTGGGGACTGCAACAGCTTGGTAAAGCTGATGCATCTGCCATAGTGGGATGCCTTTGGTGGTGGTGGAGAGCCTACATAGTTGAAATATGTAGGCTAGGCCTTTGGCTATGGCATTGTCGACTTGCATGTTCCAGCGTAATTCTTGGTTGATGATAACACCTAGGAACCAGTGTGTGGCTGAGGGTTGTATGGTTGCGCCCTGGATATGCATGTTGGAGCGGGGCTTCATTTGGTTCATAGAGAAGTCTATAAGCACACATTTGTTAGTTTAAAATTTAGAATTGTGATTCCTAGACCATTCGTATCCCCCACCGGGATGCTCGAGCATGTTTGATAAGATGGTGTGAGTCGTTTCAAAGTCCTTACCTACAGCTATAAAAGCCATATCGTCAACAAAAGCAAGGGTAAGTTCCTTGAGTGATTCTCTTCCTTGACACACTTTGGCTATGTCCACCAGATCCGAGCTATAGATGACTTATAAGATCATTGCCAAAGGGTCGCCTTGACCGATTCCATTATTGATAGGGATTCAGTCCAAGGTGTAGCCGTCGAAGCAAAGTTGGGTCTGTCGGCTCATTAGTAGCTGTTCTGTAAAGCTAATGAGCTCACCTGGAATATGGTGCATGTGCATATTATGGATCAGACATTTGTTAACCACATTGGGGAAGGCCCCTTCTATGTCCAGGAAGAGGGCTGAGGCTACTTTGTTGGACCTCCATGCGTTTTTCACTGTCTCTTCGAGCAGATGCAATGAGTCGGTGGTTGGCCTACCTGGCCTTCCTCCGAAATAAGTAGCTGGGAGGAGTTGGTAACGTTCCAGAGTGTAGGTCATACGTTCAGCTACCATGGCAGATAGTAGTTTGCCCATGGTGTTGAGCAACACTATGGGTCGGTAAGCCTTCGGAATGGTGTAGTCCAGTTTACCTGGTTTGCGAAGCACTACGGTGGTAAAGCATCTCCATGGATCGTGATATGTCTTGAGGGTGAACACTGCATTGAAGAGATATTCGAAGTACGGCACTAGGAGGCCTGTGCACTTCTTGAAAACAATATTACAAATATTATCTGGTCCTGGGGCCTTATATCCACTTAGTTTAGCTATTGCTCATGAGATCTCATCGGGAGTGAAGGGAGTGTGGTGTTTGACCTGGTCCGGGTATACTATATCAGGTGGAACAGAGTCATGAACGGGAGGCGGGGGAAAGGAAGACTTAGCAATGAGAATGCTTTTCTCGCTATTGGTGTTAGCTTCCATGATCATGCCATCGGGATGTCTGGCTGTGAGTGTCGGGATTCGTGTTTTACCCCCATCTTTGGGTTCTGTAGATATGTACTTGCTGGCCGTCCATAGATCATTACCTTCTATATCCTTGAGCCATTCCAGCCAGTGGCTCATCTTTGTTGATTCAATCTCTTTGGCGTATCGTGACTTGATGATTTTGAGTTCCTCATGGCATGTGTGATTAGGTAAGCCATGCATCAGATAGGCTATGTGACTGAGCTCGTTGACCTGTTTGCGGAGGTTTGTTAGTTCTCTTGTCCACCACCTTTTGGAGTGGGGACATGGCTTAGAAAATGGAACCTTAGCTTCAGTCGTGGATGCTATGGCTTGTGTAAGTCTGTCGGCTGCTTGCTTGAATTCTTCTTCCGTTACCAGTGGTACCGGAGGGAACGGTGCTAGGAGGCCGCTGAGGTGTTCCCTAAAAATTTCCCAGTCAGTGTTGTGCCAATTACACCGAGGTTCGTCTTTGTCCTTTAGTACTTCGAGGTCCAGTGTGAGTTGAATGGGCACATGATTGGTGCAGGGTCCACGAAGAGCCGGGTTGGTGTCACAAGAGATGACCGTGTTGACCGTATGTTCCATACCGAAAGCATTATCAGGTCAGGTCCAGTTACCTGTGGATGAGGATTGTAGAGTGGGATATTGCGTGGGAGTAGCTGCAACATTCCGTAATCAGCGATGAGGTCCAGGAGCGGATGGGCTGCTTCATGATTGAAGAGGTGACGGTTACGAGGTCCTCCCATAGAGGATGGTGACAGTTGAAGTCACCCATCCAGAGCATGTGAGTGTCGGCGCTTGGTCTAATGAGGTCTATATTATGTTCAAGGTAGTTGTCAATCGTCGTGAGGGTGCTTTGAGAGTTTCTGTCGTTGTATATGTTGAATATAGTGCAGCACCCATATGGTCCTGTGAGCTGAATGACTACGACATCCGGTGATGGGAAAGGTAACTGCTTCCAATGGTTAGTGTTCAGAGAGACATTCATCAATGTTATGGCATGTGTGCGTTGCTGTGGGTTAGTGTAATGAGGAGTAGAATACAATACATGCCAGCGGTGGTTGGTGCTGGTGTTGCGGAGGAAATTTATGTGCAGTTCTTGTATTACAATGGCGTCCCATTTCGAAGTGGCTGCATTGTTGAGGAGTAAGGCTTGTGCAGACATAGATTTATTAAGGTTCTGCTGCCAAATGCAAAGGTTAGTGGTATTAACATTAGTTTGTTCAGACATGAGATGAGGAAGAGGAGGAGCTATGTGTGGAGAGAGTTTGGTCACCCCAACTGGAGGGTGTTGATGAGGCTATGATAGAGTGTATCTTGTCCTCCTGAGGGCATTGAGGGGATTGGGAGGGTCGAGAGAGAGGTTGAGTGGGGGATTGGGGTCGGAATGTGAGCATGGTCTGCTGGGGTCGCTTTGGCACTGGGTTTTGGCTGGTGTTCTGGGCGGTCTGGCAGGTAGGTAATATGAGTCCATATATGTTCTGCCAGAAAGTAAGGCATGCGATTCTCTGGAAATTTGTCACCAGTCTCCTTACAGTGTTTGATGAATTCCGGGCAGATGCGGCTCCAGCTCATATGCTGGTTGCTGTGGCAGTTGATGCAACGGGTGGTCTTGAAGGCATTGCAGTTGGTGGTACGATGTTGGTCACCACATGTGCTGCAAGTATCTGTGGGGGCAGTACAGTTCTTTGCAATATGATTGAATTTCTGGCATTTTGCGCATCTGATGGGTTCTTTCTTGTCTTTGCATGTGTTGAAATGCTCGCTGGCAATACAGATGCCGTCTCGGAGGATGTCGTTAGCTAGGTGTATGTCAGCAGTATGGAGCAGAGCAAAGGCCTTTTGTTGTTCGGCGGAACATTTTGCGCGAGGTTTAATCCACCTGATACTTGCTAGTGAGGAGGGAGGGAGGTCATTTTCCTGTTCGACTTGTTGGAGAAAGTCTTCCTGTTCGATCTGTGTTTGAACAGGTAAGTATTCAAGTACTAATGTGTATAGACGGTGGCGGAATGATACAGTGGTTTCCAGGTTGGTCTCGAGTGCTGTCTTTCCCGTTGGGCTGGAGATCCATTGTGCCAGGGTTTCTGTTTCCAATTTGACTATTATGCCTCCGTTGCGTAGATATTTCACCAATTTGATGGTGCCAGGGAGAGTCGTGTCATCTCTAGCTTTGAACAGTGTGTCCTTGAGTTTGTTTGCTATCTCATAGTTGGAGGTGTTGGCGGGAAAGAATGTTTTTCCTGGGATGGGATCTAGTAGTATTTCCCATGTGCGGATAGTGGCTCTGCCGATTTCTCTGTCGATTGTGGTGGGGAGTTGTGCTGAGACGATGGAGCTGTATGTCAGTGGAGTTTGAGCAGGGTGTTGGGTAGTGGCTGTCGATAGGTGTTTGGATAGGTGGTTGACCTTTTCCTGGGTGGCGTCTAATGAAGGAGTTAGTGTTTGCAACAGTTTCTGGTAAGTTTCAATGGAAGAGTATAATGTGTCCGCTGCTTCCTCTACTCGTTTGGCTGCTGTTGCTGCCCCGTCTTCCTTTTTGGTCCGTTCCCTGCTGATCAGGGTGTGCAGTGCTTCCGTTTTTTTCCATGGTTGATACAATGGATTGTGAGGCCAAATGTATGAGTGCGACTTGGGGCGCTATAGCTGCGATTACATGGTCTACCAATTTCAAGGTTGTATGTTCCTTGATGAGCTCGGAGTGAGCTATGATGATCTGGGGAGTGATAGCAGCCAATAGCTTGTCCATGAGTTTCGAGGTTGTGTCTTTGGAGAGTGTCTTGACTACTTGCTCCGCTATTTCACATGCTTCGTGTTCTTTCAGGATGTATGCGACTGCGCGAATGGCCAAGATTACTGAGACTGGTGTAGAGCTGGAAATTTGTGTTATATGAAAAAAAATGGAGATTAGGTGGTTGATGGTATACGGTTGATTGGTTTGACAGAGCATTTTAGAATTCAAATATACTTTCCTGGTTTTGGCGTTCTTCACTGTGTTCTCCATAGCTTCGATGGATTCTTGCATGACGATCGACCTATTTGTCTTACAGGTATTTAGTCCATAGGTGGGGGAAACAGTATGTTGGGTGGATGCTGGTGGGGTCCTAGTCCCTACGCTGACACTTCTTCTCCCTAGAGGCATTGTTTTGACTGTTGCATTACAGGTTGATGTGTCTTGAGAGGGTTGGTTGGGGGCTGGGGCCACCGCTGGATGACTTGAGTGTGGACACAGAGGATGATGATGCAGGGATTGGGGATGATATAGATGATATAGATGGATTCGTTGATGAAGTTGAGCTGTTGGACAATGAAGAACAAACAGTACTACAAAAAGATATTCGACCGGTCAAATTAGTGCTTGCCAAAGTAAGTGCAATGCAACTGTTAAAAACTCACCATTGATCCCAATCCACATCCCAGTTGCGCAAGCTGGCATATAAAATCATCCACTCGACTACCATTATTCTTCCTGCATGGCACAGCATCCTCCAGGACTTGGCGCAGCCACAAACACTGATGCCATGTGATGTGGCAACTCGATGGAATTCGACCTTCGACATGTTGAATTATGCCCTCAAGCATTGAGGAGCTGTGGATGCTGTTACCCAATGGCGGGACTTGTGTTTGCAGAAGTTTGAGTTGGAGGATCATGAGTGGGTTATATTAGAACAGCTGCGAGATGTACTTAAGGTTAGTGCATCCTGTTTTGTCACAACTGCATGCTGACATTGTTTATTTGTATCTGTTAGATTCTAAAGGACACCACACTGTACTTTTCATGCACAACACCCAACCTTGCGACAGTGATCCCAGCAATGGATCACATCGACAATATGCTAATGTCATACTCCCGCAACAAAAGATACATGCCCTCAATTCGTTCAGCAGTTCGGCTGGCCAAGAACACCCTCAACCGCTATTATGAGCTCACTGACAAGTCTCTGACATATCGAATCTCAATGGGTATTACGGTACTGTTCAATCTAGGTCTTTGAAAAATTACTAACATTTATATAACTCTAGTCTTACATCCACAGCACAAACTAACATACTTCAAGGCTGCACGATGGGAAGATGACTAGATCAAAACCGTGGAGAGACTTGTGCGCGACAAATCCAAATGTTTGTACTTGGCAATTGTCGATGACTCCGATGTGGGATGTGAGGACAATGTGCAAGCAGTATGTTTTGTTTGATTTTTATTTGGTATTGTATTGAATAATTCTTAGAGCAGCAATATCTTTGACAACCTCCCAGTGCTTGCACCCCCAAAATCTGTCAACTCAAGCTCCGAACTTGACCGGTACCTCAATATGGACATGGAACATGTCCCTAACCCTATCACTTGGTGGTATGAACATCGGAAGTCTTTCCCCCGACTTTCATGCATAGCTATTGACTACCTGACCATCCCTGGTATGTAACTAGCTTTTTTGACATGCTGTAACTTTACATTTTCCCACAGTGACATCTGTTGATGTTGAATGGCTGTTCAGCCATGGACATCTCATCCTGTCGCACGTCAGAAGTCGTCTATCAGCACAGTCAACACGCGCACTTCTTTGTCTTGGCCTATGGAGTGAGTTGGGCCTCGTCGAGTCTGAGGATGTGATTCAGGTATCAAAGCTCCCAGATTTTGTGGGGAAGACAAAGTCATGGATGATGGATGGGACAGTATTCATAGTACAACTGACACTACTACATTTGTTATTTTGTAGGTATAATTCATAGATACCCGCAGGTATACCCTCCATGGGTCATACCATGGGTCTGTTTTGCAGATACTCATTGCAAAACCTGTACCTGCTAGTGTTGCCATGGTTCCGGTTCATGCCTGGCTTTAGCCGTGAGTGGAGCTATAGTTAGCCAAGCCGTGTACCTAGTTATAGCTTATGTAATTGATGGCTCGGTCTAGTCAACGGAACCATATTAATGGTCTTCAAGTCAGCTCGAGCCAGATTTTTAATACAACAACCCTCCAGGCACCCTGGACCCGTTATTTTTCGAATCAGTGTGACAAACTTAAAAATGATTGTGATCCAAAATGTACGCCAACGCATTCAACTTCATTTACCCTAAGTCAGGTCCAGGAACAAACTAAGCTCCCTTGTACTAATGATACAAGATGTGAGAGTCCTAAGCGATCACAATTGCAATCCATTGTTGACCTGAACAGCTTTAACATTCGTATAGCTAGACTGTGTGTTATTAGTGCGGTGTCGTTTTGAAGGACTTGAGCTCACTTTTCCAAAGCATACTTACTCAGGTCACAACCAATTCCAGACTGCATGAAGCCTCTAAATGGCATCGATATTTCAGCTTGGTTGGAGCAGTTTATCTGCCAGGCGTCATTACACAAAAGACGTGCAAGATGAGATAACAAAGCAACGAACCCATGCAGTACCTGCTTCGAAAGCGTGTGCAATGCGGATTGCTCTGTCGATATCCTCAGTGAACACCAATGCGGCAAGTCTGTATGATGTATCATTAGCCTGTTCAACAACCTCTGAAAAGTTGTTAGGGATATGATGATCGTGCAACAAGAGCAATCTCACCATCTTCGGTCTTGAACTTTATGACGCACGCAACAGGATGAAAATTATTGGCTCGATAAAGTATCCCTCTCGACCAATCTGCTTGCTACCAAGGTGTACTGTAGCACCATCTTTCTGGCCAGAGGCTATGTATCCCATGATGCGCTCGACAGTCATCAAAGTATGTTTCATAATGAGATTGAATAAACGAACCTCAAATTGAGTATTGGACACTTGTGGCCCTTGGTATGTGTCAGGTGAAAAAGGATCGCCAACCTTGATTGCGCGTACTTGCTCTGTGAGACTGGTCCAAGAACCTGTCATATATGCTCTCTTGAACAAAGATACGAGGACCTGCAGAACAATTCTAACCGTGGTTAAAGCCACAAAAACGATGAGAACTAGCATAAGTCATGTGAATGAGGCAACATACTAGATACCATTGATAGCCCACTTGACTGCCTGCTCTCCATAATTTTACGTCCTGTCATAGTACTGCCAGTGAATGCAACTTTCTTGATAAGAGGGTTCTCAGAGACAGCCAGTTGCAGATCTGAAGCAACAAGAGAGAGGAGGTGTAAGTGAGTGCGATGAAGCAATGGCAGAAGACAAGGATGCAGCCATAGCACAAGAGATAGTAACAAAAGACGAAAGTGAGAAAACAGGAGGCGAAGAAATAAGGGAGCGTGAGAAAATGTGAACATATTGAGACTCTCCAGCCTGGAGCCACAGAATGGACTGCAAGCGGGCCGGTAATGATCGTGAGACAGACAAAAAAATCCTCATACCTGTACCGGTCCAGGAATTAAGATAAAAATAAATTAGAGGATTTTGATTGACGGACTCCGAGAATGTTCGGGTAAGCATAACATCACGAAGGCAAAGCATTTTGAAAACAAGTCCAATGATGTTAGATGTGAGCTTCTTCGCGGTCTCAAGCTTGAGCTTGGATATCTCGACATGGGAAAAAATGTAGGAGAAAAACAAACATCAACATGATAAAGAGTCCGAGACGATCACCTCAATTCAATCTACGATACTAAGAATCATTATCGAATAAACGAACGCAACTATCAACGTCAATCGTGAATCAACGATGGGTCCACAAGCCAAAGTAAGTGAATATGCTCACATGTAATGTCAAGAAGGCTCAATCAAAACAGCTGTATTGCAGTATTGATGGAGCTCACAAGTATCAAGCGGAGCAAGCAGAGATCAGACGACGAACGAGAGAATACCAAAGCCATAGACTGGCGGAGATGGGCAGGAGGGTAAACATTGTGGAGGCGGCAGATGTTGTGGAGGTGGTAGATGTTGTTGAGCGGCCAAAGAAGACATGGTGGCATAGGGTGTTGAAGAAGTTGGGTCTGAAGCAAAAGGAACATTGTGCGAGAGGAATGCCACGCGGGAGGGATATGACACAGGAGGGATATGTTGCGGGAGGGATAGCATGCAGGAGGAATAGCAAGGTGAGTATCTGTGTCTGAGGTCAGTTCACGATTTATAATGAAATAGTTTAGAGTCAGTAAGATACATGTACCAATACTACAACAGAAAAGACAGGTGTTCAAGTCAAGAAATGCAACAAAAACCACAATGCACTCAATGAGCCGCCTTCATCAGACAGCTGGCAAAGCGAAAGCAAACATCTTGTGCTTTGATGGTGGTGGTACTGGTACAGGCTCGTGTTTTGGGATACCTGGAGAGGAGTCAGACGACGAAGCTGAGACTATACAAGTGGTACAGTCCTCCATACCTGGGGGTGTTGGAGGGGATGCCGTTGATGCTGGTACAGGCTCGTGTTTTGGGATACCTGGAGACGAGTTAGACAATGAAGCTGAAACTATGTGAGTGGTACAGTCCTCCATACCTGGGGGTGTTGGAGGGGATGCCATTGACACTGATACAGGCTTGTGTTTTGGGATACCTGGCGAGACGAAGCTGAGACTATGTGAGTGGTACAGTCCTCCATACCTGGGGGTGTTGGAGGGGATGCCGTTGATCCTGGTACAGGCTTGTGTTCTGGGATACCTGGTGAAGACGAAGCTGAGACTATATGAGCGGTACAGTCTTCCGTACCTGGGGGTGTTGGAGGGGATGGGATGTCGTTGATGCTAGAGACATGGTATTGAAATAGAGTCCAAGGCTACAAATTATTCTCAATGGTGGAACATTCAGTGCAAAGAAGATAGGACTTGCCAAATGTACCATCATGATTTCCTGTGTTTGCGAACACTCACCGGTCTGCAGGACCAATGCTGAAACTAAGTGAAAGGCAGACGGTGAATGATGAACAAATATAGAATAGTGCACATAACACGATGCCAGAAGTGTAGTAAGAGAAACAGGCAGCCAAAACAAGTCAAGGTAGCGTGAACGAGGAATGAGCAAAAAAACCACAAGAACGAGTAGGGAAATTCGACATCACAAATCATAGGTGGTAGGAGTATCATCAATGTCATCGCACTCCTCCGCTGCGATAGCTCTGAGAAGAGTGTCGCACACATCACCTGTGAGTTCATTGCTACTAATTGTCAATATATTGTTAGTCTCGCCTCCTTCGCCCAACATGTTATACTCCATGTCCTTTTGTGACGCAGCCCAACCTTTCATAAAGTTGAGTCGTTCTTTTTTCAAGAGGAATTTTACCACCTGCAGGGCCTCCATCAGGACGGGGCTCATGCGATTACGTTTCTTGGTGTCTGTTTCGCTACTGAATGAGAATACTCGTTCACATGGAACTGCACAGGCATGTATTGGGAGATAGTCCATGGCGATGCTATAGAGTGTCGGAAATAAGATCTGTGAAGCCTTTTCAACTGCCTTATGGTCAACAACAATTTGACTTGTCGAGATATGGGACACTCACCACCCAGAATCCGAGTATGTCTGTTTCCTTAGGGCTGAGATTAGCTGTGGTGTAGGCCTCAAATTCTTGCTCGACTGTTTGGGCATTGCTGGTGTGATGTGGCCAGATGTCGATATCAGGAAGTCCATAAAGGCGTGAAGCCTAGTGTGCGTAGTTGTTGCTGAGGCAGTACATTAGGAGACTCCATAGATGCTGAGCCATTTCTGATTCAGCTTTTCGTGCAAGTTCATGTGATAACATTAGTTCAAAATTGCACTGTTGTTGGTCAGATAGACATACCAGAGTAATTATATGTTTCTCCATGTCTTCAATCATTTGCAGCTCCCAACGACTGCAAGCCCATGACATTCGCATCGCAGGATCAACCACTATAAACACAATCATGAGCAACCAAACATTACTGAAGGATGCTAGACTCACACATACTGACTGCATAGGCTTTTGTGGCACCCATCCTCTCATCATACTTATCTGCCCAAGTCAAACCGATTTGAACAAGAGGCTCACAATGTGGGACATGTCAAGCCAAAAACTTCCACCGCTCGATCAATGTTTCGAATGCCGGAAATGCACCACTCAGTTTGGGAGTGGATTCGCCCGACATACATTGTTGAGCAGCATGTGGCGCCTAGTATAAAATGAGAAAATGAAATGTGAGTTTCAAGTATAATGCGACCAACCTCTAGGATCACTTCAACATCCTGTAGGAACTGCCACTCCATTGGACTTAGTTTGAACTTGCTGATGGTATGTTGAGTAGGAGAGTCGAAAAATAAATCTATTGCCTAGACGACTGTTAGTTCATGGTAGACATTTAGTAGGTACCTTACCTGGTGAAGGGTTCATAAATGGTTGAGCATGATGAAGACCGAATCCCAATGGGTTCCCTCATCAAGGAGGAGTTCGACAACAGGGAGCTTTATTTTCTCGCCCATGTCATCCTGGAACCACTCTTTCTCGTTACCTGTAATGATTGTGTCCCTAAAAAAATTGTGTCGCTGGTTTGATGCGCAGACCGTGTGCACGACATCCCTAGCTCTGTTGAGAGCTTTCCCTGTCACAGCTTTGAGGTACTCCGTCTTAACGATAGTGTGAGTGCCAACTACCCAACATTCATTGACGAGTGAAAAGTCGGCTTTGTGATAATCATCAATAATGTGCCTCACACATATATTAATAATATGCGGAAAGCAAGGAATTCTGTGCTCGATGGGATGAAAATTGATCCCACATGAATCCAGTTTTTCTGAAAGCTCCTGCATGGCAGTCTGATTGTTTGAAGCATTATCCAAGGTAAAATGGCCAGTCTAAACAAAGTCAGAGCGTGTTAAATGGTACACTGAAACACTGACCTTTTCGGTCACACCAGCACGATCAAGGAGATGTAAGATTACCGATGCTAGCAATTCACCTGTGTGACTTCCTGGAACATGGTGGAAGCCTATCAGCGCCGCCTTCAAGACAAGTGCTGAATTATGGTCTGCTTTAGCGATCCAGTGAGTAGTAAGAGCCATGAATGGGCAAAGATTGGAATCAGACCAAAGGTCAGATGTAAATGAGACCTTTCCTTGAGCGGCCTGAAGATATGAGATATTTCGTGGGGCTCTTGACAATGGTAGACCTACCGCAAGGTCCCTCTTCAAAGCATTAAAGTACCCATGGAAAGTGTCGATGATTGATTCACAAGCCTTGGTGCAATGGAATATATTGGTATCATCTAGTGACGGTCGCAGAAGATGGATTAGGCATCAAAATTCTGGGCATTCAATGATATTGATTGCCTGAAAATGATTATTAACCATAGTGTAGAAAGTGCACATTGACTCACCTGGTCATCACCAATGATGAATTTCACAATTTGTTTGTGCATCTCATCCAGAGTAAATGCAGGCAATGCGTCATCTGGAGCCGACAGGCTGGTTCCAGGAAGTAAATCAGGACTAGGTGGAGTACCGAGTGAGTCTAACGTGCAATCTGGATCCCTCAGCCTTTGACGCATGGTCGCAATTGTCCAGCCCTCATCCAAAAAAGTCTTCAGTCGTGACGATTTATGGAGGACATGCCAGCGCTGGCGCTCTGCCTCCTCCAAGTAAATGTCCATATGTTCAGTGAAGGCATGGGTGCGACAAGTCGAAGTGCTTGTATTGTGAATGTATGATGCAACATGGTAAGTATCATCTAGGTCGTGGATTGTTCTGGTGAAGAATGTCAGAAAGGACCATAGATTACAGACGCAATACTCACTCGCAGGCCTTGCAAATATTAGAATGAGTGGTAGGGTCCTGTCTAAAGAAGAAATGAACATCAGCAGAGGATTTAGGTGGTTTTGCTCGGCCACCAGTAGCCAGTGGATCAGTTAATTTAAGTGGTACTCATTGCTGTCTGAAATGGGCTATGGCCTGCAGCAGGCCTAACTTCGGGTGCAGGTGAGACCACATCATCGTCCTCATCCTCAAAGACATTCTCAAGGTCAAAGAATTCGCCATCATCGCCATCATCTTGTCGGAACCTGATAGGAAGCTGACAATCCCTGCGAGGATTTCGAAGGATATTTGCATTCACTGCAGCAGCAGTGGGAGCAGCAGTGGTGAGAGCAGCAACAGGAGCGGGGACAACAGGAGCGGGGACAACAGGAGCGGAGACAACAGGAGCGGGGACAACAGGAGCAGGGACAACAGGAGCATGGACAACAGGAGCGGGGACAACAGGAGCGGGGACAACAGGAGCGGGGACAACAGGAGCAGGGACAACAGGAGCAGGGACAACAGGAGCGTGGACAACAGGAGCAGGGACAACAGGAGCAGGGACAACAGGAGCGTGGACAACAGGAACGGGTACAACAGGAGTACCGGTAGCGGTGGTTTTGGAAGCAAGCTGAGAAGTTTTCTTTTTTCAAGGAGGCATGTGGTGGTGGTAATGGTGGTGTTAGTGGTGAAGATAGTTCAGTAACAGAACTGTATGTCTGTTTATATACATCTTCGTCTGGGGAAACCCCAGAACGTGCTGAGGAGCAGCAATACTGAGTCCCTGATGGAAAAGTCCAAAGGGCAATTGTCATTAATCAAGACGCAAGCAAGTTGAGTCTCATTTGGCACAGACTCACTGGGTAACTGATCAATCAAATGCACCTGCACTCGATCTTGGACGATGGCGAAGCCAATGGGGGTAGTCTCCATAAATAAGAAGTTGTCGAATTGTTATATTGTATTGCGGAAGTTGTGATGATTCACTCAAGGCAGACAGCATGTTGATTGTGTTAGCGTGAGAAAAGAGGAAGAAATCTCAATTCTCGATCATTACATAATGGCAAGTTGGCAACAGGCAGACAGCTGCGCAGATACAATGTTTTTGCAAATAATAGGTAATACTGTACGAGTCTGTACAGGTATTCAGCATTCAATGGCTTCAATGTAGTAACCAGGAGTCCTTGTACTCATGTAAAGTCAGATCTAGGCGACCCTAGTCTTTTTCCAGTGCGGAGTAGAAGTAGCTGCATGCAGGGGGGGGCCATTATGCAGGCGCAAACTTGCAATCACATCAGTTCAAAAGTAGGAACATCGTGAGTGGACTACTCACATCCGAGTCGATCTGCGAAGTGGCGGACATGGAGGCACTGCCTCAATTAACCAGGGAGAATGTGAGAATGGAGGGGAATGTGTGATAGGTGCATCAGGCTGGTTGAAATCCAGAAAGCATGCAGCTGGTGCAGATGATGAATGAGGTACGTGAAGCAATGAACGAATATGGTTATAATCGGGATCCTCTGAGAATGCAAGAGAGCGTGTGTAAATGAGAATCATTGCGAACTCGACAGGAATTCCCTGACATAGATCTTCAATGGTAGTGTTGACTTAACATTCGAGTATTGAAGAGCTGCAAAGTTTGTCTTTGTCACTGGTTAACCATGGAAGGGAACCCTGCAAGAAGTATATTAACATGTATGTAAGTGACTTGAGGTCATCACAACGACCCAGTTCAACTCCCAAGTGATTGTTGACTGAAGCAAATGCAGGAGTGCCAGCGAGACGTTGACCTTAGCGAAATGGAATGTGGACATTGTTTGATGTGTTCCAGAACTCCTTTGCGATCCCAAAATCAATAAGAAAGATGGTGTCACTCAAATCACCAAGCCGCACAACGACATTCTGCGGTTTTATATCACCATGAACATAACAATGCGAGTGAATATATTCGAGGCATGAAAGCTGGGAAACAGAGTTAGTGATCTGCACATGTAACAACCTACACATCAACTGACCAGCTGGTCTCCCAGATTGACAACAGTTTCAAGGCTGAATTTGTTGTTGTGGGTAAGGAATAGGTCATGTAGTGATGGCCCAAGGAGGTCGAGAACCAGAGCATGATATGTCGACTCCCTACCAAACCAATGGATGCGGGGAATACCAACACCACCTTCAAGGTGTTTCAAAACTTTGTATTCACGTTGCATGGAAGATAAGTGGCTGATGGGTTCAAGCTTGATGGCAACTGCATCCTCCTTGATGATGTTCCGTGCACGATACACAACAGCTAATTAGTGGGGTCAAATTGTTGAATCATTGTGTAGTCGGTAATATATGAACGACATACCATATGAACCAGATCCCAAAATGTCTCCCAACCTAAATCTTCCATCAACTCAAATAGGGATCTTAGTATTCATTGCGTATCATACAAAGCAACAATTTTCCTTCCACACGCCGCATGGGTATTTCAGCTTGAACTGGCTTAAGCCAGCTTGAAGCGGTTCAAACCACGGTTCAAATATTTTCTGCTTGTGATTGCTGTAACTGGTTCACATGGCTTACAAGTCAAACCGAGTCCGTACTCAGTGGCTTGGCTCATGTGGATCGCCAAACCTCTGGCTTATCAGTAAATACCGAACCGGAGCCGACCGTAGCCAAGCTGTGGCACTACTACCTGCAGTTGGGGGATGGGTATATCTGCGGGTATGGGTACAGGTTTCACTGCTGATACCTGGGGGTATACCCATGCAGTTGCCTAACATTGGTGGCTCCTGCTGCTGGGATAAGCATCCCTTTGCTGACTAGTTCGGCTCTTGCTGTTTTGGCATCTGTTACTTTCGATGGGGTTGCTGGGTTGTTTATTAGTTCTGGAATTGATCTATTGGTCGGTCTAAGTAGCATGTTTTCTTTGTTCCTTGGGCTGATGATCCACGGAGGTGCAGGATCATCTATTTCGTTCACTAGCATCTTGTTTTTGTTTTTGTTTTATCTTTTTGTGTTGTTTTTGTATGAGTTATTAAAAGTAAAGCTAGTTTATATTTATATAAGAAGAAAGGAGGAGTTATGGGAAGGGAGGGGTCGGCGCTGGCGCCGTTGGGCACGATGTTGGTTGTGTTTGTTCCAGGGTCCTTGTCGGGGTGCCACTTGGTAGGTGGCTAAGAAGCGATATGACCTGTGCTTGTCGTCCACAGAAAATGCGACACATTCCAGGAAGGATGAATGCTGGAAGATGGTGATGGTTCATTAATCTGAGAGCCACCAGAGACGGACATGCTTGTCATCAATGCAGAAGCGACGAGGGTGTCAGCAGGATGAATGGCAATGGTGTCGATATGATCGGTGTGACCTTCGTAGGGATGACCAACCTGCTGCCAGGTTAACGTGTCCCACTCCCATATGTATTTACTGCATCCTGAAAGAAGGAAGGAATGCGTGTGACATCGGGCGTCCACACGAGTGACGAATTCCATATGCCAGTGTCACCTGCATCAGCTGAATACAATCCAGCATGATCAAGCAGAGTTGACAACATCTTCAAGGCGGGAGTGGCAACTTCAAGAGCTGTGTCTGTAGATGCATGCACAAGACATCGATCTTTGAGAGCTAATATTCGAGCGCGGAGCCTGGGTTGGACATCATCATCATCCGCCCAATTGGCCTCTGAGTCCATCTCATCCTACAGCATCACATATCAGCAAATTATCATCTTTTGTGCACAGAATGATAGCACCATGCACAGGATCCGCTGGGCTAGGTACCATGAGTAACTTCTTGACGAGGAGGGCCATTAAGATATTGCTCTTGAGCTTAAATGCATCGGGCGCTAACCGAGCAAATTGGGCAAGAACAGTGGTACGCGCAACAAGTAGATCTGGTTCTGCTGTTGACAACTGCCTCGCTATTGACTAGAAGACCTGTGATGAACGTTCAATCAGAATCAAACCCAGAAAGCTCACCTCCACAGCTTCGGTGCACAAATCGTCATGTTCCTTGGAGGCTACCAATATTCGGGCAGCGAACTTCGCCACACAAGCATTTGAACCCAAAACATAGCGCATTACACCCTCCAGCATTCATTTGTCCAACATGAAGCATCTGTAAGCTGGATGCTTACTATGCGCTTGCTTGCAAATGTTTGGCTTGGCTGATTGGTTCATAATCATGTGGCGCTGCTGCCTTGTATCTTATCTACTTCTGACCGCACTGTCAATCCACGACCTGTCCACGCTTTGTCTGTTCCGTTCTGAGTGTTTCCCTACACACGGGGTTTCCACTTTTTTTTAAGCATTCGACACAGTCATCACCGAATGAACCGTCACTGTCACAGATCAACACCACCGCCATATCATAACACTGTCTTGACAGAATTGTGCCCGCTGCAACACAGCCTTGCTAAAATCGTGCCCGCCGCCTTCCTACAGCTCATTAGTGCAGTCCTTAACTGCCGCGGTGACGTACAACGTGCCTTATAAACGAGCACCACCAGCAGGGAATGTTGTTCCCCTCCTAACTCGCTCCAGAGCGAAAGCTGGGGAGAACACTACCTTAGCCAACAGAACACCACCCCAAACACAGCGTGAATCGGACGTCGAATCCTCGTCGTCATCGTCATCATCCAACGAGTCCAACGTCAGAGTGACCTTCGAATACCGCGCATATAACCACGCATATAACAACATGAAGATTGCACGCGTTGAACAATCGGCTTGTACAAAGCCACCTACTCTCACCGCGGGTGAACTCACACCAGAAGTCATCCGCACGTGGGACATGGCCTGTCAAAATTACTTCACCCACAAAGAAGTGACTGAAAATGTCCAGGTGAAGAAAGTAGCATGGGGCATGTTAGACCCACGTCTTCAAGACTGGTATATTACAAATCACGTCGCGCTGGATGCCATGACTTTCGACGAATATATGAAAGACTTTCGTGCGAATTGGCTCGACTCCGATTGGGCTGCTCAAGTTCGTAAGAAGCTGCTTAGTTCGACCCAAGGCACCAGACCATTCCCAGAATGGGCTGCCAAGCTACAGAGCACTAACGCGCTCCTTACTGGCGAATCATCTTATTTCTCGAAAACCCTCATGCACAACCAGCTCGAAGCTAATATGAACGACGATCTATCGGCAGACTGTAGGCACGAGGGAGTGCACGAAGAGGTGGACTTGAAGAAATGGATGGAAAAGGTCAAACGCTTGGACGAAAAACGCCTGCGTACAGTCGCTAGACAGAAAGAAGCGATCGACGCGGCTCTTTCCTCCAGAAATAGACAACCTTTTGCCCCTCGCACTAATCTTCCCAAACCGAACCAATCCTCAGAGCACTCCGCCAAGATGTCTACTCGTGTTCCCCCCTATCCGATACAGAACTGACAACTTCTTAACAAACATGAAGGGTGCTTCAAGTGCAGACGCTTCTACGTCTCCTGTCGCTCGAAAGACTGCAAGAACGGGTTTCCTGATGGCGCTACCTACAAACCACTGACAGAAAACATGGCGCTCAACAGCAAGAACAAGTCTACAAAGACCGCAAAAGTTGTGTCCGTGGAAGCCGTCGCTGCAGTCATGATGCCCTCTGCAGTTCTTGGAAACGGGACAGATTCTGGAGAAGAGTATGTCAGGATACCGTCTTCAAGTCACGTCCATTCCAGTTCAACCTCTTCTCCTCCTTTAACCATCACCCCTTCACTGCCTCCAATTAATGACCCGCCTGTTGCTCCGTTAACCACCCCACAACTTAAGTGGCAATGTTTACTTGACGGCCCTCTTTCTCCTTCTTCTGTTTCTGTTTCAGCGCTGATTGATGATGGCTCCTCCCTAGTTCTGATTGATGAGGCCCTCGTCACCAAACTCGGATTACGCCGTCGGAAATTACACAAACTGATTTCAACAACCGTCGCCATGAACACCAATTCAAATGCACCCCCCTTTTTTCTTCATCATTATGTTAAAATCAAGCCGTCCTCCTTAAACTGTGACTGGACTTCTCGGACCGTAAAGACCGTTATCGCACCTCAATTGTGTGCTTCTCTTCTTCTTGGTGGACCCTTTCTTGCACATAATCGTGTCGTGATTGATCACGAACTTCGTACCTGTATAGCTAAAGAATCCTTGTATGATTTATTGAATCCCCCTGTTCCTTCCATTCCCATTTCTTTACCTACTGTTACTCCTTCCGTTTCACAAGTCAACATGTACCGGAGGTCTCTCGCCCTCGAATTAAAGGACATTCTTCACCAACAACGGTCAAAAATCGACAACAAGTTGGAACCGATCGAACCGGTCAACATCAGTGCTGTATTGCAGAAAAGGATCGAGGCCTTGACGTTTGCGGAGAAGCTTGCAAAGTTCAACGACGACACTATGACTCGCTTCGCTGACCGTTTTCCTTCAGATATTCCTCACATTAACGACTTACCAGATGATGTTTACTACCGCGTGAAACTACGCGACACCAACCAAGTGATCCAACTTCGAGGGTACAACTGCCCAAGGAAGTATAGGGACGCTTGGCACACACTACTACAACAACACTTAGACGCTGGAAGGATACAGCCTTCATCATCACAACACTCCGCACCGTCCTTCATCATACCCAAAGCGGATCCTGCAGGTGTTGCCCAGATGGGTAAATGATTTTCGTACACTTAATGCTAACACAGTACCCAACAACTTTCCCCTACCACGAATAGACGAAATATTGAGAGACTGCGCCAAAGGCAAGATCTTTGGCAAGATGGATATGACTAACTCCTTTTTTCAGACTAAAGTTCACCCAGACGATAGACACCTGCTAGCCGTGCACACCCCCTTCGGTCTACATGAATGGTGTGTCATGCCGATGGGTGTACGCAACGCCCCAGCAACACACCAACGACGCATGGTAGCCACCCTCCGTCCCTTGATTGGAAAGATCTGTCACGTATACCTCGACGACATAATCATATGGTCACAAACGGTCGAGGAACACATTGAAAACGTCAACACAGTGCTCGAAGCACTGCGCGCAGCATCGCTCTTTTGCTCATCAAAAAAGACGTGTCTTTTTGCAACTGAAGTCAACTTCCTTGGCCACGTCATATCAGACAGAGGTATTGAAGCGGACCCAACAAAGATCTCCCGCATTCTGGACTGGCCAGCCCCAAAAAGTGCCAACGACGTTCGTTCGTTTCTTGGGCTCGTCCGTTATGTCGCCAACTTCCTACCGGATCTCGCTGAGTACACGCGCATCTTAAACGGTCTCACCACTAAATCTGTTGATTTAGAGTGGCCTGGATGGTCCAAAGATCATCAGGAGGCCTTCATGGCTATCAAGGATCTCGTTGTCTCACGACGCGTGTTGACCACTATCGACCATGATAACCCGGGAGATAATAAAATATTCGTGACTACTGATGTAAGTGATTATAGAACAGGAGCCGTTCTTTCATGGGGTCCAACTTGGGAAACAGCACGTCCCGTCGCTTTCGAGTCCTCACCCCTCAAAGATGCAGAGCTTCGGTGCCCCGTCCACGAAAAAGAGCTCCTCGCTGTCATTCGCGCCTTGAAGAAGTGGCGAGTCGAGCTTCTCAGAACAGCATTCGAAGTTCGGACTGATCACCGCACTCTCGAAAACTTCATGACTCAACGCGACCTCTCACGATGACAAGGCCGTTGGCAAGAGTTCCTCGCTGCATATGATTTAAGATTGTGTATTTAAAAGGTACTGATAACGCAGCGGCTGATGCGCTTTCGCGCACCGAATTTCCAGACGCAGATTCCAACAACAAACACGGCGACGACGAACAAATAGAAAGACATACCGTGGCCTCCATACTCGCAATTCAATCAGACGAGGCTTTACTAACAACAATCAGGAAAGAATACCCCAACGACCCATTCACCGCGAAACTTGACAGTGTTCTTGTTTCACTTCCTAACCTAGTTAAACGTGATGGTTTATTTTTCCTTAAGGATCGGCTTGTAGTACCTCGAACTGCTGACCTTCGAGAACAATTGTTCCGACTAGCGCACGATAATTTAGGCCATTTTGGGGGCGATAAATCATACGAAACGCTACGCACATCCTTCTACTGGCCGCAAATGTGTAAAGATCTAATTGAGGCGTACATTCCGTCATGCGACTCATGCCAACGCAACAAATCACGCACGACACGTCCGCCTGGGCCACTACACCCTTTACCTATTCCTGACAAACGTGGGGACTGCGTTGCTATTGACTTTGTGGGCCCCTTGCCTGAAGACGAAGGTTTTAACATGGTAGCTACGATTACCGACCGTCTCAACGCTGATGTTCGTTTAGTACCGTGTCGAGAAAACGTGACAGCACAGGAGTTCGCGAAACTGTTCTTCAATGAATGGTATTGTGAAAACGGTCTGCCACTGGAGATAGTTTCAGACCGTGACAAGCTATTTGTTTCATCATTCTGGAAGTCCTTAACGCAACTGACGGGTATTAAATTAAAAATGTCAACAGCCTTTCACCCTCAGTCCGACGGCGCTAGTGAGCGCACTAACAAAACACTCAATCAATGCATTCGCTTCCACGTCAAATGGAACCAGAAAGGCTGGGTACGGGCACTACCACAGGTTCGATTCAGTATCATGAACACATGTAACGCCAGTACCGGTTTCTCTCCGTTTCAACTACATCTTGGTCGTTCACCCAGACTCATTCCCCCACTCGTCCACAACGACAACTTGTCAGAAACCGAGTTTGATGCTCACACTCTCATCAAGCGACTAGAAACAGACGTGTTAGAGGCGCAAGACTCCTTGTTTGCTGCAAAAGCAAGCCAAGCATCAGCAGCGAACCAGCACCGCGCAGACGAGCCTAACTTCCAAGTAGGAGACCGTGTCCTTCTCGCCACAAAGAACAGGAGACGGGAATACCTACAGAAGGGCAAATGTCGCGTAGCTAAGTTCATGCCCAGATTTGATGGACCATACACCATCACTGATTGTCATTCGGAGTCTTCCACGTATACACTGGATCTACCCAAAACGATGAACGTCTACCCCACCTTCCACGTTTCACAACTGCGTGAATACCATCAGAACAACGCTTCGCTATTCCCCAATCATGAACAACAATGTCCAGGTGCCGTCGTCACGGCAGAAGGCAACATCGAGTGTTTCATCGAAAAGATCGTCGATGAAAGACGGAGAGGGAGGGGTACCCAGTACATGGTTAGATGGCAGGGAGAGGGACCAGAGGCAGACGAGTGGCTTCCGAGAAGAGAGCTTGAAGAAACGGAGGCCCTGGACATCTGGTTAGGAGAACAAGAAGCTGCAACGTCATAGGGTGGAGGAGTGTAAGCTGGATGCTTACTACGCGCTTGCTTGCGAATGTTTGGCTTGGCTGATTGGTTCATAATCATGTGGCGCTGCTGCCTTGTATCTTATCTACTTCTGACCGCACCGTCAATCCACGACCTGTCCACGCTTTGTCTGTTCCGTTCTGAGTGTTTCTCTACACACGGGGTTTCCAGCATCATAACGAGCAGATGACCAAGAGACCACCCGCTTATCATTAACTGCTAACGCAATACAGTTTCATAGTCTAATTTCCAATACACTGCAAACCGCACGCACTTTTTCGTCAGGATCTAGTAACTTAAGCCTCATTAGCTCTACTTGCATGTTAGTACAGATAACATGACGAGGAGGAGGAACCTCACCATCTAAAGTTTCCCGGTGATCATGCAAATTCACCAGAAGACCCTTAGCGCTCTCTACAAGCTTCAACCACACTGCCGCAGTCTTGTCGTTCTTCCTCATGAACCACACATTCCACGTTGTAGGGCATTTCTTAACAAGCTCTGCTCCACCCTTCTCTGAAAACATTTCAACGAGTGCCTGGGTGGCAATTAGACGCATTTACACCTCCTCCACGCGAAGCTCCTCTTCGAGTTGCGCAATAACGCTGTGCAACAAAGATGGACAGGACCTGCTCAGTTGCTTGACTAGTTCGTGTGCTTTCCGTATCTCCTCGAAGTTGGACTCGGAGTCTGATTCATGGGAGTGCGCGACGATGATGTCCGTAAAATATTGACAGACGTGCCGCCAGAGCTTGTCCGCGGTAGCATTACAAACTTGACGGCAAGGTCGTGACGCGCCTGTGACGCGGCACTGTAACAAATTCCTCATGTTCACACATCTATGTTGGTTTGCGTCACATGTGCGTCATGTCGCGTCACGGCCGCATCACGACCGCGGCAGGCGCGGCAGGACCGCGTCAAAATAGCTACGCTCAATGAGACTTGTTTCTTGTAACTTGAAAAGATGCCAATCAGACTCATCTCAAATCACCAGTGAACCTATGAACATATTTCATAGTTGACAGCAATTGATTCTGGCCTATCGATATGAAGGTAGCTGTAAGCTGCAAAAGGAATCGGAGGTTTGACTGATGCTGGGCTTCCCTAGCAGACATACAGTAAGGCTCACAGGCAATCTTTTATGTGAGTTCATCGTAGTACTGCATTGTTTACATTCTCACAACTTCATATCCCTTGTCCCATCCTATAACACAGATATCGATTCAACGGAGTCCGAATTAGACGCTGCAGAAACTAAGCCACACTCCCTTTGGAACGTTAATCCACACCCAGGACTTGATCACCTCGACCGCCGTCCCAGTCTTCTTCAATGTTCAGCCTGTAGTGAGCTTTTGTCTCACCCCGACGCAGGCGCCACAAATCCACCTCCGTCGGTTATGGAATGCGTTTTGCAACAGGTCTGCCTTGCAATACCTTGTCATGTCCAGCTAACGCTCATTGAGCAGGTTCTATTCGCGAGGAATCCACAAATCGCCGCTTTAGCGTCTCTTCCAGCGAGGCGGGAGATCTAGATGCAAGTGTCTTGTCCGTTGCCCCGCGCCCACGGTCGGCCTCACGGGCTGTATCTGGTTCGCGTGATGCAAACAGTAGCATGTCGCCGACGGGGAGAGCTCGCAGCCTGGGTAGCTGGCTGAGGACTGTGAAGGATAACACAACATCTACTGGAGATACCATCTGGACCGCAAAGGGCAGCTATGCCTTGGATGCCCGGCTACTTCTTCAAGCGAAAAATTACCAACCTTTACATCACTTTATCCTCGCTGAAATCTTATGTGGAGGTCAATTACTCTGGCTTCAGCAAGATTTTGAAAAAGTGAGTTGGTTCTATCTGGTTCGCGCAATATTTGTTGAAAGGGTTTCTCCAGGTATGACAAAGTCGTGTATGGCGAAGTATCTAGCATTTTATCGTACCTCGTTCATTCATAGCTCATTATTTTCTTCAGCTCAAAGACCGTTACATGCACGAAGTTGTAGAAACCTCTGCACCCTTCACGGAAGAGTCGAAAGCCAGAATGTCAGATGCCATCTCCCGACTCACCGAGCTCTATACCAAATGCGTGACAAATGGAGACAAGTCGACAGCACAGCAGCAGCTGAAACTATACCAGCGCGAACACATTGCATGGGAGCGGAATACGGTCTGGCGTCAGATGATCGGGCAACAACGACACGGTACTATGAACGGATTAGGTGCTCTCATGGGCGCTACGCTGGTGCAACAGGAAGAAAGCAGCCTTATTAATGTCCCGACTCCTCTCGGAAGTCTGAAGTTGACAAAGAAGAGGGTGTCACTCGCTGCTGCGCTAGTTGTGTTCATCGCTTTACTGAAGATAGACATCGTTGTTGGTGAAGAGGCCAATAAGTGTTTTGCCATACTTGCATTCAGCACTATATTGTGGGCAACAGAGGTGCGAAATGTGCTCCAGCTTCCATTTCTTACTTACCTTCGTATTTAGGCGATACCGTTGTTCGTGACGTCGCTTTGCGTCCCCCTCCTGTTGGTATGCTTACGGGTTATACGTGATGACAATGACACTGCCTTGTCTACGCCTGATGCAACAAAGTAAGTTGTCTGAAATCACCCTCTCGGAGATACTGAGTACACGATCCAGGTATATATTCTCTGTTATGTTCTCGCCCACAATCATGCTTCTGATCGGAGGATTCACAATTTCATCGGCTTTGAGCAAAACCAACATAGATAGGATTTTAATCACGAGAGTTCTGAGCTTGGCGGGTTCAAAACCTAGTTCCGTGCTTCTTGCCTTCATGGGCGTCTCCTGTTTTGCGAGTATGTGGATCAGGTAGGCCACGTTTATTCCCGTCACTCACGTGTCGCTAACGTGTTTCAGTAATGTTGCAGCTCCAGCATTGTGCTTCACTCTCATCCGAGTAAATGATATGCGTCCTATGTCCGCAGCAACAATTATCTGATTTTTACTGTCTTCAGCCGATCCTGAGAACGCTGCCCCCTGGTTCGGCTTTTGCGCCAGCACTAATAGTTTGTTATTTACCATGTGCGGGAGCGACTACTCATGACCCCTACAGCTCGCTATCGCCTTGGCCGCTAACATAGGTGGTCAGAGCTCCCCGATATCGTCTCCACAGAATCTGATTGCCATCGCGGCGATGGATCCTAAACTCGATTGGGCGAGTTGGTTTGCTGTGGCACTTCCGGTGTCCATAATTTCTATCTTGCTCATCTGGCTGCTATTGCTTGTGATGTACCGTCCTGCTCGTTCGCCTGACGGGGAAGGAGAGATTGAGATACGGACTATCCGCCCAACAAGGGAATCCTTCACCCTCAAGCAGTATTGGGTTACGTTCGTCTGCTTATTCACGATTACTCTCTGGTGTTTTGAGCACAAAATCGAGGGTCTTTGTGGGAGATATGGGTGTTATTGCTATCATCCTGATCGTCGCCTTTTTTGCCACTGGTGTGCTGAAAAAGGTGTGTGCTGAATATATCGGCGATATTGATACTAACCCACGTGTTCTCAAGGGCGACTTTGAACAATTCGCCTGGACAATTGTTTTCCTCGCAATGAGCGGAATCGCTCTTGGCAAAGGTGTTACTTCCAGTGGTTTGATGGTGACTATGGATCGCCTCGATGTTTGACGGTTAAATCTTCTGGCAAGAACGTCCGATGCATCAAATCCGGCCCGCCTTTCCAAATTCTGTGCGATAGGCACTTGCGAGGCCTAGCCGTGGAAGGAGTGGACCGATCCCTTTCGCACTGTTCTTGGAATTCTGAGAGAGGGGAAGCTTTTATTGCCATTTTTCAAATGAATGCGCAGGGGGCTAGTTGGGTGTATACTGCGATGATATAATTAGGAACCGTGGCGATAAACTGGTTCGGTAATTTACACCCTTTGCGAACTCGTTGGTGCTACTGATGCACCGGAACTCCCAGACGTGCCATGCGGACTCGCATTCATCAGCTGAACTGTCAGCAGAGTATGGAGCAATGATTTGCATGAGGTCAAGCGTTGTGATTGACTCAGAGTGGTGATCTAAGAGACACGTATACTGACTTGCGGTACCGTTTATCAAGACGGTCGACGGTAACAGACTCCAGTTCAGTTCAGAGGTGCATGCGAACGCGATGCCACATACGACTCGGTCGACCGATCAGGCCAGAAATGAGGGCAGATGTACAAAGTCAGGTCGAGATGACCAAATGTCGAGGACATGAAACGTCCCACAAAACAAGGGAATGCCCAGAGCGTCACCACATGTGTCTTTGTGGATAATCCCCAGCCTCCTAGTGACACACTACATACGTCTATTTAGTGTGTGTCACAAGGCGGTCCAGGAAATGAGCTTCTATCCCTTACAAAACGTAGGTTGGTGACGAAACACATCAGCAAAAACCCATGGGTATGAGAAGCATCGATGAATCTCTCGCTAATTTTGGCCTGGTGAGTCATTCGCCGAAGAAATTCATTTCTGCGCATTTTTACGTCTTGAATCAGAGTACATTAATATTATTGACTTCTTTCTCATTCACGAATCACGATCCATGTTCCGGTTTTCAACGCCGCCTAGTCCCATACAAGACTTTACAAGATGCCCGTAACGCGGGAAAAAAATATGCATGAGCGTTCCAAATCAGTGCATTTTCTGCCTTGGCAAGGGGCTATAGTTGTAACGCAACATTTTAAGCAGGCATTTAGAAGGTACCAAGCGAGCAAGGCCAGCCGAACGAGAAAGCGGGAACAATGGGCCTGGTCATGCGACCCATTTCAACCTCATCGAGCATTTGAGTCAGATAGTCACCAAGAAGATGCAAAAGCGACAACACATTGATCCTGTCCTTATTTCATCAATCGCCGATAAGCAGGGGCGGATGTCCCTTCGACCACCGCATCTACACATAGTAGTGGCCGCCCACCATCCATTCGAATAATATTTTGAGAGCTCGTGATGGAAAGCTGCACTGTTTGAGTTGTCCTGGGTAGCACATCATACGTACTCTCTGTTCTGCAGAGATTATGGGTATTGCAGAGTAGTACACCCCGCGCACACCGTGAGAGAGCGACAGTGAGTTATTGATAAAATATTAAATCAAAATTAATTGTACGATTCATCGTGTTCATATCATACAGGCACCAATTGTGTGCTTTCGACTGACAATCAAACGGCCATTAAAAGGAGCCAGCAACTGTCTTCAAAATGTCATGACACTGCTCCCTACAACAGCCCATAACTGCAATCGACATGGCACGTCGCAACCACGACACATCTAGAGATGAGGAGACACTCACTGTACGTATGCATGATCAGCTTGACAGCCAATGATTTACGGATGGCAGGTGGATGAGTTGCGCGCATTGATGAACAAGCGCCCTGTGCAGGCGAAGGAGCGAACGACCAACCCGGCGCAAAACACTCAGAGGATGGACGCGGTGCTCGCGAAGTGTAGGATCGGTGTGGCTTACATTGATATACTCAAAATCAAGAACTCGTTGGTATTCGGCAAATATAACGATCGGCCGCAGGAGCCCAGGGAAGTGAACAAGCTTCTTGCGTCGTTTAAGAAGGACGGAATTCTGGCGATGCGAGATGCGACAGCGATACCGATTATGCTGTCAGGCGCCCGCGTGAAGACTGGGTTGAGCCTCGCAGTCAACTTCGACATCCCAAATGCTGTGCCGCAATTACAATTGAAGGACGTCAACGACATTGTCGTAGCGTCGGGACAACATCGCATTGCTGCGTTGAAGAGATATTTCGAGATCGTCACTGGAGAGATGATGCATATTGAGGAACTCTGCGACGATATAGCTGCTGTGGAGAATCTGAGTCCTGAACACCTCACCGAGTTCAACAGGCTTCGCGACCAACTGGATGAGCTGCAGGGGATAATAATTCTAATGGGAAAATGGGGCATCATCGTATATGACAAAGGTGAGCTCTATCGCTGTCTTTATTGTGCCAGTGGAACAGTTGCAGCACCTGGGTGACAAGCTGTGCGTTTGATGTACCACTCAAGGGACTGCATGTTTTGGCTCGCAGGCATGGGATGAAACTGTTCTAGCTGTCGTTGGGATCAATTCTCGCTGCAACGGGTCCCTAGTGGAGGTATGAGCATCCGACGCTGATCAGTATGCATTTACAGACAGCGTGTTAGCGGATGGCGACATGTTGGCAGACCACTTGTGTCGAAACAAATCCTTGCCCGAGTACAAGGAGACCGCAGAAGAAGTGTTGAGCAAGATCTTGCGATCGGTGAGAAAAGCTTACAACGATGCTCCTGAGCATGAGCGAGTTGCGACAGCACTGCATGAGCTGTGGATTCAGCGTGATAATACCGAGCGGCAGAAGAATGCACGGTTGACGAAAGTCCTGAGCTACGACCTGCTGATTTTAGCGCTCGCACTGCATCTCCTGCCGTTGGGATCACACTTTCACCGTCGCAAGGAGTTCCAGATCACCTGGTTAAGCAACTCAATTGATGTAGTCATGGGGGTAAGCAACGTCATTTATATTCGCGCACACGGTCCTTATGTATTATTGCAGATGTTTATTCAATTTATTATGTTCCACAGTCACATCCTGAATTTGCTTGCATCGAGCGATGACTTCCCGGACTACGCAACAGTGAATAACATGATCTCTGTAGCATCCAGTCATGGGACGGGCCGCAACGCTTCGATCGAGCAACTTGCAGCGTGGCGCGCGCAGATATACAACAGCAAGGCTAATACTGAAGTTACCATTTTTAACGATGTGTTCGAGGATGTGTCCATTTTCGTTCAAGAGGAGTTTCGTAATATTCCTCTAAAGAATGTTGGAACCAAGGACCCCCAGTACGTCAACAGCCTGGACAATTACTCGCACTTCCTAGTCAGCAAGTTGCGCTCAAAGTGGCACCTTGCGACAACAAAGTCCTCACAATGGAATGCCATTACTAGGTTTCACGATAAGGTTGTGGCAAGGATCGCCGTGTGGCTGACGCCTGAGGATTTCATGCAAGAGGCCCCGTTACCGCTGTTGTGCGGTCACCTCCTCGATATCGCGTGGACTAGTCTAATGTCGAACATCGCTGCGTTTGAGGAGGTGAGAATTCGAAGCACGCACGATACCTTATGTTCTATTTACACGCTGTGTCAGGTCAGCGGATGGTTCGAGCCTTTGCTGCTGCACTATCGAATGTTCCATCGCAACAGCCATGCAATGGATGACAAGTCCCAGGTAATGTTCACGAACCTTCGCAATGAATCTAGGATAAGCGAGCGCGAGACAATCGAAGAGGCGGTATGTGTGATGGAGCATCATGCTGTGGTTTACACCCATATTGACAGGACAGGTGTTTACTTGCTTGTGGGCACTCCGCGGGACGCTGGTCCTGCGGCTGCAGAACAATTTGACGACAATGTCAGCTCACAAGAGCAAAAGAAAACCGTTTAAAGACCGAAAGGAGGTTAACGAAGCGTTCGCACAGCTAGGGTCCGATGCGCAGGACAATCTGCAGAAGTTGCATACGTTGATGTTGGCAAGGAAGGGACGAGGACGGGATCTAACCTCTGAGCCGCAGGATGTCCCTGGAATTCTTGCCATGCATGTCACGAGCTGGGACTGGCATACTCGCATATCAAAAAATGGCAAGCGGGACGCAGAGCCACTGATCAAGGCAGTACTGCTTGATCTTGTCAAGATTCGCAAAAGACGCGAGGGCCTATTTAAAGATCCGATGGTTGCAGGTCTTCGCACAATCCTGGAGGGGGTGATTGCCAAGCACACAAGAGCAGTTAATACGTCTGAGGAGAGCGGCCAGATCGTCAAGCGTAAGAGGTGGTTATGGTACGACGGGGCTAAGATTCCGCCAAATGTCACTCCTACAGTGGAGACTGTGCTCACTGCGGACTGTCACGCGATACATGCATGCATGCAGAGTTGCCAGGACATGGAGGGGAATGATCGCGCTGCTATCATGAAGCTAGTCGAGTATGTCGAACACATGTCAATTGCAAAGGCGACATCGACCCATAGTCTGGCAGCAGTGAATGTCGTTCGAGGGCTCAAGAAGCTCATACACGTACGTACTATTTTTTTTGCCTATAGAAGAGTCGAATGTCTAACTGTCTATCTGTTATAGGAACTGGAGATCAATAGTACTCGTCTCCGCACACGAGCACTAGAGAGCGACGATAGTTTCACTTATGACATCATGGACACTGTTGATGTCAAAATAGCTCTGACGCAAGGTTTGGAGGATGAGAACACGAATGCAAGTACATGTATGATTGTTTCATCACCAGGTGACTACTAACATGCGTACTAAAGGGGGATCACGCTAGTGAACAAGACGAATCACCTGTGGCCGAACCGAAGCGCGATGGACAACCCCGGAACTTGACAGCGACCATGATCGAAAATAATGACAGACACCCCGGGAGCCAGACCACATTTTCGGGATCTGGGCGGCCGAAACCTCGTCCCATAGCGCATCGCAAGAATAATGATAATACGACCACACGTACTGACTCACACGATATGGTAATGGATGCCTTCCGATCGACTGAATCATCCCCGCGGCCACAGAGCAAGGGAAAAGAAAGAGCTATAATATCCCGTGAGTATTCGCCAGACACCGGTCTGTAGCTCACGCATCTCCAGCTAATGGTGATCGCTTTCAAGCGTTTGGGGAAGGTGACGTATCTGCTGATCAAACAGCAGCAGGGGAGCCTGCGGAGCTCGAGCCTCAAATAGGCAGACTTACGTTTGACGACAATCCAGTTGATACTTTTTCCGCCAGTGAAACGGCAGCAGGCGCGGCTACACAAGGCGAGACAGGTGAGGATGGGGGCAATGCAGTCAGCAGAGATGACGCGAATAGAATGTTCCCGGTCGCAGCACCGCGGCAAGAACCTTGTCAAAATATCGATAACGACGTCATTATTCCTTTCGCGGGTACAACGAACATCCAATCCATCGATCAGACTGACCGAAGTAGTGCACCAATTGATTGCTAGAAGTTTTCACTTAGACTAACCATCGTTCAGCAGCTCTAACATGAACTACCCTTCAAGAGCAAGATACAGCGACTACTAGTCGATCAGCTCCCAGGTACACCGCGCAGACTGCCAGGGCCTCTTTAAAGCGTCCAATTGCTCCTACAGGTAATTTTCCACCTGTCCATCTGTGTAAGTAGCCATTTGATATAACATTGTAGCAGCCACCCCGGGTCACCCGAGCAAGAAGGCTCGTAGCACTGGGTTCACTTACACTGCTGGCAATGATGCCAATGACCAATTGGTTGTTATTAAAGCGAATATGTAACATATCTGCTTTGTTGCACATGAGTAGAGTCACTAGTACTGAAGTATCATGACTATATACAAGGCATTTTAAATAATGAAAAATAACGTGTGGATCCATGTGAACTTCAATGCCACTGTCAGGAATGTCATCACTCTGACCTCTGCAGTGTGCACCCGAACGCGTGTCAATTCCATTATCTGTTGCACAGACTTACCTCGACGTAGCCCGACATGAACGATTGACTGGTATCTCCTACGTCAATGTTGTGTCAGTCGCCATCCGAGAATATCGTGGAGTCGCCTGGAGTGTTTGGACGTGATTGCCACTCGACTACGGGTCATGCCTCAGACGGTTGTTCGAATTTAAAGTGTAGCAAATACATGATTATTGTAGTATCGATGCAAACGAGCACGTTTCACCGTTTTCACCTCCACAATCTCAACCTCGTCGTCGTCAGAATCGGCCTTCAACAGTTGGCCCTGATAGATGCTAATTTTACATTGCTAGTGTGAGCATACGCCAACGCGCGTTCGAGGACGGAGCATAGTTCAACGACTTGAGGTGTAGGTTTACCACCTTTGATGATGATGGGAAGGAAATGTTCCCATATGCGTTCGAGCAGGGACGTTATGGGATAGGTGGTCCATTGATAGACATGGGGAAATGCCTGCAAGGGAGGATGGTGAGTCCTCATTCATAGGCTGTATGACGGCGACGCACTTCAGCAGTCAAAACAAACAGGTGTGGGCGAATGGCCTCAAAGATAGTGGGATACGACCAGTAACTAGCCAAGGGTACAACCATGTCCTTATAGATTGATCTTGGGCGAGGCGCATCGTGTCAGTTGAATCGAAGGCTTGGACACATGCAATCACGAAACGACTCACGATCCATTCCGCTTCGCAGACTTCAGAGAGTCTAATTGAACGATGTAGATGTTCTCCAGACGCAACGCGCGGGGAACATCATTTATATCGATCTTGTTATCATAGCGTTGGTGAGGCAAATGCAGGCCTTATTCTCGTCGATGGAGATTTCAGCTGCTCATGTCGTTCCAGATGACCCGATAGCCTCTGCGGCGATGATAGCTGCGTAGTATGCTGGTTATACGTGTGGTGTCTGCGGTGCAATTGGGGAACCGTCGAGGATTGAGTAGTTAAGCGTTGTGGGTTGAATCTGCCCATAAGAGGATTGAGTGGCGCTGCATTGACTCAAACGAGTACTGACCAAATTGTACTTGTAGCCAATGCCCTCGAGGACATCCAGGAAACGGCCAGGCTCCTACCCATCCGCAGCTGGAGAGGTTAGAGAGTGCTATTACATCTATGTTATGTTACATCAGCATGAAAATTTAAACCCAGCCCAACCTTATTCCTCTCCAGCTTCGTCTGGCTCGGAAAGAGTTAGGACACGACTTATTTGTGTTGGGCTGGTCCGAGCGTTAGCTCGGGGGGGACGCAAGCAGGTGGAGCTGCTGGGTGGGCGGGAAACCTGCTTACGAATTTGGTCGTGTTTTAACTCTTGCGCAGTAAGATCAAGATAGACGTTTTGTATATACTCTAACGATTAAAATGGTATTGAAAATACGGATCAGTAACGGTTCAAATTCTAATTAAGAGGGAGTGGTGGGTGGGAGCAAAGAACGATAAGTGCAACGAGCGAGAGGATGATGGATATGTAGTAGCTTGTCGTCATAGGTAGGTCGAAGAATGAATGAAGGAAGATTACACTAACGCTCAGCTGGAAGTGTGGTGCCGGGAAACTCCGCAGGCTACGTCTCGGCACCTGTACAATCCAGCTTCGTCTGGCTCGGAAAGAGTTAGGACACGACTTATTTGTGTTGGGCTGGTCCGAGCGTTAGCTCGGGGGGGATGCAAGCAGGTGGAGCCGCTCACCCATCACGCCGGAATGTCCGTGGCTCTAGCTGCTCAGCCCAACTACAAGTGGAGGCAGTGCTAATGGGAGGTTGCATTGGCAAGGTGCTGCGATGAGATTTGCTCGAAGGCCCGTATGTAGGTCTCATAGGCCAACGATTTCCAGCACCCAGCGATACAAACAATTTCCGGGTCAATTTTCTTTGCTAAATAAAAGGATGCTCCTCCGATTCGAAAGGAGTGACCGAAAGATGTTCCCCATCCCCATGTGACGAGGATTGAGTTGATCTGTTCGAGTGCATGAGCCTTTGCCATGGGCCGAATGTTGCCTTTACCATCGTGCCAGGAGAATAGAGGGTCGTCCGCGAGTGCTGGTACCACTAGGGCAAGGTTACGAAGGGCAGCCAGGGGACAAAGGTCCCCCTGCTCGTTGAGGAAAACTGACTGAACTTCGCCTGCGCGGGCTGTCTGTAGCAGATAGCTCAGCGACGTACGAAGTCAACTAGTTATATTGGTATACCTGTAGCAGATAGCTACATGTGTTGTTAGCTAGGTAGATACTGAATACTATGAAGGTACTAACCTCAGCGACGTACGAAGTCAACTGAGGGTAGCAGCGGAGCGCGAGAACAAACAGTATTTGTAAGCACTAGGAAATGAACACAGTACCGAAGGTCCATAACGACGAGGATTGATATAACGACACTCCCCCTCAAGCCGAGCGTAGGCCGAGGGCGGAGGCAAAATGCTTTGCTTTGAGACTAGGGAGAGCTTTGGTGAGGGTGTCCGCGATCATGCTATCTGTAGGACAATAAACTAAGGAAATGGAACCTTTTTCAATGGAAAAGCAAATAAAATGGTAACGGATATGTTTCGTGCGCGCGTGAAACACGCCAGAATGAGCGAGAGCAATGGTGGATTGGTTGTCCGAGTAGAGCGTGGTTGGTTGCATGAGTGGGCGGAAGATTTCGACAATGAAACGACGAAGCCATATTGCTTCTTTTGCAGCATGCGTAGCTGCGACGTACTCGGCTTCTGTCGTGGACAGCATTACTAACTCTTGCTTCTTCGAACTCCAGCTGACAGCCCCTCCATCCAAAAGAAAGGCGTACCCGGAGACTGCGTGCTGATGCTTTTGCGAGGCGCCATCCGCGTCTGCAAAGCCCTCAAGGCTGCGTTTGCCATCGCCGAAGGTAAGCACGAGCTTCTTCATACCCACCAAGTACCAATAAATCCTCTTCACAGCTTCCCAATGTGGTATCCCAGGGTTCGCGCCATACTGCACGACGGTCGAGACAGTGAACACGATATCTGGGCGCGTGCCGACAGCTAAATGCATTAGCAACCCAACGGCCTCGCGGTAGGGAATGTTTTTCATGGAGCTGGCCTTTGCAGGCGTCTTTGGCGATTGCGACGGGGACAATGGTACATTTGGGTCCATGGGTATGGAGCAGGGCTTGAAGTCGGCGAAATTGTACTTAGCTAGAATAGCTTCAATATAGGTCTCGTGCAAGAACGAGATGGTGTGCGCGATGCGGTCGCGCATCACCTTCATGCCGAGGAGGGAGGCGACTGGACCCAGATCCGTGAGTTTGTAGCGTGCAGCTACTTGCTGCTTGAACTTGGTGATGAGAGCGTGATTGCTGCCAGTGACTGTGCAGTCATCGACGTGCGCAGCGAGGATGAGGATATTGGGGCCGATGTGTTTGTAGAACACGCCCCAGTCGGATTCTGCGCGCGTCAGTCCTAAATCTCTCAAGAGACGACATAGCTGTTGGTTGATAAGGGGACGTAGACCCGGTAGACGGACGGCTCAAGGGGCAGGACCCTAACCCTAGCGTGGGGTTGTCCTTTTGGCGAAAGTTTCCATTAATGGTCATCCTAACCCTAGATTCATAGTGGTACCCTCCTGGTCAGCCGTCTGGTACACATTCCATCGGCTCCCCAAGGGGACCACATGGGTGAGGGGTCCGTATTGCTGACCAACGGCCGTCGACGGCTCCCATTGGGGACCGCGCCTGTGGTGAGCAAAGGTCCGATAATACCTGAACATGTCAAACGGCACCCATTGGGGACCGTCGCACAGGGGATCTCACCCTGTAGTGAGCATAGGTATGTATGTCCTTGTTGCACAACACCCTACGGCCATCGACGGCTCCCATTGGGGACCGCACCTGTGGTGAACCAAAGTTCTATCATACCTGAACATGTCAAACGGCACCCATTGGGGACCATCGCACAGGGGATCTCCTTGTTGCACAACACCCTACGGCCGTCGACGGCTCCCATTGGGGACCGCACCTGTGGTGAACCAAAGTTCTATCATACCTGAACATGTCAAACGGCACCCATTGGGGACCATCGCACAGGGGATCTCCTTGTTGCACAACACCCTATGGCCGTCGACGGCTCCCATTGGGGACCGCACCTGTGGTGAACCAAAGTTCTATCATACCTGAACATGTCAAACGGCACCCATTGGGGACCGTCGCATAAGGGATCTCACCCTATAGTGAGCATAAGTATGTCATTGTTGCATGGCACTCATTGAGGACCGGATGATGTATCCGGCTAGGTATCAGTTGTCATCTTATGTGTGAGACGGCTCCCATTGGGGACCGGCCCTCTCATGCCTCTTAGTATACTTACATCTGTCCCTTACCAGACGGTGGATAGGGATCCGGACCTGTCCAAAGCTCTGATTGAGGACCGGATATAAGTTGGAGCCAGTGGTACGGCTCCCATTGGGGACCGGACATCTCATGAGTCTCGGTATGCTTACACCTGAACTTATAAACTTAACTTATAAACTTATAAGACATATGGTATTGTCCGATGGCTCCGGCTGAGGGCCGGACCTCTGGGGTCAGTGGTTCAGTGGTTGGTTGGTTGATGATATGCCTCATCCTATGATACGGCACCCATTGGGGACCGCACTTGCATTGACTGAGTGTATCAATCATACATGTACTTGTCAGACGGCTCCCATTGGAGACCGGTAACAGTGTTAGTATAATTGAACTAGTAATCAGCTGAGGCAATGAGAGTAGATATAATATATGTTTATGGACCGGCCTGCCAGTGGTACGGCTCCCATTGGGGACCGGTCACAGTGTTGTTGTTAGTATAATTGAACTAGTAATTCTAACCATGTTTTTGCAACTACCTTTAGGTTATGCTTGCGTTATGGTATATCAAAGGCCCTCATTTTGCACAAAAATGCAGATGTCATATTTGTGTGAAAAGTATGTACCATCATTTTGCGCAAATATGCACATGTCATATTTGTGTGAAACATAAGTACCCTCTTTTTGCGCAAATATGCACATGTCATATTTGTGTGAAACATAAGTACCCTCTTTTTGTGCAAATATGCACATGTCATATTTGTGTGAAACATATGTACCCTCTTTTTGCGCAAATATGCACATGTCATATTTGTGTGAAACATAAGTACCCTCTTTTTGCGCAAATATGCACATGTCATATTTGTGTGAAACATATGTACCCTTATTTTGCGCAAATATGCACATGTCATATTTGTGTGAAACATAGTACCCTCATTTTGCGCAAATATGCACATGTCATATTTGTGTGAAACATATGTAACCTCATCTTACACAAATATGTAAAAGGCCCTCATTTTGCGCAAATATGCACATGTCATATTTGTGTGAAACATATGTACCCTCATTTTGCACAAATATGCACATGTCATATTTGTGTGAAACATATGTAACCACAGCATGACAATATGTAAAGGCCCTCATTTTGCGCAAATATGCACATGTCATATTTGCGTGATAAATATGCACCCTCATCTTGCGCAAATATAAACTTTTCATATTTGTGGGAAAAGTATGTACCCTCATCTTGCGCAAATATAACCATCTCATATTTGTGTGGAATTACCATATCATGTAAATAAAG